TCAGATAGGAGTTAGATTTTGCATTATATATTACCCAGCTTAGCTGGGCCAGCTAGTTGAATACGCAGATTTTGAGACTTTCGTTTAAGCAATTATTTTGAGTTTACCTTTACTTATTGCTAACTTGCTATATAGCAATCGAATATTTGGTGGTTGTAAGGCTGTCTGTTAATCTCTTTTCGATGTGGATGTTATTTACACTAGATGTCCGTAGAACTGCGTACTGCAAAGGAAGAAATGGAAAAGTTGAGGGGAGATGTAGAATCTAGCAGAAGCCACATGCTTCAGGTAATTGCTGAATTGGCTTAGTTAGTTTTGATTTTCATCACCACTGGCAACTGACGTTGTGGATTATCTTGCAGTACAAGAGTATAGCCCAGGTGAATGAAACTGCGTTAAAGCAAATGGAATCCGCCCATGAGAACTTCAGACTTGAGGTATTGGTGATTGTCTGGAAGCAATGATCTCATCTGGCTGTGCAACTATTTCCTTTGTGATAGAAGTAGATCTGTTAGTTGGATTAATTTTTAACCTGATGGCTATTTATAGGCTGAAAAGAGGCAGGAATCGTTGGAAGCAGAGCTTGTTTCTCTTAGGGAAAGGGTGTCCGAACTTGAAAACGACTGTCTACAGAAATCTGAGCAGATAGCCAATGCTGCTGCAGGAAAAGAAGATGCTCTTGTATCAGCGTCAGCTGAAATTGCAAGTCTGAGAGAAGAAAACTTAGTTAAAAGGTACTTGATTTATTATGTGGCAAATGTATCTTTTGACCCACACGCATACACATGTTCGTATTTAAATTGACATCATAGTTCGTCTTTAAATTGACATCATAGTTCGTCTTTAAATTGACATCATAGACTTGAATGCAGTTCCCAAATTGAAGCAATGAATATCCAAATGTCCACTTTGAAGGATGACTTGGAGAAGGAACATGAGAAATGGCGTGTTGCTCAGAAAAATTATGAAAGACAGGTTTGTGAAGGCTCACTATTTTAAGAAACCTATTGACCATTATGCATATTCGTCGCTGGCTATAACGTTGGTTTTTATTGGATAATTCTTGAAACTGAAATACTTCATTAACCATCTTGTTTCTCCATGTCATGAAGCAGTGCTTTCTGAAAACTCTATTTAGCACCTTTCTCTTGTAACACTTCAGATATTTTTGTAACATGCTCGTTAGGTTACTTCTATATTTTGATTTTCTTCTCCTTCATTCCGCAGACATTTTATGACCTATCTTGCTTCTACTTTCTGGAACGCAGGTTATTCTGCAGTCTGAAACTATTCAAGAGCTGACGAAAACATCGCAGGCTTTGGCTTCCCTTCAAGAGGAGGCATCTGAACTGCGTAAATTGGCTGATTCAAGGGGATCGGAAATTGTAATTTCTACTCTTTTAAAACTTCAATCTTATTTTTAAATTTTCCACAGTTATTGTCGGGAAACATAAACTAAAGTGCTGATTCAAGAAACGATTTAAATTATCTTTTATGTTTTTTTTTTCAGTCCGAGCTTAACTCCAAGTGGAGTGAAGAGAAATGTATGCTAGAGCAGCAAAAGAATCAAGCGGAGAAGATGTATAATGAACTTAATGAACAGGTAGCCACTGCTCTCTGACTTTTACTTTTTCGCAATCTTATTGTTTTTGATGCATATGACATAAGCAATACGAATTTGGCACACCTCTCGTCGATTATGTTATTTAGTGTGTTCCTATTACTATCATATATGATCAGAGGATTATGTAGAGTTCAGTTGATGTTCTTGTTACGAATATTTCACTCATCTTAATCGTTCTCTGCATCAGAACAAACTACTCCATAGCCGACTTGAGGCTATGCATCTTCGCTCAGCTGAGAAAGATAGCCGTTCTGGGAACCTATCATCTGGAAGCACAGAATCAGATCAACTTGGAGATTCTGGTTTGCAAAGTGTAGTCAATTATTTGCGCAAAACAAAGGAAATAGTAAGAGAAGTTCCACATTTAGGATTGCTATTCCCTCTGCCTCGTCTGCGTACTGTGTCGTTATCTAAGTTTTGTGCATCCTTTTTTGACAGGCTGAAACAGAGATCTCACTTATGAGACAGGAAAAATTACGGTTGCAATCGCAAGTAAGTTGTTGTCTTTTATCATTATCCTAATTTTGCTACTACATGCAAAGAGAAATCTCCTATATATTTTTAGAGTTTTGGCTGCGTTATGAATTTTCTTGCAACATTGTTATTGTCTAGCTTGAGAGTGCCTTGAAGATGGCAGAATCTGCCCGGGGTTCACTTAATGCTGAGCGTGCCAGCACAAGGGCCTCATTATTGACTGAGGATGAAATCAAATCTCTTCAGCTCCAGGTAAAGTTGAATGATACCAACTAATACTCTTGATTTTTTGTTTTTTATTTTTGTATCACAATCGTGTTTCTTCAGTTCCTCAATTCCATACGTTATGTTTGGAGTTCGTTTTTTTGATTCCCTAGCCAAGGTTGGAGTGAAACTATTTACTGTAGCTGACTTCAAAGCTCTCCTTGCAGGTTAGTGAGGTGAACTTGCTCCGTGAAAGCAACATGCAACTCAGGGAAGAAAACAAACACAATTTTGAGGAGTGCCAGGTTCGTTGTGGAACTTTCAGGAAAATTTCTTCTGCTTTATATGGCTCGAGTGACTAAACTCACTTGCACCCTGTACTCATGTCTTCGAGAGAGCTGATAAATTTTTTTTTTTTGAAATTTCAGAGATTGCGTGAGGTAGCTCAAAAGGCTAAGACGGATTCCGAAAACTTGGAAAATCTATTGAAGCAAAAGCAAACCGAGTTAGACTTGTGTGTAAGAGAGATGGAAAGGCTGAGGAAGGAGTCAGATCTGGAAAAGAAGAGGGTTGATGAGGTAAGCCATTTCAAAGTAAAAGCTATATATTTATTTACGCATACGTACAACTGTTTTCTTCTTTTTTGCAGTTGCGGGAGACGTATAAAAACATTGATGTTGCTGACTACAATCGCCTCAAAGATGAAGTGCGGAAATTCGAGGTATGCCTCTACAGTTAATGTGACATTGTTGGAAGTGCTGCAGTAGTCATGTTCTTGTTTTCTTCTTAGTGTGCACGGTGTGGATATCTCTATAAGTTCCCTAGCTATGTTGCACAGCTATGTTGCAACATAGCTGTGAAACATAGCTAGGGAACTGACATTTCGATCATATTCTAGTGTAGGATAACTGTCTTTTTAACTGGTGAGATTTTTGTGTGAACTATCTGTTGTTAGAATACGAATGACGCTGATGCTATAAACTGTGTTGATATGACCAGGAGAAACTGAAAGCGAAAGATGATCATCTTGAAGCTTTCAAGAAGCTTCTGTTAGAAAAGCAGAACAAGATATCACTACTAGAGAAGGATCTAACAAACTGCAAAAACGAACTGAGTGAGAGGGAGAAGGATCTAACAAAATGCAAATCAGAACTGAGTGAGAAGGAGAAGAACTTAGACGCTGCTCAGCAAGCACAGGTAGAATGAGAGATATCTCTCTTGATGGAAACTTGGCTGTTAAATGTAGAATGAGAACTACCCCCATGTAGATCTGCTAATAATATCTCTGTACTTGTCAGGCGACTATGGAGTCAGAAACTGAGAAGTTGAAAGCAGAGATCGCCAGGATCAAGAGATCTTATACTTTCATGAAGAAAAAGCTCGACAAAGAAAAGGAAGACTTAAACAGTGATAATCAGTCACTCTCTAAACAGTTAGAGGAAGCCAAAGAGGGTAATTATCATTATTTTTTCAAATCATAATATCTGGGTAAGTTTCTTTTGGTATTTGCTCATGTTATCTATTGGTGCCAAAAGCTGGAAAGAGAACAACGACCGACGCTACGGTGGAGCAAGTCGTTAAGGAAAGAGATGAAAAAGAACAAAAAATTAAGGTATTATTAGACAAATCGTATTTTTTAGTTTGTAGCTCTTGAGTTCTGCTTCATGTGTTTCTGCGTCTTTTTTTAAAAACACGTGGACTTTTGCTGCAGATAATGGATAACTATCTGAAGAGGAAGGATGAGGAATTAATAAAAGAGAAAACAGAACGCAAGTCTGTTGAGAAGGTATTTGAAGACGCCTTGGCCAAGATTAAAAAGGTTCGGTTCTCTCCAGCCTCACTTCTGTGTCTTGTCGCATTTATAGAAACTTGGTTCTTCCAAACTATCCACTCTAAAAAAATCCTCACCCAATACCTTATTAGCTCACATGTTCCCTATCTCTTTCTCAGGAGAAAACAAAAGTGGATGAAGAGCTGGTTAAGCTCGAGAGGTATCAGACGGCATTGGCTAATCTCTCTGAAGAATTGGACAAATTGAAGCAAGCGGATGGAAATCTTCCAGAGGTAACAAGTTTTCATATTTCTCTTGGGTGGATAATATATAGTTTACGTTTTTTTCGTTCTTCGCATTTTGTAAATATATTTACATATGCATCCACATATATTATCATGTTCACTCATTAACTGTGTTCGAAACCCTATTTTTTCTTCATTAGGGTACTTCAGCTGTCCAGGTTCTCTCTGGAAGCGTATTGAATGACCAAGCCGCTGCCTATTTATCAGCGGTTGACTCTTTTGAACGCATGGCTCGTACTTTTGTCCTCAATTCTCAAGGCAGCACCAAATCTACCGATATGGTTACTGAAGCTTCCCCTGCTACAGTTGAGCCTTCAGGCATTGGCAGATCTTCTTCGTCAAAAGCACCGGTGGCAACTACCCAGCAGCAACCCAAAGTGAAGAGATTGACTTTGCAGAAACCAAACGCTGAACTCCGCAGAGGGAGGATTATTCGTCCCCAGCTTGGCAAACTAGAGGAACCTCCTCAAGTTGATGCTGAGATGCCAGAAGCTGAAGGAGCTGGTGGTGAAGGAAAACAGCCTTCCTCCCATGTTACAGATAGCCAAGGAACCACAATTGTTCCGCCTGTTCAGACACAAGTCCGTAAACGCCAAGCTGATTCGTTGGCTTCTGAGCCACAGCAAGGGACTCAAGGAGAAACCAGTTCCGAGATTGCACCACCTGCGTCCAAGAAGCCAAAAGGATCCGAGTCACAACCTGATACTGCTGAAGGTGAAAACCTCTCCAAAGAGCCAGAGATGGATGAAGCAATGGATGCTACTACTGCCGCCGAGGATGACAATGAAGAAACAGAAGCAGAGACTGCAGATGAGGAAACTGTGGAAGAAGCACAACAAGAAACTGAAGCTGAAGAAGGGCAGGATAAAGCTGACGATGAACCAGTAGAAGAAAATCCAACTGAGACAGAAACTATCCCTACCGAAGAAGAGTTGAAGGATCAGACCGAACAAGAGAATCAAGATCTTCCGACAGACGCGGAGTTTGATAAAGAAGAAGGAGAACTCGATCTAGATACACTGGAAGATCTTGAAGAGACTACTACACCCATGCAGTCACCTATTAGGATGGAGACAACAATGGAAGAAGCTGAAACAACCATTGAACCACCACTAGAAGATGTTAAAAACGATGAAGGAGGTGATGTAGTTCCTGAAGAAGCCTCTGATAAACCCAACGATGGTAATAATCAACAAGTAGCAGAAACCGATCTCAAGCCAGAGACCACAATAGCTACAACTGCCTCTGGATCTGCCACTCCACCGACTTCCTCTACTCCAGAAACTGGTGAAACGAAGAGAAACAAATCTCAAGTTGCAGAGCCCACAGTCGCTAAAACTGTCTCAGCATCTGCAGGTGCAAGCGAACCTCCAGAAACTACTGAAGAAACAAAAAGAGCAGCGTCACCAAGTAGAACAATTAACATAGCTGATAAAGCGAAGGAGAAAGCAGCAATAAGACAAGCCGGAGTAGCTGCTGCTACTCTAGGAGGAACCCGAACTCCTTCACCAGCCAACCGAGCTCCTTCACCACCCGCTCCTAGAGGTCGTGGTCGAATATTAAACATTCGAGGAGGCAATAATCGACTGATTACTCGTGGTGGCCGAACACAACGTGGTGGACGTGGACCACCCCCGAGCCAGCCTTGATCTCTTCTGTCCTCTATGTTTCATCATTTTCCATCTTTCTTAAGCCTTGCAAGAGTTACTCAGGCAAGGCTCATTGAAGAGATCGTAGAGAACTCATTTCATGTCTACTCCTTTTATACTTTGTTTTGTCCGTATGATTTTTAGATTTTCACTATAAAACCAAATTCTATCATTGCCAATGGTTACAAACTGCAACATTACAACAAAATAACAGAACAAGAAACCAATCACTTATAAAAATCAAAGCAATCCGAAACAATCGGACGGTTTATGGTGACTTGAAAAAAAAATACAAACAGCATCTTCTAGTTAGTTCACAGTCCCTGTCAAGTCTGTGTTTCGATTCTCTTCGACTGTATTTGATATCTCCATTGTTTGGAACTCAGCAACCAAGTCTTCATCTACTTTCTTCTGTGATCAAAAGCATAAAGAGAGAAAGAGACTCGTCAGAATAATAACATATATAGAAGAACAAGATGAAGATGATTACAAGATGTTAAATAGGACCTTTATCTGAGCCGGAGTAAACCTTAGCCTCTTTTGAACCATAACCTTCTCTCTGTTTTCATAAAACTCGAAATCATCCAATATAGATGTTTTTGCTGCATAGTTCTTGAAGATGTTCAACACTTCATTCCCTTGTGGCAACCTCACCTATATATATATGAAGGAAACACAGCTATGAGATGAGTTATTCTTGATCCACTTAAAGACTGTCTTTACCTCTTGTGTGTCTCTGCTATTTGTCACAGGCTTATTCTCATTGTTCTCTAGTATAACATGCCTTAGTTGCGGATTTGGAACATCTTTGATTATGTGCCACTTAACCGGAAAATAGCCAGTCCACTTATCTTGCTGCCAAAACTCCATGCTCTTCTCATAATCAACTCTCCCAGTCATCTCAGCTACACCGCAAAACTGGCCACTTGCATTCACCTGAGTCCAATAAAAACACACATCAGAGACCAACCAAGAGATGTTAGCAACAAATGAAAATCATATAAATGCATTTACCGAGAAGAAAAGGTAGACAGGGCACGTTCCACCTTTCTCTGAAACCTTCTTTTGAGATTCTTGATACGCACTGTCTAACTTCTTGTTCCCGTTGAGAGTACTAGACCATACACTGTACTTGATGCTCTTGTGAATGTCGTCTTCACTATAAGATTTTATCACAAAGAACATTGCTTCTTCATACTTGGTCTGAAAGCTAGGCAGGTTATATTGATCCCTTTTGATCATCACAGAACCTACACAGGACTCACATTCTCCTTCAGTACTATCAACATTATCTTTCTTCCTCGCATTCAAACCTCCAGACTTCTTAGGCCTATCTCCCATGCCGTGACTTGTGAAAGAAGTCTTGTTCTTTGAGTAATAGTTGCTATGGTTATAACTTAAAGATTGGTTACTTGAAGCAACACCATACACATACGTGTCTCCAATAGGATCCCATAGATAGGTTGGCGATGAAACATCTCCATAACAATATTGGTTCTGATAATACCCTTGAGCTGCTGCATACAACGGTGAGTGAAGCGCTTGACTCGACACACCAACCGGGCTTATAGGCATATAAGTAGGACTAACATCATAAGATTGAAACCCTGGCATCATGTAGATCAAAGATCCATTTCCACCTTGCATAACCTTCAAAATCAAGATCAAGAAAATGGTTTAGTTAATATAGATCGTCTAGTATCCTAAATCATTTATTTGTAAAGAAGTTTTGATTACTTGGTATTGAGCTTCTGTTCCATAACTATAGTATCCATTATCCTTTGCTTCTCCCACTGAGCCATCAAGACTTGGATAGTAGAATCCATAGTAGCCACCATAAGGACAAGGCAGGCCTTGATATGTCTCAAGGGTTTCATAATATGGCTCTGATTGGCAGCTCTTCTAAAACAACAAAGAACACAAGAGATGTGATGTTAAAACATTCCAACAGAGAAGAAAGGATCTTGGTCAAGAGAATTTAAATTTTGTTACCATGGAAGTGGTGGAGGCAGAGACCTTAGCAAGATGATCATCCACTTTAATGTTCTTCACCATGTCGTCAATGGCTGAAACATATAGCAAACGTAGAGATCAGACCAAGAAACCAATCAAATTATAGAATGATGTTGTATGTGCTTTTTACATACAAACACTAATGGATAATCTTGAATTTCTTGTTGTAGTGAGGAGACAGGTTTTGAAACGTGAACTGATGTCTGAATATTTAGTCGTACTGAAGAAAACTAACAAATAGGTGTGCCGATATCTACGTATATGTATTATTAAATTTTGTAGATAAGTCTTGTTTGCGTCTAATGACAAGAAACAGACCACTAAACACGTATACACGCATAAATATATTATATTATATATGTTATATACAAGAAGAAGAAGACGACATCAGCAAAGGATATCCTTTTTACCTGGAAACAAAGTACAAATATGGGGAGCAGAGAAAAAAAAAAAAATATATGAAGAGAGAAGAAGAATAGTGATGCTGATGCAGAAGAAAGAAGAAAACAGAGTTTTTTTTTCTCCTATTTGTTTCCCTTCTTGCCAAAAAAAACAATTAAGTAAAAAATGTTATAATTTTATTTTATTAAAAAAGAGGTTGGGATTGGGAAGTACAGATTGAGGGTGCAGAATAGCCCACGTCATGGAATCATGAGATGAATTTACAAGTTGATCGTTGGATTAGGCTACTAGAAGAAATGAAAACATCTTTTGTGCCAACTTTTTTTTTCTTCTTTTGTGCCAACTTTTTCATATGGGATCCTATTCTTACACAACTCTCTTCATAGTGCTTCTTCAAAAGGTTATAAAAAGGAAGAAGGAATCTTAATTTCGTATTAGTTAGCTAACACAATTAATTCTATTATTTCCATGAAAGGTATATATATTCTATGGAAAAATATGAAAGGTAGGACCAGTTCCATGGTCGGGCAAATAATAGAAAGCATAGAATATAGTTTTGAAAAAAGAATATAATATTAGATAATTAAAAACAATGGAAATTTGACCATTTCTTCTCCATGTCTATCGGTTCAATCCGAGCAATGCCACAAATAAGAAAGAAACAACCAAAATGCTGACGTGATGAGGTAGTAGTTTGGTAAAGACCTTGTGAGCCAATTGTCATGCTCACGGATTCGACGTCAGATAGGGGAACTACCAATTCTTGTCACTAAATACGGTATTGGGTGTTGGGCCTTGTTCCCAGCTCAGGTATAGCCCTCCTGGGTGAAGTGGACCGCTGCATGACCTGATCCAGAGGAATGATCCATGTAAGTGGAGAACCTCTGAATTATCAAAAAGAAAAAAAAACAACCAAAATGCTTTTTTCATAAATATTATATCTATATAGTTATAAATCTATATATTTTTTGGATTAACGCAAATATTTTATATTTATATTCACGAGTTTCAGCAATTTTATAGTATAAATCTGCAAAGCATGGATTTCTTAATTGTTGTTATGTAAACAATATTTTAACCGTCGAAATCCCACAATTTAAGATCATTATCTTTTTTTTAAACTATAGGTAATTTAAAATTTCTAATTATAAAATAATATTATATATCAAAAGAACTTTAAATGTGGAGTACATGTGGTTCAAACAAATGTGGAATACAAAAAAAAACAATTTATTTGCACTAATCCTAAATCACCACAATTCTAATTATAAATTAAATTAAATTCTTTCAGGAAAAGAGGTGAACAGTTCATATACGCTACAGTTGTTGTTTGGTTATTCTCTGAAAATGGTGTGAAAGTTTGCAGATTAAGATCTATTAAAAGCATTCGCAGTGGTAATATTTTGTCAAAGTACTTCACTCCAAAAATTAATAAAGAAATGAAAAACAGAAAGAGAAAAAAATAAATGTATGTTTGTAAAGAGACTTTAATTCATTTATTTTAAGTAGTTCATACAAAAAAATTTGAAGCATTAAACTTAATTCAGATAACTAGATTTTGACCCGCGCTTTAAAAGCGCGGATATACTTTTACCATTTTGATAAAATTTATTTAAATTAATTATTCAAACACAAAAATTTTAAAATTATTTTATTAATATTTAAAAAAGTTCTATTATAATGTTCGATTTTCACGTAATGTTTCCATATCCGATCCAGATCCATAGTTGAATCGGTACATCCGGCAATTTTTATATAATCCAGTTAAGATTTAATTAAAAATTTACTAATTAAAAATCTAAGCCAACCTGGTATATATCTTAAACCCCGCTATTAATCTGTATTATGATATCCGTTGATCCGTTAAATAACCCCATAAAAACTGATAATATATTTTTAAAAATTTGTTAAATAATTTATATTTTTAATATTAAAGAAAATTGATTTTTTGTAATTTCTTTAATAAAAACTTTCTTGTCATTTGAAAAAATGAAACAATGGCAATAGAAAAAAAAACATAATTTATTCATATAACAATATTAGTTTCTTTTTGTTATTAATAACCTATGATAAGTTTACATTTTTACTCATTTTATATCTAAAATTTAGTTTTTAAAACAAATTGAATTGACATATCATTTTTATGGATAAAATGAAAGAATAAATAATAATTTATAATTTTTGATCGCTAAATAATATGATGCACGGAAATATGATATTAAAATTAATTAGATAATCATAATTTTCATAAAAGGAAAATTATTATTAATCACAAAAATATGAAATATTATCAGTTACCATAAATATAGGAGATATTAAATTATTTAATTAATTAAGATTCTAAAAATAAATAGTGGTATTATCTTTTAAATGTGATAAAAAGATAGGGGTAGAATCCAAAATTTTAACAATAGGATCCTCCTTTAATAGTATAGATTAATTTCCTTAAATATTAATATATAAATTATGAAGAACACTATAAACCTACCACTAATGTTTTTTTTTTTTTGGAAAACCTACCACTAATGTTTTTTTTTTTTTTTGGAAAACCTACCACTAATGTTGTGCTTACCCTTTTACATATATGCGTCTTCTTTGACATATTTTTGTATCATTAGGTGTCGACTGGTCCATCGTATTCGTATACATATATAGTCGCATCCATTCAATTTTTTTATGCTGCCCCCACCAAAAAAATCTCAGATCCAATTCATAAAGTTCTCATTTAAACTTGATCCATAAAATAGGTGGATGTTACAAGTCTATAAGTTTTAACTATCCTACAAGCTTGACATTGTCTTTCTATAAATGAATGGATTATCCAAAGTAGATATTGCTTGAGATTCAAGTAAATATTTGTCAACATCGCATAAGAAGCCAAATAACCCCACTCAAAATAAATTGTTATGAAACCATTTAAATACAATAATCCAATCAATTGAACGTAAGAGAAGTACAAGGTGCCACGTTTTGTCTTTCCCGTGGCCTAAACGTGTCTGCTTCACATTTATAATATTGAATTGGTTTTATGTGGGACTATACTTCTGTATAACAAGTTTTAGAATACTGCATAAAGAAATAGCCATTTTTGTTGTCTATAAAAGTATGTAAACAATGTTACAATGACTATATATTAGCTGTGACGAATTAATCTTGTTGACTTAATCAATCTAGATCTATATTAAGCTTGTTGTTATTCTTTAGAGAGGTATGATCTGAAGAATATGTCAATAATAATCTTCATTCAAAAGGTTAACGAGTAGATAGTAGTCGTAATACGTTACATGGAAATGTGTAAAAGAAGATCGCAATCTCTATGTATAAAAAGACTTATGGGCTAAATATATGTTTAGGCTTTTCTAAATGGACACAAATTAATTTCGACATTATAAAGGGCTCCAATAGGCCGCTATGATGGGCTATTCACTGTTTTCTAGAAAGGCTCATTTAGCTCTCAAAAGTGGGATCAAATCATAACTAAATCATGTTATTTTAGCTGTGGCAATAATCACTAATCTTTACTATACTAAAAGGGACTAATGCTCCCCCCTCATTAAGCCACATAGGATTTTTTAATCCTCCAATCAGATTTATGTTTTCGTCCAGCTCAACCACCGAATTGGTTCGAATGGGCTTTTGTTTATTGTGTTTGCTATGAGTTCGACAATAACAATCCCAGAAAGTGCAACCAACACTAAAGTTATGCTATAATGGGCCGTGACAAGCCCAGGGAACGCCATCAACACTAAAGCTCTACGGCGCCGAAGGAACCCTAATTATTTCCAAATCTAACTGTCGTACATTTCTCTTCGGCTTCTTCGACATCTTCGTTTCACTATGTTCAATTGCAGTACTCTACAATCTTTCAAGTCTCCCCCCACTACTCTACAATCTTTAATATCATTCATTGTCTCTCTTCACTTTCTCCATCAAAACCTCTATTTAAGAAACTCGAACTCCATGATTTCGACCATCAAAAGCTTTTCTCCCTATTTTTACCTAAAGATCCTCCAAGAACATGAAGTCAACCGATGTAAAGGAGTCACTGATATCAGACAACGAAGCGACGGTCCCCTCTGGTCCGGTCGAAACCGTTGGTCAACCCGGTGGTGCTTCCGACCAACTCATCCCAAAGAAACCAGAAGGCCTACCGGCTGATAACTCGAAGGCGATCAAACCAAGCCTTAAACGCGGCTCCTCCTCCGGTCTCAACACCGCTGGTGCGTGGAACGGAACCGCCTCCGCCGCCGCGAAAGGGAAATCAATCGTTACCGACGAAGTTGGGAAGGTGCTAACCTTCAAAGAGGTTACTTTAGGGCCTAATGATGGCGAGGTCCGGTTCCGGTTGATTCACTTTTGGGAGGCCACAAATCCCATCACAAAAACACTCATCGGCATCGAAATGCTTCTCATCGATGAAGAGGTACTGAACGTCTAATTCTAAGTTAATTATTTGTGTGGATTTGTTTTTATTTTACGTTCCAAACAGATATCTACTGTAACCACATGGAAGATTGATTATTTTCCATAATCTGTTGTTGGTCTACGTTAGGTAATTGTAGTACTAGAATTTTGGTAAAAGATTTTCCCGACTAATATTTTAGGGTTAAGATTAATTACCGGTTTACCTTCACTTTTGGTGTTAATTTTAACAACAGAGAATATTTTTTTTTTTTGAAATATAATTTTGGGTTAAGATTAATTAACGTTTTACGTTCAGTACACATGTTTAATTTAAGAACTGCAAAACTGATTTTCGTTTTGCAATTTCAAGTCATTGCTTGCGTGTTAGTCATCTTAATTGCTATTTTTTTTTTAAGTTATTGTTTTTATTTAATTGTACGCCATGGATTTATTCTGCCAGTGGTTTAAGATCATTCCACCGCCTTACCTAACTTTATTTTTCAACTTTTTAACAACAGGAAACTGTTATCCAGGGTTTCATCCCACCAGGCAGGTGTGACACCTATTTGCGTCACCTGAAACGAGGTGCAACTTATCGACTCAACAGGTTTTTTGGATCGCAGAGCAAAACCATTTACAGTGTCGCTGACCCAAGCGTCACCATTAGTTTCTCTTGGAATTCCGTCCTCTCTGAATTCAAAGACAGTACTGCATATTTTCCTGAGGATAGGTTCCGGTTCCATGGCCAGAAAGAATTTGAAGCTGCCGCAGACAAGCGAGGTGATCTTTATGGTAAGTGCAGACCATTATACTTATTCACGCTGTTTGTATATGATCATTGTGAACTTTGCATTCCAACGCTAGGATACAATTGTATTAGACTACAATTTCAGATATTCAGACCGGTTGTCCGGGTTTATGATATTTTAACCACTGTGTTTTGCTACCCTGTCAATGCAGATTACATTGGGCACATCAAACTTGTGAATGGGGAGGTTCCCAATGAAAAACTTCTCATTGACGAAGCAGGGCTAGCTGCATCTCGCCGTCTTGAGCTTCACGTCCAAACACATGAGTATGTAATTCACAAAAACCTACATCCAAATAATAAAGATTAGATTCACCCGAACACTGACTTTTGGTTTTCAATTTTTGGTTGTCACAGCGACCCAGTGGTTAAGCTGAATCTCTGGGATAAAGCTGCTTTCGAGTTCTGTGCCAAGTTCAAAGCATCTGGAGGGACTGCAAGTGTTATCTTGGTCACCACCTTGAACCCGAAACGTTTTGGAGGTTTGTCTTCCCCACTTTTATTTGGTTTTCGTACATGTTAGATATCATTTGAACTAGGATCCTCTATTTATTATAATTCTCTGACATGAAACTAATGTATTATTCTGGTACAAAAGCATTTTGCAAACCTCTATACTGCTTATTTGACAAGTGTATTGATAGAGCAAAGACAAAAGATAAAAAAAAATATGGGAATTCTTTTTTTTTTTTTTTAAACTTAGCAATGTTTCCAATAAGATTGAATTACATACACATTTCACTTTACATCAGTATGACATGGTTTCACTTCTTAAACATGGTTTTTTTTTTCTTATAGGTGTTTTCTCTCTGTCTTCTACTACGGCATCGCGGGTCTTCATAGATGTTGATATCCAAGAAACACGCTCATATCTCAGTTGGTAGGGTTTATGAAATGCTTTGTTCAAAAATAATTTAGACTCCTCCAATTATGTTATATCTTCTTTCATATTTGGTACAGGTTGGAATCAAACTTCGAAGTTGCCAACAGAGTTAACGCAACAGTGGTGACGAAGCCTGAGACAGCGACTTTGGGTGACATAATCGCCTACATGAAGCAGCCATCCGCAAAGGTATTACACTTCCCAGTATCTGAAACATTTAATACGATAATGTAAGTATCTCAGCTAATTTACAAATTTTTTCCACAGGTTGCTTGGTTTCAGTGTACAGCTACTATTGATGATGTCGTGCACGGTGCTGGGTGGTATTATATAGGATGTCGGGTGTGCCATACCAAGGCAATCAAAGGGCTAACAACTCTGATGTGTAAGAAGTGTGGAAAAAATGAAATTCAGGGTGTGCCACTGTAAGTAGTATTGTTTTGCTATCACATTTTCTTTGATAACAATGGCTATTAATACCTCTCTGTTGTAGGTACCACTCGAAGCTATCTGTGTATGACCACAAGGATCAAGCTGTCTTTGTAGTTCTCGGTGCTGCTGGTGAGGAGCTGACTGGGAAAAAAGCTGCAGAGTTGGTTGATAGCTACTATGAGGTATCGCAGGAACCTGAACGTGTGCAAGAATTTATTAGTTATTCTCATTTGAAAAAAAATTGTCCTTACAATGTGTGAAACTATATCAGGTTAACGAGATTGAAGAAGAGGATCACATTGTCCCAGTGCCTCAGGCTCTAATTGGCACCATAGGACAAACAAAGAAATTTGTTGTCATGGTGTCCGCCTATAATCTTAGTGGCAAGTCCCAGGCTTTGACTGTGACAAAGGTTCTCCATCTTGACACCGAAGATCCCGAAGCCAACATTGGAGATGCAGCTGGGGAGGCACCTGAAAACGGAAGGGAAGATCACGCAGAGGAGTCGGTGAAAAGGGGTGGTAATGGGATTGAGTGTGAAGGAGCTAAGCGTACAAAGCATGGCTAATGGAACTTAGTACTGGTTTTGTTTCAATTTAACGGTTTGCTCTGTTTTCCTTTAAATGGAGTTCCCTTTCCAGCATTATGAACCTGGATTTGTTTCTATTGACTACTTTGCTTTCTTTTCTTTTAAAATGGATTTCCCTTTGGACCATTGTAAAACCTTTTTCAGGAGTACCAGTGGGTTTTAATAGTTATTATTAACTTATGCATATTGGTGTCATACTTAAGATTCGATGCATTGTCTTTCACAACTTAGGATTATTATTTTAGTGTCTTCTTAGTGTTACGTGGTGACCTGGGCGCCTATTTTGTTTGGTTACTGACGTTTGGTTTACGATTTAAATGCATGAATAATAATGTATGTCAATCATATATGTAATGGATCTGTATTTACATATATGAATAAACCCTACAGCTCAACTTAAATCTCATCAAACCACGTCTTGCTCTCCCATAGCCGCCATATACGTTCGAAGCCTTCTTCCTATGTCTGTACTACAGAAGCTCTGAAAGGTCAATCATAATGGATACACCACCACGCGACCATCCAGTCGAATCACCAGGTAAACTCGCTTCTGAACTTGCGCGAAGCACTAGATACAAACGTTTTGGATTGTATGACACTCATTCTGATCACTGTATTGGAAGTTCCAATACAGAACTAGCTGTGATTAATTCTACCTGAGTAGTATGATTGATTCATCATAGGTTCTTACACACTGCATCTGGTCAATATTTTAAAAATTTATCACAAATGTCTATGCGTTTACTCTGTAAATACCAGAATTCGAAATGATTACATGAATCTAGAGTCTCTAAATTCACCTGCATTACAGCACCGTTTGGGTATTTTATCATTACTTTCCATCCTCCAACACCCTCCTCAACCCTAGATCAAAATTCAAATTTCATACACCCAAATAGTAAGGTAATTTGGCTATGTAGTTATCTGTTACAATTTAAAATGTTAGGTATATTCGATTGGTTGGTCCAAATTTTATACATTGGTCCAAAAATCATTTGATTTGTCAAAACATTTACTTTGTGCTTATATTGTAAATATGCACTGACTAAAACAAATTAAGATTTCATGAGCCTATAATGCAGATAATATTTTGAAGCAACAAAACTGGAATTTCAAAACATAAAAGGGAGGAAATTATATCCACTTACCACGTCTTCTGCTCTCTTCCAAAAATTACTTCCCGTAAAATAACCACTTCGCTAATTAAACTCGACAAATAACACGTCTTAAACATATGTATGGTCACACATTAAGCTAAATGAAGATCTCATTACCAAGCACACCTTAAAATCCAAATAAATTATTACTACAAATATACTTACTCAAAATTCAAACATACACATAACTACACAAAATTTAAAAAGTTAATTTGTATTCTAGATATGTTATTCAAAATATCGAAATACACCAACCAAATCAGTTGTTAACAAAAACAAAAACAAAAAATATTGTACATTATTACACCTATATGAAAGTACAATATATCTTTAAATGTGGCTCCATATGTTTTACAGCTATTAATAAAGCGGATAACAAAAACCTTGAACGGCTTGCTAGAATTCAAAAAAAAATATCATAGACTTTAAAATATTCGACATTGACAAAATATGAAATCTTCATAAAGTTATCCACCTACATCTATAATTATTTAGAAAATAAAACGCAAAACCAAAACTTGCCATTGGATTCTAACCTACATGCTACACTTATAATGCTTACCTTTTCCAAAACTCTTAACGATTATCAATGAGAGAATAAGTGTGATGTTACAATAGCATTAACAATTTAGCAAAACCTCCACCACCAGTCAGGTCAAACAAATCTGAAAGAAGAGAGAAATTAACTCCCCACAAAACACAATATAACCATAAACAATTCTCATACACAAATAATATTTCTCTAACGTTCTAAACATGAGCGCTCGACCACATATTTCGTAACACAGACATATTTTTTTTTTTTTTTAAAGTAACAACATTAAAACATTTAAAAAATAACTTAAGAGGATAAATTCATATACCCATAATATACCCTGATAATTAATACATACTTTAAGATAAAAATTTCACAAAGTCCATGTCAAACAATCTTCTAGAAATTCATATATCCATAATATATCCCTTCAGAGAGTACTACTGGAAGACCAACTCTCCACCAACACCCATCCAACTGGTCCAAATTTGATAACCAAAGGAGATTCGTACGAAATATCGGGATTTTTCGTCAAACGAAATACCCGGTAAAGGAAATTAACACGTCTCCCGTACACCATTCGCCGCAACCAGTGGTCAACAATGTTAAATGTTTCTCTCACCAATCCAATCGTTGCGGCACCCCATTTCTGTCCTAAGGATTACAAAAGTCTACTCCGCTTATCCATTATCTCCAGATACTTACCAGGTAAAAAACACATCAAGCTTTCCGTAAAGTAAGATAATATTCCTATTACCAACAATGTCAATATTGTCCAGATGTCGTCGAGGAGATACGACAAATGCAAAACATAAAACCACCCAGCTCAGGACCGATCGGAAAAATCACAATTACTCTAATACTAAACGGTTTCAAAAAGATTAGAATCACCCTATGGGACAATCCAGCAAAAGAGTTTACCGCTCTCCAAATCAAGAAAGATATGAAATACAAAATCATCCTCATAACAAGTTTAATACCTAAACTTTATCAGGGTATAAGTTATTCTATAAATATAAAAAATCATGATTATTCGTTCTAATCATGCCCAAAATAAAATTACAGGACAACTTGAACTCTCTTCATCACCGACATAATTGGATTATAATAAGATCATAATTTTATAAAGGTCACAATCCTTAACTCATTACGCTGCATTGAAAAATTGGCATTTAGTCATTGGATTTTATTATTTTAAATTTAAATCTTATGCATCTTAGAAAATTTTTTAATTAAAAAAAATCACCCAAACAACCCGGGCGTAGCCCGGAGAACGGATCTAGTATCTATTAATAATAGCAATCTCGGTTAATGTCAAAGGTTGTGAATCTCATCTAAGTAAATGTTGATGTCTTTCTACTATAAAGAAAAATTAGATTTTTAATAAAGCCTAAAATGTTTTTTATAATGAAACTCTTTTTGAAATAGTGCATCTATTTAAATTTTAGTTATTTAGTTAATCTTTATATAATAAATGTGTTTTTTGAAATGATGTATCTATTCAAGTATATAATGTAAATATATCATTTAAAATAATCATCTATAATTGGATAGTTGTGACTATTCATAAAAATAACTAACTTTAATTTGAAAAGTTATAACTATTCACTATCTTTAGTTTGAAAGTTGTGAATATTCATAAAAATAACTAACTTTCACTATCTTTCCCTTTCAGAAAATTTTATAGGGTTTATTTCTTTGATTTACGTGGTATATGAAGTTTTATTAAAGTACTCTTTGAAAAATTATAAATGATGTCCGTGTATCATGAAAATAAATATAGGATATATTATAATATATTTTTTAATGTGGTTAAATATTATGAAAAAATACTAAAGAAGCTAAACTAAGTACAACTAGAATTTATCGGAAAATTCAATTTTTCTTAGGGGTTAACCCACAGATTTCATGATTAATTAGAAAATAAAGAATTTTGTATTTATGCATAATTGCATCCCAAATTGATATATGATGAATATCAAAGAGTTTTGATACCTTAGTTTTCCAAATTTCTCTAAAAAATATAATTTTATAAGTTCTAATTCACTGATTTTTGTGGTATATGGTATTTTATTAAATTCTTCGGTTGAAATTTAGAAATGATGCCCATGTACCATGAACACAAGTTTAGTACATTTAAAATTAATTTTGAAGGTGGGTTAGCTATTTTTAAACAAAACTTAAGTGGCCTATAACATTCATTGATAAAATCGACATTTTTGTAGTGATTAACCCACATATTTTAAAATAAATTAGAAAATAGAGTATTTTTGTTTTATTGAATTTATGCATCATGCACTGACATACTATGGATAGTAAAAAGGGTTAAGACCTTTGGTGTTCTCGTTTCTAAAAAAAATAGAGTTTTTATAGGGTTAGTCCATTTATTATGTGGTATATGAAGTTTAAATAAATTACTCACTGAAAATTAGAAATGATGCATATGTACCATGAAAACAAAATTAGTATATATATATAGAGTGTGGGTACGTATCTTTAAACAAAAATTAAGATGCTAAATCTTTTAGATAACATTTATCAGAAAATTCAATCTTCTCGTATGGGTTAACTCACATATTTCAATTTTTTTGTAAATGATATTTTTTTCATATGCATAGCAGCATCATGCAGTGACATAATATGAAGATTAAAGAGGTTTAAATCTATATATGTTCTCATTTCTCTAAAAAATAGAGATTTTATAGGGGTTAGTCCACTAATTATGATGTATCTGATTTTTTTAAAAATTACTCATTGAAAAAAAAACAGAAATGGTGCCATGTACCAGTACCACTAAATATATTTAGCATACATGAATATAAATTTAGAGTGTGATTTATTTTTAGAACAACATTAAGGAGGCAAACCTTTAGTATATATAACATTTATTGAAAAAACTAAATATGTTGTAAGAATACTTAGATATTATGGTATTTTGTTTAAATGCATAACTTCATCATGCACTGACATTTGATGAAAATTAAAGAGATATGAGATCTTATTTGTCCCGTATCTATAGAAATTACATATTTTATAGGAATAGTCCATAAAATTAAGTGGAATATGAAATTTTATTAAAGTACTCATTAAAATATTAGAAGAGATGTCCATGTACCATGAAAATAAGTTTAACATACATTAATAAAAGTGTATAATGTGATTAGGTATTTTTTAATCAACATGAAAGAGCTTAAACTTCAGTATATAGCATTTATCAGAAAATTTGATTTTTTTGTAGGGGTTAACCTACAGATTTCATGATAAATTAGAAAATACAGTATTGTTATTTTAATGCATAGATGTATCCATCACAGATATACGATGAAAATCAATGATTTCTGACACCTTTATTGTCTCGATTTCTCTAGAATATAGAGATTTCATAGGGCTTAGTTCTTTGATTTACGTGGTATATGAAGTTTTATTAAATTACTCGTTGGAAAATTATAATTGATGTCCATGTTCCATGAGAATAAATTTAGGATACTTTAATACAAATTTTCAAAGTGGTTATATATTTTAAACAACACTAAAGAAGCTAAACTTAAGTACAAATAACCCACAGATTTTAAGATAAAATAGAAAAATATGAAATTTTTGTATTTATGCATATATGCATCCAACATGAATATCAAAGAGTTTTGATCCTTGAACTATCCAAATTTCTATAGAAAATTAAGATTCGCAACTACATAGTTGCATGACTTGCATCCATCACTGACATAGAAAAAAAAAAGCAAACGCATTTAAACCTAATCATTTACTAAACTAATAAAGTAAATTATAATGATTAGTATTACATTCATGATTATATGGTAACACTAAGAGATCTTTTTCATTAGCATATTTTTTTTGGTAAATTACACATGCATTTTTTCATTATTTGTATCTTTTATAAAATTTTAAAATATATTAAATTGTATTTATAGTTTCAAATAACTTATAAAATAATATTAAGATATATATATATATATATATATGTATTCAAATTAGTATTGGCATATTAAATTGAATTATAATATGAAATTGTAAAACTAATATAAAATTTTAGTAGCATCTATAAATGAATATAGACAAATGTAATCAACATTATACACATGTTATAAAGACTTTGTTGAAAAAAAATAAACAGTATTTCTAGAAAAGATATAAATTATACAATATGGTATATTTTATAAAATGAATATTCGTATGATATCGCACGTATTCTTTACCTAGTATATATAAAAGTTCTAGGACTCTATCTCTAGCATAAATGATTTATATAAGTGATCATGGTTGGAGACAAAAAAATATACAGGAAGAAAAGAGATAATCAAGGGGAGAACACAATCTTCATTTGTTTTCAAACTTAGGGACCCTTAACTCCCTCCACTTCTCCACTATCTTTGGAAAACAGACAAAACTTTTTTCCATCCATTTCTTCTCTTCTAGCTCCTTTTCTTAATTAATCATTGTCTTGTTTACCTAATTTCCACCTTATTTCTTCATTTCAAGACAATTTTTTTTCACGTTCCAAAAACAAAACTGAAAAAAAAAAAAAGAAACACAACCTTGAAACTAAAGTTAATCATTAAAGTATAGAAGTTTTACTTAATAATTTCTGTAAATTTTGCTCAAATCCATGAGTTCCCCAAACTTCAGACATTAAAGGTAAACTGTCTTAATTAATCTTCTGCCTCAGTTGTTTGTTTAATATATGCACCTACCTCGACGTGCAAACCAATCCTCTAGCTAAGATTCTATTCAATAGGACATGAGGCATTAGTCAAAAAAGAAAACAAGACATGAGAAAGACTTGTAATATTCGTGACAACACGTAATATCCATATATGGATGTTAAAGAAACTCAAAATCCCTATTAACCCTTCTTTAACAAACAGGTTTCTCTGATCTGTAAGAATCATCGTGTCTTCTCGCTGGCTATGTTTTCGAAGAAGACGGGCAAGAAGCTTGACTCCTCTGAGGTAAGTACACGTGAGGTTGTCCTAAGTATAATGATCATAATTTTAATTTCAGATATTTTTTTGTGCAGTCAAGTCATCATGTCTCGTCCTTGGAGTCAAAAGAATCAGCTAATCATACAGATTATCCACCGTTAAATATCATTCATCAAACTCCACAACCACGCAGAGAGATCCAAAAACCAGAACCGGGCGGGTTCAGCAATCACTACCGTCCTATCCCCAGTCCGAAAGTCCCATCATCACCTGGTTCCAGCATGACCGATGCATCAAACATAAACACAAAACCAAACAACAACAGTAATAACAACAGCAATAGGAGTTCAAGATGCAGCAGCATTGAGAGCACTTCCTCTAATCCCTCTAAGCCACACACAGGTGGTGACATTAGATGGGACGCTGTCAACATGTTAACCTCTAGAGGAGTCCAGCTCGGGATCAACGATTTTCGGCTTCTGAAACGTCTTGGTTACGGAGACATTGGGAGTGTTTACTTAGCTGAGCTTAAAGGTACCAACACTTATTTCGCTATCAAAGTGATGGACAAAGCTTCTTTGGTTAGTAGGAACAAGCTGTTGCGAACTCAAACTGAGAGAGAAATCTTGTCTCAGCTTGATCACCCGTTCTTGCCTACTTTATACTCTCATTTTGAGACGGATAAAGTCTTTTGCTTGGTCATGGAGTTTTGTGGTGGCGGGAATCTCTATTCCTTGAGACAGAAGCAACCTAACAAGTGTTTCACTGAAGACGCATCGAGGTTAGTTTAAAAAAAATTGATTGCACGAACGCAAAAACCATTCATCCATAAAATTTTCAACATTTTTCTGAATGACTAAGAGATTCTAGACCGTATGCTATATATCACCATAAGGCTAGATTTTGAATATGTTAAATTAATATTTTTTTAGAGTGAAAATTTCTTTCAAAAAATTAAATATAATCTAGTCTTGGATGTTTATACCAAATTTGATAACTAAACCGAATTCAATCCGAAAAAAAAAATAAATCCAATCCAAACCATTTAAAAGAATATTCAAGTAGACTGAATTTCGAACTATTATCTATTTAAGGGGTATGTACTCTAGAATTTAGATATAACCTAAACTAGACCGAAATTCTAACTATTATCCGAAAATCTGAAAATCCGGTCTGAACTTACTATAACCCATTAAACCATTGATAGGAAAACTAAGAGCTTGATTTATACATTAAACCAACTATTTGCCATTAAACCAATTCCTAGTTGCTTATAATAAAATTCAAATTAATGAACAAAGTTCCCTATTTTGTTATTACAGATTCTTTGCTTCTGAAGTGTTATTAGCAATGGAGTATCTACACATGCTCGGAATCGTATACCGTGATCTCAAACCAGAGAACGTCCTCGTCAGAGACGACGGACACATCATGCTCTCCGACTTCGACTTATCCCTCCGCTGCTCCGTCAATCCAACTCTCGTCAAATCCTCCTCCGTCCACGGCAGCGGAAGCAGCAGCAGCAGCAACCGTCCCATCGGACTCATCGACGACGAACCATCTCTCCAAGGCTGCGTCCAACCCTCCACCTTCTTCCCACGCATCCTCCACTCCTCAAAAAAAAACCGTAAATCCAAATCAGACTTCGGACTCTTCGTCAACGGCTCCTTACCAGAACTCATGGCCGAGCCAGCGAACGTCAAATCAATGTCCTTCGTAGGCACACACGAGTACTTAGCCCCGGAGATCATCCGCGGAGAAGGACACGGAAGCGCTGTAGATTGGTGGACGTTAGGGATCTTCATCTACGAGCTTCTCTACGGAGCGACGCCGTTTAAAGGACAAGGAAACCGCGCCACGCTTCACAACGTGGTTGGACAGCAGTTGAGGTTCCCTGAGACTCCTCACGTGAGTTCCGCGGCGAGGGATTTGATCAAAGGACTGTTGGTTAAGGAGCCGATGAAACGGATCGCTTATAAGCGAGGCGCCACGGAGATTAAGCAGCATCCGTTTTTTGAAGGTGTGAATTGGGCGTTGATACGGAGTGCGATGCCTCCGCACGTGCCGGAGCCAGTGGATTTCACGTGTTTCGTGAGTAAGGATAAGGAGACTACGGTGGTGGTGGTGGGTGGAGATGGCGGGAAGAAGAGTAACGATCCTGATTATATTGACTTTGAATACTTTTAGTTATTGATAATCGTTATACTTCTTTCGAAATACATTTTTTTCCCGCCTTTATATTTCTAGATATTTTTAGTGATAATTGGGTTTTTATTCAACATTTTAACTACTGTCCAACATCAAATCAAATGTATAAATACATGATTTTCATTCCATTATGTGTACTTTTTGTAAATGTTATTTGGAAATGCAATGAGACATTGAAGAATATATAAGGGGACATTGAATATAACCAATTGGGAACTATATTTGAATCAAACATATGATATTTTTATGGAAAAAATTTCTAAAATATCAGTCTAAATAATAGCATCAAATGAATATTTTTTTCAAAAATAAATACATTTGATGAGAAAAAATCTACTCTAACGTCTAAACTATGGTTTACTGTTTAAATACTAAAACTCTAATCATTAAATTCTAATTCAAATATTAAATATGTATTTGTTTTTATCTTAAATAAAATATTCAAAAGAAAATGTGTGCTAATTTTGTTGGAAAAAACATAATTTAATGCTATTTCAGGATATTTTCCCATCAAATATTATACATTCCCAACTGTAATTCTTATTTTTTTCAACTTTACACTAATAATTGAATCAGAGTGTCGGCTAAGGAGCAGGCCACCGCGTGGACCCCCCCCCCCCCCCCATACTCACTCTGAAAACAGCGTAAACCTTTTTCATATATTTGATTTCACATTTTTCTAACTGTGACTTATTAATGAATCTCACAAGCAAACATATCTTCTTCGTATGGCTCTTATTCTCTTCTTATACGTTTTCTCCTTCATTGTCTTTTGCTTAGGACTACGACGTCTCTTTCACTTTAACAGGAGAAAAGAACCAACTCATCTTCTGCACCCTGTAACCTTGCCTCAAACTCAATCGCTCACCTCACCCTCCTCTCGTCCCTTGTGGAAGTACGATGTCTTCCTCAGTTTCAGAGGAACAGATGTGCGCAAAGGCTTCCTCAGCCATCTCTACAAATCTCTCACCGACAACGGCATCCACACTTTCCGCGACGACACAGAGCTCCAACGAGGGAACTTCATCAGCCCTGCGCTTCTTGAAGCCATCGAACAGTCGAGATTCGCGGTCGTTGTTCTCTCCGAGAACTACGCCACCTCTCGCTGGTGCTTGCAAGAGCTTGTGCACATCACCAAGTGCTGCGTCGAGAAGAAGCAGATGGAGTTGATCCCTGTCTTCTTCGGCGTTGATCCTTCACATGTCAAGAGACAATCTGGGAACTTCGCAAAGGCCTTTGCTGAACATGACAAGAGACCTGATACTGAGACTGTGGAGTCATGGAGAAAAGCTATGGCTACGGTAGGATTCATCTCTGGCTGGGATTCAAGAAACTGGTGATGATTCATTTCTTTTTTTTATTTATGTTTACTGAAATTTGAAACCATATACTATATCATCTATAGATCTCACTATGAATAATAATAAGATATAACATATATTTATATAAATAAAGTTCATATACATTAGTTATTAGTTTATGTTAGTAAAAACTCTATACATTAATAATTTTAGAATTACACTAAAATTTTATTTTTTAATTATTTTATAGATATATTACTTTATCGATATACTAATTGAACCAAAAACTCAATTTTTGAATATAAAATTTAATTGAACCAAAAAATCAATTTGTGAATATAAAATTTTATTATTTTATAGAGATATTTAATGTATATTAATTTATCGAGTATTAATTTATAAATTTTCTATTGTATTAAGATTATATATCTATATTAAAAATTCATAAGAAAATATTATTTTATTATATTATCAAACTATGTTATATTTTACATTTGTCCACACCTCTAACAGCTATGGAATCTATGAATTCATCGAGTATTAATATAGACACACAACATCTTCACATTGTCATGTAGGAACGAGGAGTCAAAGCTTATAGAGGAGCTTGTTCAAGATCTCTCAGACAGATTATTCTCACCAGTGTCTTCAAGTGATAGTGGTGAATGGATTGGTATGAGTACACACATGAGAAGTATATATCCTTTGATGAGAAAAGACCCTAACGATGTCCAAATGGTTGGAGTCTGGGGCATGGGAGGTATTGGTAAAACCACCATTGCTAAATATATCTACAAAAGCTTCTTAAACAAGTTTGATGGTGCTTGCTTACTAGAGAATGTGAAAAGAGAGTTTAAACGACAAGGACCGTCACATTTACGTGAAAAGATCTTGTCCGAAATTTTTCGTAAGAAAGACATAACCACATGGAACAAAGATGCCGATGTAATGAAGCAACGGTTACAAGGGAAAAAAGTTCTTCTCGTCTTGGACGATGTTGATGACATACAACAGCTAGAAGAATTAGCTGGAAGCTCTGATTGGTTTGGACCAGGAAGCAGAATCGTTATAACCACTAGAGACAGACGTGTTCTTGACCAGCACGATGTGGAACGCATCTACGAAGTTAAGCCTCTAAGAACTACACAAGCACTTCAGCTCTTTAGCAAACATGCTTTCAAACAGCCTCGTCCTTCTGAAGATTACAGAGAGCTCTCCCTCGATGTTGTGGAGCAGCTTGGTGGTCTCCCGCTAGCTATCCAAGTCGTTGGAGGATCTCTGTACCGTAGAGAGATGGAGTTCTGGGAAGACAAACTAGATCTACTGAGAAACAATAGCGATAACTCTCTGTTCAAGGCGTTGAAAGTAAGTTATGAAGCGTTGGATGAGCTAGAAAAGAAGATATTTCTTTACATTGCGGTTTGTTTCAACGGAGTGTATATGGACCGTGTTAGAAAAGTATTAGACCTTTGTTTCGTGTCTTCCAGGAGAAGAGTGTTACCAACAAGACCGAGCATTGTAGCTCTGATGGAGAAGTGTATGATTAGTTTGTCAAAGAAGAAACGTTTATGGGTTCATGACTTGCTCCAAGACATGGCTGAGGATATTATATGTGAAGGGAAAGATGAGAGGCCATGGAAATGTTTAATGCTGTGGGATTTTGAGGATATTAATCACGTTTTCTCCAATTTGGTAAGCATAGAACCTTTCTCAAGCTCATTCTTACACAATGTTCAAAATTATTTATTTTTTATATTTACATACGATATTTTAATTTTTAAATATAAATATCAATTATTTTAATAAATTATAGAAACTACATATACAAAATATGAACTAGACAAATTGTGAATTTGCACTAATATTATTGTTTAATATATACTATTATCTGACAAATCATTTATGGGCATTCGAACTCTTACTTTAAAAGTTAAAACCGTTGTTACCATTCATAAACTTTTATATAATTTATTATATTATTAAAAACAGATTTTAAATTGATAATATTAGATATAAATATTCTAATATTTGTGAGTGTTTTAAAATTTTCAGCACAAAAATAATCATATATATTTTTATGAAAAATTATCGTATATAAATTGCTTTATATTTGATTTAAATATTTTAATAATTCTATAAATAATTTTTAATTAACAAGACATAAACTAATAAATATTCATTTTCTTAAAACACCTAGTTTAAGGTTTAAACTAATTTTAACTAATTTTAAACGGTTTAATTTGAATGTGTGTTTAATCACAAGGGAGATGAAGCAGTTGATGTGGAAAGCATATTTCTAGACATGTCTGAAGGAAATGAACTTAGTATTACCCCTGGAATCTTCAAGAAGATGCCAAATCTCAAGCTGCTTGAATTCTACACTAACACCAGCCTTGTAGAGAGCAGAACAAAGATGTTAGATGGTCTTGAATACCTTCCTACGCTACGTTATCTTCGCTGGGATGCTTATCATCTAAAGTCTTTACCATCTCAGTTCTGTACTAGTTTCTTAGTTGAACTCAACCTCTCTCACAGCTCAATAGAGACTGTTTGGAGTGGAAGTGAGCAAGATCTTGGAAACTTAAGGAGCCTAAACCTCACAAGCTGCAAGAACCTAAACGAGTTTCCAAATCTTTCACAAGCAACTAATCTCGAGACTCTTAAACTCTCAAACTGTGATAACTTGGTGGAGATCCCTGAGTCCTCTCTTAGACAACTCAACAAACTAGTCCACTTCAAGTTAAGCAACTGCAAGAATCTAAAGAGGTTTCCAAACAACATCAACTTGAAATCTCTCAGGTCTTTACATCTAAACGGATGCTCTAGCCTAGAAGAGTTCCCATTTATCTCAGAGACCATCGAGAAGTTGCTTCTCAACGAGACATCTATACAACAAGTGCCAATTTCAATAGAACGTCTCACTCGTCTCAAAGATATACATCTCACTGGCTGCAAGAGACTAATGAATCTCCCAGAGTGCATCAAGAACTTAAAGTTCCTCAACGATCTTGGACTCGCAAACTGTCCTAATGTCACATCGTTCCCACAAGTTGGAACTAATATTAGATGGTTGAATCTGAACAAGACAGGTATACAAGAAGTGCCTTTGACGATTGGGGACAAGTCAGAGCTTCGTTACTTAAACATGTCTGGATGTGACAAGCTTGTAAATCTTCCTCCAACGTTGAAGAAACTAGGACAGCTTAAGTACTTGTATCTTCGTGGTTGCATTAATGTCACCGAGTCTCCTAACCTCGCTGTTGGAAACACAATGAAGACTTTGGATTTACATGGAACATCAATAATTGACTCCAAGGGAGAAGAGCCTCCTCAGTGTGAAGTACCTGTTATAAGACGGTTCTTTTTGAAGAACGTTCGTGAACACATCAAGAGACGCAAATCCAACAGATGATAAGGATCACTTAGGACACGTGACCAAAACTGCCAGGTGTAACACCTCCTTGGCCAGGTGTTGAGTTTAGAGAACATGGCTTGAGTGTATATATATATATAAGTTTTGGTGGAGACAAAAAAGATAAGAGAAGAGATAACAATGTCGGGAGCGCAAGGAGCAGAGCCGATGGGATCAAGGACGGCGACGACGTATGAGTCGGTGGAAGGAGGAGAGAACAAGACAAAGCTGGATATAAGGTCAAAGGAAGATGAAGGTGGAATTAAAGTTGACAAGATTCAAGACAAGGTTACTGATGCTGCTGGTCTAGGCGGACCTGTCTTTGGTGCTGGTAAAGATGACAAGAAGCAGGATCTTGGTGTTACTGGCACTGGCTAATACTATGTTTATGTCATGTAAAGTATGTGTTTCTCGTCATGTAACGTTTAGTGTTTTGTTTAAGAAACAATAGTAGATGAATAAAGTAATGTCCTATACTCTTTGGTCTGAAAACTAACATTTGTAGACATGTGGATAATATATATGGAAAAATACATAAAGAAGTAAATATTATCTATAATATATATGGGAAAATACAAGAAAGAAGTAAAACTAAAAAGGTAAATAAACGACCACGGTGGGACTCGAACCCACAATCTCCCGCTCCGGAGGCGAGCGCCTTATCCATTAGGCCACGCGGCCTTCTTGTTTTATCCTTGTATCTTATGATAAGATCGATTCATTTAATATCTTCTGTTTGCTGAATCTACTCTAGTCCAAAGAAAAACAAAGAGAAATCACCATTTGTGATTTGAGAAAGATGAAAAAGTTAAAAAAAAATTCCAAGATCTAATAAGCATGGACCAAGTCCTCTTCTTCTAGAGGCAGATTCTAAACCAAGCAAATAGATTTTGATTATTTCAAGCTAATTCCTCACGAAAATATAATTATCTACATGTTTTTAGTTCCAAGATGTTTTTGGTTCCAAGAAAACTGACCTAATTTTGTAGTTACTAAGATATGCACACTATGAGTTTTAGCAAAAATATATATTATGTATGTGGTCAATCTATCATAGTTTTGATACATTTTAGCTAAGTATTGCCAATGCAACATAAAATAACAATGATTTTTTTTAAAAAACAAATAACAAAGATTGTTATCCGTAATCTTCAAGTGATCTTCACTCACTCAATCGTTATCAGCTCCATCAATATCTGCAACTTTCACTATTTTTTATATCTACATACACAAAGCCAAACTCAATCTAGATATCGAAACCACAATGAAACTTCAAAACAAAATAATAAACCAAAGCGAAATTGAATATAAAGAGAAACAACAATGAAATTGAATACATAACGAAATGACAACAACAGTTTCTCGATAAGAGAAAAATGATATGCAGTATTAAACAATTATAAGAATACACTACATATGATGTTTTTTGGGGGCCAAATTTTTGATGTCATCTTACATTATTGCAATGAATAAAGAAAATAACAATTTATTTACGCGGTTGAATTGTTGCTTCTCGCATTTCCAATTCAAAAACAGAATGTGAATATCAAGAGAAAATGTGATAGAATCTAAACAGAATCTTGTATACAAAAAATGTAAACTAAACTATATTTTAGGAGAGTGACGAAAGATAACGTGGTTTTGAAATTGCGTGAAAGATTGCGTGAGAATATTAGTTTGGTTTTAATATGAATTTAATTATTTATTAGTGGTTTTTGATATTTTTAAATTAAAAACAGAGTTGAGAGCTGCAAAAATAACATATAAGTAGGAAATAATTTTAATCGCTCTATTAGCTGCGTGAATGACATTTGAGATCATTATGAAAAGGACTTGGTTATTTTTCTAACTTATTTTAACCTTTTTTGCTTGATGTTATCTTTTTGAGCTCTTGGACTGAAAATATTCTAGCACAGGTTTGATATAGTGATTTTATAAGATAATTGTGGCCAATACATATCTAGGTGCATATTGTTTTCTAAACATCCATGGGTATCCAAGTTTTTGAAATTTGGTAATTGTCGCTAATTGTTTGCTATGTTCATGGACTGTGCATAGTGAAATCTCTTTGAAAACTATATGAATTCCCATATTTCATGAATATTTATAACATTTTGAAAAATGAGTTACTATTAAGAAGTTCAAGCATTATTTAAAAACAATCATAAGTGACTGATGAAAAGACTGTCAAAGAATGAAAAGTTTTAAAATGAATTTAAGTTAGAACTGGTTCCAACTTAGTTTCACTTTTTCATAACATTGAGTAAAAAAAACTACTTGTAGATAAAACATAAAAATACATATTATCTTAAAAATACAAATAATTTCTTGTATAAAATGTAATCATGCAAAACCATGATAACACATTTTATCTCCATAATCTCTCTATTTATCTTTGTCATTTACCGTCTTAACCATCAATGATATTATCTTTCTTTTTTTCATAAATTGCTTCATTCTCATATATCAGTTTTGTTCGAATGGTTTTCTTAAGTTGTCTTTAACTTATAAGAAGTTATCAAGATTTTGCAATATCATGTTTAAGTTTGCTATAGCATGTGTACTCAACTTTTCTTGACGATGTGTGATTTGAGGCTGTTATATTGAAAAGAAAAAAAAATCACCAAGATTTTAAGTTATTTTCATGATATAATCATTGAAATCATATGGTCTTCATTTCCATGATCTCTTGGACATATATTTTTTACATATAAATACATTTTTTTAGCAATATATAAACATATTCCCTATGAATCAGATTATTGGAAAAACATAATTCAAAACATATTAAACAGTTATAAGAACACATTACACATGATGATTTTTGGGGAGTTAAAATTTTGATATCATCTTACATTATTGCAATGACTAGAGAAAAATATGTTTTATTTACACGGTTACAGTATATGTGTGTGGATGTGCTATTTTATCTTGTATCATAAATAATAACATAAGTAAAAATCATACTGAATTATAAGAAAATTAATTTGGTTTATATAACATTATTGAAAAGATACTCATGTTCTTCATTGTTAATGCTCATCAATATAATCATTATTGTATTAATGGAAATACTAGATACAACGTTTACAAATATAACGAACCAAAATTTGTATGAAATTTAAATAAATAAGCGTTTAAGTTCGTTCCTCAGCCATCGACTAAGGCCCTGCTTTAAATGTACCATGAAATCAGAAAAGCTCTTTATTTTTAGCTAATTTTGGCTTAGAGGAACACTATGAACGAGCTCTTACAAAAGGTCCCAAACTCAGAAAGCTACACAATGTTACATCTTTAAGCAAACACATTTAAAAGAAACAAAAGAGATTCAAAAAGGGAATCCTTTACGAACATACTTCTTGGATTCTACACCCAAACGTTTCACGTTTTTAGCTTTCTCATAAAACTCCATCAACTCAGCCACAACATCTTCTTGATGACACATTACATAAACCTTCAAGAACCGTTTCTCACTCATCCTCAGCGCTGTAGCAATGCTCACATCTTCCACCAACGGCTTCAGACCCATTTCAAAGACTCTCTTCACGAGATCCACACGAGGCCTTATCTGAGTCTCGAGGTTGGCCAGAAGCAAGAAAGGGTGCTTAAGCACGGAGTGAGCCGCAAGTTTCATCGATGCTACAACGTAAGTCATGTTTCTCTGAACTTTCTCAACAGACAAAGTGAGTAGGATTGGGCATTTCCCACACAGACACCAAATCTCTTCTTCTGATAACCCAAACTTCTCCAAATTTGCAACTTTCTCTTGGATCGTCTCCATCCTCGTTACCCCTATGATAGCTGCAACGTATTTAAACATCTTGGACTCTCTGTTTACCCCAGTTTTCTGAATGTACTCAAGCTTTCCCTTGTTGAAACTCGTCCTTGGAATCACCGTGGGTCTAGACATCAACATGGCCACAAGATCCTGCTGGCTAAACCCTAACCCTTTGTAGAATTCTATCGCTGGTTTGATCTTTTCATCAAGGTCATACAACATCAGAGAAGGGTTCCTAATAATGGCTCTCCGCAACACCTCTTTTGACCCCAAAACCTCCATGAAGTAGTTGATTCTTTCGTCGAGGACGAGGTGAATACGAGAGCTAAAGAACTTGGGACGGCAAGTAACAATCTTCACAAGGTCGGATGATGTGATCCCCAATGGAGTAAGAAGGCTGAGTTTGAACTCTAGCTGAGAGACATTTGCTCTCTGCAAAGCTGGTCTACTAATGAAAAGCTTTGAGATTTCATCGTCGTTACAACCCCAGTTTCTTAGAACTTCCAAAGGAGTTAGAGTCCGTCTCACTTTAACACCATCAACCACTCTCCTCGGCGATACAACCGTTTGATCAGAAGCGTTAATGCGTTCTTCGGATTCATTCAGGCATAACGTCGAACACGTGGTGGTGATGGTGGCAGATAAGTGATTTCTTCTAACTAAGGTTGAACTAGTGGACAGTAATTTGATGAAAGCTAATACATTTATCTTCCCCGTTGAATGCATTTCTAATAAAGGAGCAAAATTTTCAACAAGAATCAACAACAGCACAAGCAGTAGTGACATTTACACGATGCTTGCTTCTTCCCATTAACTTACCAAGCTTGTGATGCAGGAGCGGAGAGAACAGATTCACACCAATGAGAAGAGAAGGAGGAAGCGGTTGAGAGAGATCATGTAATGCAGCAGACAGCGACTTTTCGGACCAGGTTTTGCGACGATTGTGTTTGTGTCATAAAGAGAGTCTGAGGCGAGAGATATTAGTGCCACTATTATTTTGTATTCAATTTAATAAACCACTAGATTTTCACCCGCCTTTTATATTTTTTATAAAATTAACTTATATATTTGTATCATTTTTATAATTATATTTATCTTAAATATTAATTTAATTTATTATAACTTTTTGTAACTATATTAAAATCACTTTTAAACTTTATTCTTAAAGTTTACAATATATTATATTTTTTAGTAGTTACAGCACAATTAATCAAGAATACTCGTACCAAAAAGTGTCATATCTCAAAACCAATATTAAATCCAACGCACCAAACTTAGGTGTAGCCATTTGTGTAAAACCAACTACAAACACCTCTCTCAATCATGATATATCTAACAAGTTCCGCAACAAGAGCTCTAAGTAGAACAAACTTTAAACTGTATTGCTTTGATTGTATCATCAACCTCAAAGTGTACAAGAAGCAAGAAAAGAGGTAACTAACTAGCTGTGAACAAAAGCAGAGGAAGGTTTTGGTTCTTCTCTTTTATTCACTTCTGCTTGATCTTCCAGTTGTGAGCTGTTCGTGGGGCAGTAGCGATTCCCTCGTAGTATCTGGACTCAAGTTTGCCTCTGTTCCATGCCTTGACAAAGCGAGAAAACAACTCCCTTGCAGACTCGGTCGTGAGATCATTAAAGTAAGTGCGCTTCTTCTCTTTCAGCCAAGTCGCAAACTCGTTGTTCTTAGAGAAGTAGTCCTCACTTGATAGCTCTGGAATCCCCTCTTTCTGGTGAAAAGGAAAAAGAAGGAGAAAAAGAACATCTTATCAGAGTGTTCATGTACATGATTATGCGTCAGACATTATTACATTAGGCACATAAAGAGTCTCCAAAGCAATATACATACTATCAGATATCATTATATTAAGGAAAAGGGTAAGAGAGAGAGAACTCACTAGCTTGTGGTCACCTTCTGCGCCTTTCTTTTTGTGCTTATCATCCTTCGACTTCTTTGCTGCCCAGATAGAAACGAAAACAAAAATGTCAGCATGAAACAACTCATTCTCAGTAACCACCGCAACTAACAAGGGCAAAGACAACGAATACAGCTCATGCTTAAAACATCAAATTAATAGCAATGCGATTGAAAGCTCCGTTTAACCTTGTAACCAAGACAGATACTTTCTTCCTACCTATAATAATCCCTCAACCAACAGATTTCAACTACAACCTTTTCCCTCTTTAGAAGAATATAGTTAAGAAAAAGCATACTTATCCTTTGTTAATGGTCATAGAGCTATGAATCTACAAGGTAAAGAAGTAAAAAGACATCAAATAATCAAATGTTCTTATGGCCATCACATGCTATTGCTAACGATTTAAGAAGTATTAATTATACATGTACTTGATCGGTGGTGCTTATGAGATTTCTTTTCCTTCTTCTTATCACTTCTCCTACTACTTCTCCTCTCATCATCTTTCTCACTTCCTCTATGCCTCTTACCTCTTTCTTCGCCTGCCCATTCATAAAGACACAAACTTTAAACATCCACAGACACTACGATTCAACAACAAAGTCAAAGTTTCGGCCTTTCAATCCACAAATTCAAAATTGAGAATGATCCTTAACTTACAAACAGAGAAACTCAACAAAGCCCTAAAGTTTCTCGGGAAACAGAAGCAAAAAAGAGTGTTATCTACAGAGAAGTAAGAAACATACCCTCGGAAGAGGAAGGATCTTCGCTCCTTGCTCCTCTGCTTCTTTTCTTCTCCATCGAGCTCCGTTCGCTTCCCATTATTTTCCGTCGATTGAAAACGAACGACATATCTCACTTTTATTTGGGTCCTGAGATCATAATTCAGGATTCTCGGGTCGGGTCGGATCTTCTTATGCTTAAATTTCATTTAAGACCTCATACGTTTTTATTTTTTCTCATACCGCCCCCATCGTTTTACCCAATAGGATGCAACACCCTTTTAACTTGAAAAGTTTTATTACCTCATCCATTTCACTTGAAGTAATGTTTTATTTTAATTGATGTTTCATGTTTCTATAAAAAAAATTTTATATTATATAGTATTTTTCACTATTTGTATTTTTAAAAACAAATTATACATAATAGTCTTTGTATTTATACATGATTGCGAAATAAACATTATGTTCAAATATAACTGCAAAGTAAATCAATCATGTTTTTATATAGAATTTAAAAATAATCTTATGTTTATAAGGAGCTGTAAAATAGTTGTCTATGTATTTATACAATATTGCAAAATAAACATTGTATTCATATATAACTTCAAACTAAATCCTATTATTTATATGAAATTTTATCAATATGGAATTATAAATAGTAGTCTTTGTATTTATATATGATTGCAAGTAAATATCTAGATCTATTATAACCAACTTGATTTTATCTAACTCCATTGAATTTTCAAGAAACATTAGGAGAGCTGCAACATTCTTGAGATTATCTTCTTGATTTGGTAATGATTGGCACTATACACGTTGAGAAGAGTGAAGATATGGAGAAAAGGACGTTGCCTTGACTCGTTGTTAAGTTCACACTTGTTTACTTGTTAGTCAGCAAAAGTAGCTGATGCATCTAATATCTATTACAAAACAAGTGCAATGTCGACGTTTCAAATTATCAAAACTAAACCCAATACGTAACCCATCGATTTTTCAATATACTCTAGAAATTTCTTGAGTAAGAATCTTGAAGATGGTTTAGTCTGAAGCTTTAGTATTATTTAGTATATTTTAACCAGCTATACGTATTATTTATACACTGAAAATGACAAGAAATTGAGATACATTTTCTCTACTACCTAACTTTCCTTGTAAATATAGATATCCATAATAATCTCTCTCTTTGGGATCATCGTATGAAAATATAAAATACGTCAAGTAATCACAACTTGGTATTTGTTAATGTGTCATGAGCTCGTAGGTCGTCAAGAGTGATGAATCTTTGTCTTGTGCTCCATGTTTAAGCTGTTGATTATCGTCTTCTTCTAATCCGAGTTCGGTTTCCAAGTGCTTCAACCATTTCTTGACTTCATCCTCATCACACTCTTCTTCTCCTCTTGAAACTGAACTGTTCTCGTTTGGACCATCTAAGAAACTCCATATGTCAAGACCTGAGTCAAAAGGGATCTCCAGTAGATCGGGCTTGTCTACTTCTTGAATAATGTCGTTAAACTCGCTATACTCAAACATTAAACCTATATTTGGATCATCTTCTTGGTTTAAATTGTTGGAACCACCAGAAGACACTGACGTAGTAGAGTCACGAGAGGTCTTTATGGTCAAACGATCTTCTGCTTGAGTCTTATCAGTAGAACAAGGAGAGGCCGGTTCAGCTGGATTCTTAACCAATCTTTTCTTTAGATGGGTATGCCACACATTCTTGATCTCATTATCTGTTCTTCCTGGAAGTTTAGAAGCGATTTTGGACCACCTAATCAAAAATGCATAAGGCTAATGTCAATATCAAGAAGCATATAAACAGAGCATTTATAGAGGGAATTACTTGTTTCCATAGTTTTGATGAAGCTTGATGATCATTTCTTCTTCCTCTGCACTAAAGTTACCTCTCTTAACATCTGGTCTGAGGTAATTAATCCATCTTAGACGACAACTCTTCCCACACCTCAACAGACCTTTTCAGAATCAAGTAGAAGAAAAAAGAAAGAGCCATTAAAGAGGTTTTGCTTTGATAATGAATCATTAAAATGAACACAAAGCAACAACATACCAGATTGTTTGGGGAGAGATCTCCAGTTCTCATGACCAAACTTTTGAATGAAAGATATGAGCTTCAAGTCTTCTTCTGGGCTCCATGGACCTCTCTTCACTTTACTCTTGTCACAACAAGGTGCTCTTCCTTTCCCCATTCTCTCTCACTCTATCTCCCCTCTCTCTCTCTCTCTCTCTATATATATATATATATACTATACACTCAAGTTTGAGATTCACTTTTACCAAATAAAATTAGTTCTGTTGTTTATATAAGTGAGAGGTAAGAGTGTGATCTTGACATGAGAAAGATGAATGTAAACGAAGGGATTTATAAATGTCAAATCAGATTTGTTGAGTGGGAAAAGTTTGTCTGTGGTATGGTTGATTGTTTGGTATTATTCCATTTTCTATTTGATACTTGATTTGGCATCCACATGATGCATGCAACTTATCTTTCCTTTTGACATTGATCCATATTGAATATTTCACATTTCTTTTAAATGTAATATCGTACATACTAATTTTATTTTTCTTTAGCTACTATATAACTAGTGGCCAATACAGAAGTTACAAGTTTAAATATTTTATTATAAAAAAAAATAACAATTATAAAGTAGCAGAAAGAAATTTCATATATCAATTTGATTCATATTATATAGTGTTTTGACTAATTAGACATCTACACCTAAAACTTGTTAATTAATTAAGAATTAGCTTAAAGTAAGCAATGAGATTTGATAATATTAAGTGTTGTCTAAGAAGCAATCTGGCTCCATGCATAAATACCAACTTTTGAATATAGACATCCCGTAATCATGTAATTCCAACACAAGGATTAAGAAATTAACTCTCATGAACAATGCTGTTTAAATTTTGATGACCCTTTCCCTCCATGCCATGAAATTAATGTATTTATATTTTTTCAGGACTATATATGTAATTAGTGTTTTTTTTTTTGCAATTGTAACTAGTGTAAATTGGATTATGTTTACCAGAAAAAATACGTCGCAAATACAGATAGAAAATGAACGTTTTTTAAACCTTAAATAAATTTAAAATGACGTACAAAACTGAGAGCTGAAGAAAATATAAAATTTTAAATGCTATAAAATATTCAAATCACATCCGAAAATAACCAATAAAAACGAAAGAGTATGTGTGAGCATAGAGCACGAACTCACCAAACTAAAGACTAAATCTAGTGGAAAAGGTCAGAGACTTACGTCTTTATTGACTTGTTTAATGTTTGGTGGGTTTGGTGTTGTTGTTGGCACCTGGTTACGTTAATTACTTAATACCACCAAACCTTCATTACTTAACACATTTCTCTGTAACCATCCAAAATTATTTAAAGTAGTTGTGACACATTCGCTACTACTCCAGAACTAATTAATATTTGGAATACGAAGTATTATCGATAATTGAAGCTAACTCGAAATAATAAGGAGACAATCATTCAAAGTGATGCAAAATATTCACTACTATACATACAATTTCTCAAGGGAAAATCAATGTATAAATGAAGTCGACATAAGAAAACATGGCGGTCTATGCTTTTTGCTTTTTTATGTGGCTCTTTGAAATCAGAAGGTTGGTGAACAAACTATGAGTGGAAAAGCTTTACAACTATCTTTTTTGAAAAGGTAAAACTATTAGTGGACAAAAGAGAAATGATATTTTTTTTCAACGTTCCTATGGAGTATGGACCTTATCGAAACGATGGAAACTTATTCTGTAAATTTATGATGAAAGCACGTATGTTGCTACTGGTAATCCATGCGTCAGAATCAGCTGATCCGATCGGCCCGAAAAAAACACACTTAATATTATAGAGTATACTGAATACCACATCACCTAACCCAAATTTAGAATACCTTCCGATTAATGTCAGATAATTTAGTTTCCAAAGAAAATCAAACCAAAAACTAATGAGAATACACATCAAACTTCAAAAAATTGCCATTAGGCTACCACCACTTGGTTGTGTACTAGACTTTGAAGTCCAGATTTGTAGCTAATGGGATAAGGCTATATGTCCGTGTTGTGTGTTCATAATAGATGTTTATTATTCGTTTACTTTGACACTTCAATTCAACCCTAAAGTTAACATACACTGTGATATCCGTGAACGTTGCATGCAAACCAAATTTCGATAAAACACATAGGCCAATTCAAATAATCCATAATCCTTTTTTTTTTGCTTAACATAATCCATAATCTTTTCACACAATTATTTGGAGTTTACAACAAGATATATGATATTAAACAAGTAGGTTTGGGAAAAGGGCACAACCGTACAAGGATAGTAGAACTTAAAATTACCTAATAATCACCTAAATGTAGTTAACGTTGGACTAAAGGTTTAAGAGGATTTAAAAAAAAAATGTTTAAGAGGATTCAATAATAAAGACACCTATCCTTGAAAACATGATCCTAAAGAATACTCCCTCCGTTTTGATATAAGTGACGTTTTGGAAGAAATGTTATGTTTCAATATAATTGACGTTTACAGAAAACAATGCAAAATAAAGTAAGAAAGGACTATGTTTACCCCTCTATTTACTCTATTCTATGTGCTTTACGAATCATAATAATCAATCAATGAGGGATATAAAAGGTATTATATTGAATACCTTAATTNTACTCCCTCCGTTTTGATATAAGTGACGTTTTGGAAGAAATGTTATGTTTCAATATAATTGACGTTTACAGAAAACAATGCAAAATAAAGTAAGAAAGGACTATGTTTACCCCTCTATTTACTCTATTCTATGTGCTTTACGAATCATAATAATCAATCAATGAGGGATATAAAAGGTATTATATTGAATACCTTAATTTGTGTGATAATCTCTACAGCGTCATATAATTAAAAACAGAGGGAGTAAATAATATACTATATCCATTCTTGGGTTGGTAGGACATTTGCTTAATAGTGGTGGGTTTTATTTTTCCTGATCACCTAACTAATCACTGATTAAGTCCAAGCAAAAAGTCAATAATTCCAAATGAAAAAAAATAACGGCAAAATAATCGCATACGATAAAAAAAAAATTTGGTGCAATACACTAAAAAGTTTAGCAGAGAAAACAAATCATCACGCATGCATGACGCACATGGATTTGTGATGAGAATAAATCTTATCTCATCATAAACGTGTTGTTTCGTATTTTAGAGTTGATTGATTCTACCAGAGATTTTTGTAATTATTCCATTTGATTTAGTAACAGCCAATAATTTAGACATGCAGTATATAGTTTATATCATCACTAACGCGTCATTTACTATATATTAGTATATAATTATTTATAAATTAATAAACATCAAAGCTATAAAATTTTATTAATCTAAAGAGATAATAATTTACAAAAGGGTAACTATAGACTAAAAATTTACTTTTACTATTTATCAATAATAAGAACCCCTCATTATTCTTTACTCGGAAATTGGTTAGAATAATCAATTAGAGATGAACATGGACTATTAGAGATGAACATGGGACATATAGAGGAGCAGGTCAAGCAAGGGGAAAAAGAAGTCAAGATGCATTGAAGTGTGAATTACAAGCTATTCTTATGGTTCTGCAACATTGTTGGAATTTAAAGTATCGTCGGATTGTCCTGGAGAGTGATAACAGAAAGGCAATAGATATCTTGAACAACACCAAACTTCATTTTGCATACTATTGTTGGAACCGTGAGATCAAATGGTGGACACATAAATTCCAGGAGGTCAAGTTCCAATAGGTCAACAGGAATGCAAATAAGGTCGCTGATTGTTTGGCTAAGGGTCTTGGAGATAGTGTAGATTTTTCATTTTATTATTATGTTCCGCACTACTTAGACCGGTTGTTGCATGATGATGATTATTAGGTTGCATGTTAGATTAATAAAACTTAATAAAATCTGATGTTAAAAAAAAAAAGGACCCCCGATTATTCATATGGGTTAACAGACACCCCCATAATTACATTTACTCAAACCAAACTGAAAGGAATAATAGCTGGGCTTAATGCTTAGTACACTTTAAATGGACCTATATATTTGAAACCCACGACCTCCAACTATATGATTGGACATTCATAGATGAAAAAATCGATTCTCGCTCTCAGTGTAGCCTAATTTTTTTCAGAAAGAGAAGAATTTAACTTACTCTTAGTTTACATTCACGTGTGAGTATTTTTTTTTATTACAGCACATTTGAGCATTCGTTGATAGTTGATACTGTGCAGCGCTTGGATGTCTACAAAACAAATACTATATGTTTTTCGTTTTACAAATAAAACATGCAGTGTAATTAATATATTATATTTCTACATCTTAATAGAAAACAAGCATTACCAGTATTCCACTCCAGCCTAAAAGAAAATAAAACGGAGTTTATATTAAAATAAATAGAGTTCAGAATGAGTAAATGCCAATTTTAAGGTTTATTTTGTGCATTAACGTAAATTTAATATCATTTAATTTCCAATTTAATTACCTCACCAATCTCCCATTTAAAAGCATTGAAATCCTAAGACCAGTCTCACTGACATATACATTAATATACCAAATTTATTTCACATTGCATTTTCATATTGATACGGTCACAATTAGAGCCAGCCGTCCGGTTAGGAGCAAGAATCCTCACAAACAAAAAAACCTCGAAAGCCATAGGTTTAAATATTCTATGAATATACATTATTATTATTTTTTCCTTTTTGCACAACAACTCTATGAATATACATTAATGTACACCAAATAACGTATAAATTGTTCAGAAAAGTTTTCTGAACGATTTATTTTTTATTTTACAACAATTTGTTGAGATATTTATTAGTAGTAACTTTCTTACGTCAATTGATCAATCCCGATAAAGTTTGTGTGTATAATTAAGTAAGTAAAAGGATGATATTAAATGTTGGGTATTTAAGAATATCATCCGTGAGCATCATCACTTCGTCACCCTAAGAAAATACTCCCTCTGTTTTTAATTATATGACGCTGTAGAGATTATCACACAAATTAAGGTATTCAATATAATACCTTTTATATCCCTCATTGATTGATTATTATGATTCGTAAAGCACATAGAATAGAGTAAATAGAGGGGTAAACATAGTCCTTTCTTACTTTATTTTGCATTGTTTTCTGTAAACGTCAATTATATTGAAACATAACATTTCTTCCAAAACGTCACTTATATCAAAACGGAGGGAGTANAATTAAGGTATTCAATATAATACCTTTTATATCCCTCATTGATTGATTATTATGATTCGTAAAGCACATAGAATAGAGTAAATAGAGGGGTAAACATAGTCCTTTCTTACTTTATTTTGCATTGTTTTCTGTAAACGTCAATTATATTGAAACATAACATTTCTTCCAAAACGTCACTTATATCAAAACGGAGGGAGTAGAAAATAGTGGTAGAAAAATGAAAAGAAACTTATTATTCAAAGCTATATGGGTCTGTTCTTAAATGCTTACACCTTCCTATTTCCTAAAAATGCCAATTAATTAATATATTACCATTTATGTTGCTACTAATTATAAATACTTTTTTAAAAAATAATGTTAACTGCAAACAATTAAACAAAACACATAAATAACGTCAGTATAGTTTCCCCGTGATTGTAATTAAACACAATTTAGGAAGTGTCGCTAATATGTTTTCAAAGCCAGCAACATGGACAGAAAGTTCGAAACGGCAATTGAAATGTTGATTTTTAGAAATTCTGTAACGATTTTCTTGCGTAATAAATTACATAATTAGTCATTATCAGTATTACTATTAAGGAGTATTAACTAACCACTGTTGACTAATTAAAGGGAATTAGTCAAATCACTAATTGAAGTTAGTAAGGTTTGAAAAGTAAATTTGGAGAGGCGCTTAGCATTTAATGCATTTCACTATCTCATTTAATACACTTTGGCTCTGTCTCTCTTCAATTCGACGATTCCTCTAGTAGTAACTATTACTACTAGAAAATACAAAATACCTACAAATATATTATAAGGAAACATATAAGAAACGGTACACTTAGGTATAAAGAGTGTGTTGAATGTTACTGTTGTGAAGAAGGAGGATGTATAGATTTAATGTCAGAAAGATGTAAAATTAAATAGAAATTTAAATGTGACAAAAATATGGTAAGGGTACTGGGTACATAAGAAATCGAATAGTTAGAAAACGTGTAGAGCGTGAAGTGGTAGAAAGAAAAAGGGTTAGAGATCAACACACATTAAATTCAATAAATTTTAATGCTAGTCAATAATGGTACAACGATAAATGTAACCTCCTCATTAATACTACACAGCTTCTACACCAGAGAAAGCAAATATAAATCAACTCTGAAACAAAACAATAAAAATCTAATTCGAGCAATTTTTTTTTTGCTGTAAAATACTTCAATTAGTATTAACAAAATCTATTTAAAATGGTTTAGCTGGCCCAACTAATTACAATAGCAAATAAATTAGTTGATCAAGAATTTTTGTACTACGAGCTACTTTTTATTATATACTACTATTTTACAAAACAATTATTTTTCTTTAATTAATATTTTATTTTTATTTATACTAATTAATAAAAAATATAAATGAAATTGTAAATTTTACCAAACATATACAACAGTAAATTATAAAAATTTACAATAAATATTTAATATGAAACGTATGGAAAAAAAATTACAGCAATTAATAAAAAAATTAAATTTGCAATGAAATTTCCTCTACAATTTCTATTTCAACATTTCGGCTCTTAATATTGGCTCCTTCTATATAACACTCTCTGCGTTTTTTACACATCCCATCACTCTCTCTCCGTCTCCCTCTCTCTCTCTCGCTCTCTTTATTTCTCTCTCAATTCTACTATGGCTGCTGACGTCAGCTCCCTCGTACGGTTACTAAACGGTTACAACGACGATCGAACGGTGGCGAAAGAATCCTCTGGAACAAAATCAACGTCGGCGCCGATGACTCGCGATCTCCTCGGAAACAGCAGAGGAGGAGGAGGAGGTGATCGGTCACTAGAGCTCGACCTCGATCTTCAAGTCCCCACCGGTTGGGAGAAACGTCTCGATCTTAAGGTTCATTTTAAATACTGAATTTGATTTCGAATTCAAACGAACAGAGAGATTGAATTTTGAATTATTTTTGAATTTTTGAACAGTCAGGGAAAGTTTATCTACAACGATGCAACTCAACGAGCTCATCGTCGACGATAACAAACGCAGAGACATCAAATCAAACAGTTCCAACGACGTCGTTTCAGGATTTGAATTTCCCTCCGAATCCTCCAACCACTTCCCACGCGAAGCCTTTGCTAAACCTCTTCGACGACACCTCGCCGCCGGAGCTGAATCTTCTCCCGCCGTCGTCTCGTCCTCTCTCCTTATCACCGAACCGTAATTTCCAGAGCGTTTGCACGCTGGACAAGGTGAAATCAGCTCTGGAGAGAGCGGAGAGAGATCCGTTTACGCTGAAGAAACGGAGATCGCCGGAGGATTGTTCAGTCTCCGATCAAAGGAAGGAGGTTGCGTCGCCGGTGGCGGCTGGGTGTCCAGGGTGTTTGAGTTACGTATTGGTGATGAAGAATGATCCGAGGTGTCCGAGATGCGATACCATTGTTTCTTTGCCTACCACGAAGAAGGTTAAGATTGATCTCAACATATCAATCTGAAAGTTACGGGGCTTGATTTGAACATCTTTTATTCTTTGGGGGCTTTTGATGATATGTTGTAAATGATAGGAAAAAAATCACGGGGGTTTATTATGTAAAACCGAAAAGAAAGACCAAAAAAAATATTTGATGCCAATGGATTTTTATGGGTACTACTTATTCTGTAAATGCGTTAGTTGAACAACAACAAAATAATTACTACTCAGTTTATTTACGGATCAAACTGTAATCATACAATTTTAATCACCATTCTATGAATTTATACTTTGAGTAACCCAAAGTCCATGCATGGTTGGTTGGACGATAGTTACACTTACATTCATTGTATTTGTTCATGTAAATTCGTTTTGTCTTTTGAAGGAAAAATAACACTTTTTATTGTTTTTTTTAAAGGGGAAAACACTTTATTGGTGAATTATGTTAATTCATTAATATATACTCCCTGCGTTTCAAAAGATAAACATTTTTTTTTCTATTTAGTACTGATAGAATTAAATTCTATAGGTAAGTAGATCATTATTTATTATAAGCTTATTGAAAGTTGTTTATCATAAGATTAATACAAATATGATGAAGCTTTATGTTGAAAATATACTAATTTTAAACAAAAGGTGTTAGATCGAAATACTTATTTGACCTGACTGGTTATGATTTATTAGAAAAGGCAATACTAAAAGAAAAAGATTAAGAGAGAATTGATCGACTACTAAATGAAACTATGAAGTGGTTTGCATGCGTGATACCTTCAACAAACTCAAAAATAGAAAAAAAAAATATATATATATATATATTCAAACTGTGATGTGCCAAACATTGATTACAGAAAAAGCCAATAAAATGGGACAAGTTTTCAAATTTCTGAAGAGTTTAATGTTGTAATATGCGTGGTTAAGTTTGGCGAATTTTTTTTTTCTTTTTAAAAAAAAATTGGAGAAAAGCCCAATTTAATTTGATCATAAAGTCACTTAAAACTATGCCGACCTAACTTCAACCGCTTAAGTCAACAGTGCACACATATTTGTATGTATGATCAATAACTGCAAAAAGATCAATAACTGCAGCTAACGTATAATAAATTGATCGCGCATAAGTACTAAAAATACGAAAATTCAATGCAATACTACTCCCTCTGTTCCTAAAAGATCTATATTCTAGTTTTTTCACACTTTTTAATAAAACACAATAAATTTGCATAGTTTTTTGTATTTATCTTCTTTCCACAATTTTAAACCAATGAAAAATCAATTAGTGCAATTAAGTTTTTTGAAGTTTACAATTAGTTAATAAAAATTGCATTGAAAATGTAAAAAATGGATCTTTTAGAAACAAATTTTTTTTCTAGAATATGTATCTTTAAGGAACGGAGGGAGTATTTTTTTTTGCTAAGTTTTGGTGCACTTCAATTCAATGCAATACCTCTAAATAAAAATATAGTATGTCAACGTAAGGAAACGTAGTAATGCAACATGCATGTAGATGCATGGACCAAAGGTCTTACGGTAGTATTTTATTACGGTCGACGAGTAGATGAGATTGATTAACGGAAGAATTTATATAAAACCAGAGTGGGACCATAAATAATAATATTTCGTACGTAGCATCGTTTGTCATTTAACATTTCTGAATGTGTGGCATTTAAAGTCTCTACTAGATACGTATAATATATAGTTTGATATTCGTCTTTATCCAAAATATAAAAAAAATCTAGCGTAAAGTCTTCGTACGTCTACAGTTATGAAATTAGGTTTACGTCTATAACTATATGACAACACTATCTTAAATTTATAGGTGTCATCTTCATTGAAAAATTGAAAACACAACAGTTGTAATTTCATGTACGAAAAAAAAACAAATTACAATTTAAAGTTATCTTTCGTGGATCTCGGATACTTTAATGAACGAAAAAAATGAGAAAGAAAGAAGAGAAACTGATAAGAAAGTAGTCATCATCCTAATGGAAACGAATTCAATTAATTTGGACCGTGACATCTATTAAATAGTAATCAATGCTCCTGCTTACATTTATGAAATTTGGTTTCTTCCTTCACGAAAACATTTAAAATCCACGTGTCATTTTTCTTGTCTCCTCCATTAATTGATTTTGGAGTTTTATTATTTCATCTTTGATTTTCTTGCAAAATCCCAAAAAAACGAGAAAAAACAATACAATATGAAAAATACAAACCCTCCATGTTTTCATGTGATTATCTTAGTACGTCAACCTCTGAAAATAAGGAAAATGAAATTAATAATTAATCATTCTGATTTTCTAGAAATAGAAATGAATTATCTTTCAATACCGAATCAGTTTATCAGACCAGTTTGGGTTCCATTTAAAGCTTAGCGCTACATATAAATGGGCCTGGCCCATTAAAAAAACCTGTTACATTTTAACAACATTTTGCAATTCTTCGCTTATATAGCAACAAAAACCCTGAACCCTAATTTTCAATTTTCACCAAAAAACCTACCTCTCTTCTCTCTCTCTGTAGCTGCAAGCTAAACCAGTGGAAGCGTGATAAATGGGGAAAAGTCGCCGTAAAGAGAAGAAGGTGATACCTCCGCCGCAGCTTCCTCCGGATGTAGGAGAAGAGGAGATTGAGTTTTCCGACGAGGATGTGGAGTTCGTCAAAGAGAACAAGGAATACGCCCGATTCGTCTCTCGAATTGACACCACTGCTATCAACAGGTTCGTATAGTTCCTCTGAGATTTGAATCTCTGTGATTGTATATTCGCTAGTCAAGTTTTAGATTCATTGTGTTAGTGGTTGGTTAGTTGCTGATACTTTGAGTAAGCGATTAGGTTTAGTGATCAATATTATATATATATATATATATATCAGGAAGATATTAGCCGAAGAGGTTTTGTTTGTTAGATTCAGTGTGAATTTGGTGATGGTAGGCAGTGCGTTGGTGAGGCAAAGACAAAGACAGTGGAGGATAAGTATGAGGAAGAAAGATCAAAGAAGAAGGTAGCAGAAGAAGAGAAAGAGAGTAACGAGATCCAAGTGGATCCTGTTGATGTGCTCCCTGTCAAGACTTTAGATGGAAAACTCCACTATCGTACTGGTAATCGATGGAGACTATATATTTTGTTCTCTTTGTTTTAATGAAGCAATCTTTGGATTCTTATCTGTTTTGTGCTTGTTTGATATGGTGTAGTGACAAAGAGGTCAAAATTAGCTGAAGCAGAGCCAGATGAAGCAGAAGAGGATGTCCTTGATGATGAAAATGTATTGAACAAATCTCAAAGGAGAGCAAAAGCTAAAAAGAGTAAAAAAGAGGCAAAGAAACAAGGGAAGGAAGTGCCTAAAGAGATCATCGAAGAGGAGGAAACACCCCAAGCTGCAGTTCTGGTGATTCCCTTTTTTTCTGAGAGTCTTAAGTTGTTAAAAGTTTTAGTTTTTCATTCTTTGACATGCTTTTTTTTAATGAGCATCATATTTTATATTTCCATAAAAGAAACAGTAATCACCTTTTTGGAGTTGACTATGGTGAAATTTGTGTGTTTTGTGATTTTAATACGTTTCTTTTATCATTTCTTAACATATTAATGATTTTTTTTTTTGTCAGGCCGAAGTGAAAGAAGAACTATCTGCTGAAGAGACGTTTGAAAATAAGAAAAACAGACTTGCAGAGTTGGGAATGCAACTACTTTCTGATCCAGAGGCTCACATAAGATCCTTAAAGGAAATGTTAGACATCTCCAAAGAAGAGAATGCAAAGATAGTGAAACTTTGCTTGTTATCTGTGTTGGCCGTATTTAAAGATATTATTCCTGGGTAATTTTGTCAATTTCTTTCTCACACTTTTTGCTAATCAGTCTTTTAGTTCTCCCTCTTTATGATGTTGGAATTGACATCTTTGATTTTGTTGGTGGTGCCAGCTATCGGATTAGACTTCCAACAGAAAAGGAGCTCGAGATGAAAGTCTCAAAGGAAGTAAAGAAAACCCGGTTCTATGAGTCAACTTTGTTAAAAGCGTACAAGGTATGCATATTAATTATAGTTGATTCTTGATTCCTGTGAATGTATTTTTAACATATGTGCATCTGCTGCTGATGTCCTTGACAGTCATATCTGCAAAAGTTGGTTGCCTTTGAAAGGCAGCCAGTATATAGCCAAGTTGCTAATCGGTGCATTTGTACATTGTTGGATGCGAAACCTCACTTCAACTACCGTGATAACCTGTTAAGTGCTGTTGTCGGAAATATTAGCTCCCCAGACGAAGTCATAAGGTCCTGGTTGTTCTAACCCTTTTTTCAGAGATCTCGAATAATTTTTAACTGAGATATAATGGATTATACCATAGTTAGAAGTGTTAATATCCCTTTTGTCATAGTCATGTCATTTACTGCAATTGCATCTATTTTGTCCCTACCCGACTCACATGTTGCGCCTGTTTGTGTTTGCAGGAGACTCTGTTGCTCTACTGTTAGGTCTCTTTTCCTCAATGAAGGGAAACATGGCGGTGAGCTAACCGTGCAAGCTGTACGCTTGATTGCTGATCAAGTCAAATCTCATAATTGCCAGCTTCATCCTAACTCTATCGAGGTATATCCATCGCTCTTATTTCAACAATCTAAGAAACACATTTATGCACCATTTAACTTGGTGGAGGTGTGAGAACTGCTCCTGATGTGAACAGGCTAGATCTCATAGTTAACATTTTCATTTGTAAACATATCGTATTACTAATACTAGGCGGTGTAATTATTGGGCAAGTATTCTCCAAGAACGTTTAGGTTTTCTTATCTCTTTGCTTCTGCTTTGTTGTCATTTCCCTTTGGTTTTATCTGTCCTTAGGTGTTCATGTCCATACGCTTTGACGAGGATATCGGAAAGCGTGACAGAGAGGAAGCCAATAAGAAGAAATTTAAGAAAAATGATAAAAGGAACAACCAAGAGGAGCAAAATCAAGTGCAAGAAAATGAGAGGAAGAAATCCAAGCGAGAAATGATGTCTAAGATCAGAGATGAGGTAATTTTCTTCTCTTTTGTGCAATAGATTTGTTGGTGTAAAATTTGAGGGATTGCTTTTGTTCCCTCGTTTTGACAACTGCACGTCCATAACATCAGAAGTTCTGGGTGTTACTGTTCCTTTGATCTAAAGTAGTATCTTTTGATTACTATTTTCAGGTTAATGCAGATTACAAGGGAGTTACCTATGAACCAGATGCTATGGAACGGCGAAAGATGCAAACTGTGACACTATCTGCCGTTTTTGAGACTTACTTCCGTATCCTGAGAAAAACAATGTATTCAATTGGCGAAAGGTATTTCCATAGATTGATCAATTAGTTCTTGTAGATTTCTTCATTTGAATTCTCATTGTCTCTGCATTGACAGATAACTATATAGCTGGTTACATTAGTTAGTCAATGTTGTGTGTGTGTGTTTTACGTTGACTAATTGCAGCAGCACAGAAGAAGACGACACAACTTTGAATCCTGGCGCCTTCGGTCCGCACCCTTTGCTTGCTCCATGCTTGGATGGGTTGGCGAAATTCACTCAACAACTGGACTTGGACTACCTCGGAGATCTCATGAACTATCTAAAGAAACTTGCTTCGAGCAGTAGTCTCTCCACCAACTTAAAGAAGAAAAAGACAAAACTGTTGACAGTATCTGAACGCCTGAGGTGTTGCCTTGTCGCTTTCAAAGTCATGAGGAGCAACTTAAACGCCTTGAACGTTGACTTGCAAGACTTCTTTGTCCAGCTTTACAACCTCATTCTCGAGTACCGCCCTGGAAGGTTTGTTATAACTTTTTTAAACCACCGGAATAAGCTGAATCTAGTTGACTCTTAAGACGCTTTTGTCAATGTTAAACAGAGATTCAGGTGAAGTGTTGGCCGAGTCTCTAAAGATAATGTTGTGCGACGACAGACACCAAGACATGCAAAAAGCAGCTGCGTTTGTAAAACGTTTAGCCACGTTCGCGCTATGTTTTGGCTGTGCCGAATCTATGTCAGGTAACAAACATCACTTAACACATTCGTCTTCAAAAGCCGTTTCTCACTCTTGCAACCTGTTACTACAGCACTTGTCACCTTGAAAAATCTCCTCCAGAGGAACGTCAAATGCAGAAACCTTCTAGAGAACGATGTTGGAGGCGGCTCTGTTTCCGGTTCAATCGCAGTACGTCACAAATCATTACACTCTCATATAATACAAATTTAGTTTCGGATATTTATACAAATATATCTCAATTTGCAGAAGTATCAGCCATACGCAACAGATCCTAACTTAAGCGGAGCGTTCGCTTCAGTGCTTTGGGAACTCAACCTCTTGACCAAACACTATCATCCGGCGATCTCAACGTTGGCAGGAACAATCGCCAACATGAACACTTCTCAAAACCAAACGTTTCTTTCTGCAGTGACTCCACAACAGGCGTTTGCAGATTACTCTCTTGCAAATGAAACGTTTGAGCCTAAGAGCGAGTCTCGGAAGCTGAACACCAAACGGAAAAGAGATAGTGGTGGTGAAGAAGGTAAGGACGTTCCGGAACTCGACATGGGTGAGCTCAAGAAGAAACTGAAAGAGAATTTTACCATTCTACGAGGCATTAAAGAGGACGAGAGAGTGAGAATGGAGTTACAGTTTGAGAAGAAGAAACCAACGAAGAAACAGAGTAACTTGGCGAAGAAGAAACCAACGAAGAGCCCTAAATCTAAGAAGAAAATTTGAAAAAACCCATTTTAATTTTTTAGTGTTATTCGACTATAAATTTATCATTTTAAAATTTTTGTTCAACCTAGTTTTGAGAATAGTTTTGTTGAAGTGGATTTGAGTACTTTTTATATGCATTATTATTATATTCACAGCCATCTTGGTAATCATGGAATCTTGTAGGTAACAAAAATAGAAGATTACGATCAGTCCAGTTCATATATTTATTAAACTCGCTCAGTACGTCGTACCAACGTTGTAGTATAAAATTGGAACATTCGGACAAAAGAACATAGACTAATGCATGTGCTTTAGAGATTAAAAGATACGCGATATCATCCTTTTAACCACACATAGGCCGCCACATCTCTGAACCGTGTCCTTGAATTAGAATTGTTAATCTCACCATATATATGCTGTAAGCTGTGAACAGAGGAGCAAATTGTTTCCCACGAAGAGTCCAGCCCGTACAACGGTACATGGAAGATACGGCCATGTGAGAACATTTTATCCTAGTCTTTTTTTTTTTTAAACATTTAATATAATCTTGTGAGATAATCAGATCCTAAGTTTCTTTTAATCTATCTCTTCTCAGCTGACAGAAAAAAAACTTGAAATGTATGTTACATTACATAGTTGTGAGCATTGCGTGACATATTCATTATACTGTTTTCAGTAAATACATACAATTTTATGTACGTCACCGGATCACTATTTACATAAGAAATTGAACCACAACATTAAGAATACTTTAAGCAAAAAAAAACAATTAAGAATACATGTTTATTAAATTATGATATTACAAAACTTTAAAAGTTAACGTACAAGATATAAATGATAGTTTGTCTGCTTTTGCGAAATCAATATCCACTTGATTAGTTATATGACTATTTAAATATTACTTATATATAAACAAATACTTTCAATTTATTTAAGATATATGTTGTATGACTCACATCTGATTATATTCTAATCAATTTACAGGGGAAATTTTAGGTGCTGGGACAGTATCAGGCAGTACAATCAACATCTTTATGATATCATCTACAGTATTAATCAATTCATTTAGACTTAATTTCTTCTTAAAATGATTAGATGTAATAACATTATAACTATAGTAATGCTTATAAAAAGTATTGGATCAATTCATTTGATATGATGATCCGTACGATAGTGGCATTTTTTATGACTAGAAAGTTTTGGATCTCTAAATTTTATCATGACAAATTTCATACAATATTGATTTAATTTTTACTAGGAAGACAGGTTTTTCCAAGATAAGTTGAGTATGTTATCTATTAAATTTTTATCAGGTAATTCAAGAATTTTAACTACTAATAAGTCATTTTTATTTGCAGAATTTCCTGAATTTATTTTTAATTTATTGAGTTGACAAACGTCTACAGGTAAAAAAAATTCTCAATCATCAAGAATATGTTCATTCATTGATCAGTACAAATAAATAGAGAAGACCAAACAAAAAAGGTGTTGGCTATACATGCAAGAACACACAACCATCAGCTACTCTGTAACTCCAAGTAACCACAGAGACATATCTTCATCGCCGGTTAACGATGCAACGAGTTCCGGCACATCACGAGACTGAGAGGTTCCAGATCGAAGAGCCTCAACAACTTGCTCAAACACGAAGACGTTACATGGGATGTGAAGTACACCTTTCTGAGCGTAACCGTACTCCTGAGCAGACCGGTTAAGCAAACCGACAAACACAGGGTGGTTAAGCAGCTCTGCACTCACCAAGAACCGCTCCATCTTCTCGCCGACGTTGACCGGGACAAGGCCGGAAGGGATACGCGATGGTAAGGTTGCTCGTTTAACCAACGTCGGGTGATGAACATCGCGGCGGAGAATCGATAGTTTGGTTTGTGAGAGGCGGCGAAGAAGAGGCTTCATGTTTGGTTTTATGACAGTGGATTAGAGAGAAACGGACAAGTATGTGAATGTTGGTTAATAACTTAATATATAAGACAGTAGTACACAGAGTCAAGGAAGTACATGATTGGTGGACACATTCATTTATTTTATTAAAAAGAATTTGGATGTATATTAAGTATTATTTGATTTGGGATGAGTTAATTAGGTATTATATACGAATACGTGTTGAAGAAAAGAGTCTTGGTCAGTTTCATTTTTTTGTTATTATATAAAATAAAAAAGAAGTATTTCTCTAAATTTAGATAAATCTTTAAAACTAAGGACCCAAAAAAAAATTCAACCATTTCTTAATTTGCATTGGTCAAAATGACTACTTTCTATTCTACAAGGGAGGAATTCCATTTTAACATACTCCACATTAAATCTATATATTAGTATACTAATTATTTTCTAACTACTATAATTTTCAAAAGGCACAATTAAAGTGCCGATTGATTTTGCTTCTGTGTTTTTTCTTACCATAAAACCAAATATAAAGATCTTTATTTTGTTAATAGTATTATATAAAAACCTCAATTCTTTTACGTAAGCCATTAGATCATATATCTGCGTGACTGGAGTTAATACCATAGTACATAGTATTTGCCATTTAAAAAACTATGAATTACCAAAATAAAACGACATAGAACTTAATTCTCTAAATTTCGTGAAATAAAGAATTAAACTTACATATTGGTAACATAACATGGATATGAGTCCATGTTTTAAGACCTATTAAATGTCCGGAAAAATGTTTATGTGTGAGATGTACTTTCTTTTAAGGATTAATTTAGATCTTTTTATGATATATAATACTCTAGTTTAATCAATAAAAAAAACACAATGTAATTGCGTATTTATGGAATATGCATCTTGTCATATATACATTGGTCTATTTTATCCATTCTAATTAGTAAATCATCACCTTCAAACTCTTGTTAATAAAAAACTGCAATATCGGCTTTGATTTACTATATTCTGATATATTATATGGAAATTTGGATAAGTATATGCTTACGTAATAAAACTATCCAATGCATGCAATATAAAGTCAAATAAAATAAAGAGACTAGTATAATTATCTATTAATGATTCTTGTGGATTTCTTACTTACTAGTTAATCAATACTAGAACAATTTGTGTTTGATTATCTATTTGTCTTGGTTTGCATGTTGTGAGATCTTTCTATAGTAGTGAATGAACATTTCCTCAGGAATCACATTTGCTCTTTATGTTTTTTTCATGCATGATTTATATCGTCGCAGTGCTTGAGCTTAAGGCTGCAACGTCATGACAGGCTTTTCCTCAGGTAATCTTCGACTGGGACATGTTGACTTCAGATGCCGTTGGGCCTTATTATAGATAACTCATTAGGCCTAATCTATGGAAAATAACACCTTTTCTTCATTTATTAGCTAAGCCCATTGGGCTGACTTAAACATAACACTGGGTCCGAGTTAGTTTTTATTTTCCAATGGCGTGTGTAATTTTTTTTTTAGACAAAGTTGTAACTCGAGTGTTGTTCTGTACTTGTTTGGGATCGTGCACATAAGGTGTTCGATATAATGTCTAAACCATTACAGTGCAGAAGATGTTTGATTTCTTCTTGTCTGAATCAGTTTCTGGAGAAGGGTATGTTTGGAGAAAGTGAAAACTTGGTTTTGTTTCCTGTACAGTGGACGTTTGTTCAGGTGAGACACAAGTCAGGTGGAGGATTTAGACCAAAGAAGAAAATATACCACAGAGTTCATGAGCTTGATAAAGCCATAGACCTGAAGAAGAAACCAGCTCTTATACTTCAACTCAAATCCATGATTCAATCCCAGAAACATGGAAGGGTTCTTCTAAGGGATCTCGAGAAGCACGTTGGGTTTGTTCAGAAATGGAACTTAATGGCTGCCATTGAGAAGTACCCTTCTATATTTCACGTTGGAGGTGGAAACAGAGAGCCTCCTTTTGCTATGCTTACTGAGAAAGCTCAAAAGATTGCAGATGAGGAAGGTGAAGCTATAGAGTCAATGGAACCTATCCTTGTTAACAATCTCAGGAAGTTGCTGATGATGTCCGTTGATTGTAGAGTGCCTTTGGAGAAGGTTGAGTTTATTCAGTCTGCAATGGGTTTGCCTCATGACTTTAAGAGTAACTTGATCCCAAAGTATCCTGATTTTTTCTCTTTAAAGGTTGTTAATGGTAAAGTTCATCTTGTGTTAGAGAATTGGGACTCTTCACTAGCAATCACTGCAAGGGAAGATAAGTTAGCCCGTGAAGGAGTTCTCGAGAACAGAAAGAAGGTTAGGATCACAAAGGATGGTAACTTCTTAGGACCAAATGCGTTTAGGGTCTCGTTTCCTCCTGGTTTTAGGCCTAACGCTAGTTATCTAGAGGAGTTTGAGAAGTGGCAGAAGATGGAGTTTCCATCTCCTTACCTTAACGCAAGAAGATTTGATGTTGCTGATCCTAAAGCTAGGAAACGAGTTGTAGCCCTGCTTCATGAACTGCTCAGTTTAACAATGGAGAAGAGAGTGACGTGTGCGCAGCTGGACGCGTTTCACTCTGAGTATTTGCTTCCATCAAGACTAATACTTTGCTTGATAAAGCATCAAGGTATCTTCTACATTACTAACAAAGGAGCAAGAGGTACAGTTTTTCTCAAAGAAGGTTATGATGGTTCTAATTTGATTGAGAAGTGTCCTTTGTTATTGTTCCAAGAGAGATTTGTTGCTCTCTGTGGTCGGAGAGAAGTGAATGTATGTAATGAAATGCAGTCTTCAAATGTTATCTCCTGATGCTACTATTTCAAATTATCTTTTTCTTCTTAGAGTCCATTGTCTTCTCATATGAAGAAAGAAGAGTATACTACTTGTTTAAAGATATTATTGACTTGTCTCCAAGAAACAGAACCGTGAATACTATCTGTTTGATTGAGAATGCTATCTTGATGAAAGCCAGAACGTGTCATAGCGCTATAATATGAGTACCAAGGGAGATGTGACTACTGTGAATGTGATTATGAACAGTCTTGTCCATGTGCAGGTTGTTGTGTATTATAAATACACTTGTTTTTTTCTCTGTGTACACGACTCTCTTGATTTTGTTTTCTTGAGAAAACGATAACAGGAATCTTCTTAGTGTTTACACACACACACACAAACAGGACGTTACATTTATTTTAAAATGCAGGAGAAGGGGGTCCAGAAACTCATGTGGCTTGTGAAGAGGAAGGACAATTAAGTCGCACTCCACACTCCTCATTATAGACGTGAGTCGCATTCATGTTCAATAACAAAAGGTCAGTGTATTTCATTATTAGACACCACAGTGAGAACCAAGACCTGTCTCGTTCATTTTTGCTGGCTCTGTTTTGTTTTTTTGAAGATAAACAACAAAACTATCTTTCTCATGGTGTTGGATGGTAATAGGCTGCTGATGATAAATCAATTTTTACGTTACGGATAAAGACTAATTAATTAACACTTGCTTTCTCGTGATAAACTGCGTAATTAGTTGCCTGTTTATGTCCTTTAGTTAGGTTCCGTGTCTTGTTTGAACATGTTAACTAACCTATATATAGCTGAAACCTATCAATTTGCAATCCAAAGTCAGATTCTTCCTTCTTTCTTGAAACTTTAGCAAGTTAATGGATTCATGTCCTTGTCATTTGGCATCTTCAGCTAAACGAAGGGTACAGAATTCAAAGCATAAAGCCAAAGATCTTGAGGTTGATTGAAGCATCAAGAATCAACTAAACACACACATCTTTTAATATAATTTTTTTGTTCTCTTTTCTGCATTTTCCCCTGATAAAGCCAAATCACAGACCAAACATCTCGACGTATCAACCACGAATTGGAATTTGATACGCTGATGTTGCATTTTGATTATTAGAAAACTACTGACAAAGACTTATAACCACATTGTTGATATTTGAATTTTTTCTTCTTCTGAATACTTAAGCAGGCTCTCTATTGATTGATCTTGGAAAACTTGTCTGGTACACAGACTATGACTTGGTGTTTTCTTTAAAACCAAAGGTAGAGAGAGCCCTGCCCCAGTTAGATACTTTTAAGATGATGATGCATCATTATAAACAACTTGACACATAAAAGATGAAACTTTAGGGGGGTATCATATTCATGTATGGAAGGTTTTGATATCTTGGGGACAAAAACTCTTATGGTCCATTATTGTACAGTGGTGAGTGGTCCTACACAGTCCCAACCATTTTTCTCTGTGAATTATGTGTACTGTTTTGGACAGAAGAACACATCATGCAATCACCCAAATACTATTTTACTTCATTGTTTGGTCCATTCTCAAAAATATCGTTTTCAGTATTTTCAAAACCCCAAATCTAATTCAGTGATCAATTAATAGCCAAGTACATATTCCAGAAGTAACTGCATTTCTTTTGTATTAGATTTTTTTTTTTTTTTTGGACAATTTTTTTTGGACAATTCTTTTGTATTAGATATTTAGTGGATCTTAAACTTTAATACATCTTCATGTTTTGGTCTTGTTATACCATTACCAAAAACTAATTCCATGATTGTGTTAGTAATAAGTGTTGCTTTGTGGTCATTACTCGGTGTTGATTAAATGAATAAAGATGTCATCTTGAGCTTGAAGCTCCTCATGCATGTCTGTGTTTTTTTTACTGTTAGACATTGCTATTTTCAAAATGTAGATCATAGACATTGTACCAAACTTTTGATTCTCTATTTTTCTATTTTTCTTAGTTTTCTTTTGATATCTTTTTATTGTTTCCTGATACCCACATCAGCACTTTAGTTATCTTTTTCCCAACAAAAGATCTTTTTATTCCATTGACATAGTCCAATCTGATTTCCATGATATCTATTCACATGTAAAAAGGAGAGGACTTTCATGTATACATTAACATATAACAAGCATATATGTACATATACTTTATAAAACCTGTTCCATCTTGGATATGATATCTGCCCACTAACCCCAACCAAAATACATCATAAATGATTTGGGTAGTTGGCTTTCTTTCTCTTCTTTTAAAATTTAATTTCTCTTCTTTTCTTAGACTTTGGGATATGTATGGGCACCTAATATAGACAATAAACAACTGTTACAAACACTTTCCTAGACACTTTTCTCTGTTCAAGAGAAAAAAGGAGTATCCATGAACAGTAGTTAATAGTTGTGGGGATATCAGAGTGTGTGAGAGAAATATTGCAATGATTTTCCTATATTCTATAGGTATTCAGATGGGTCTATAACTTACATTTACAACTCTCTTTCATAGCTTTCTTATTGCATCATCAAAATCAAGTTCCAAGTTATGTTGTGATTTATATAATAACACTATTGAATCTGACATCAGTTCTGCACAAAGAAAAACATTAGGGAGGAACATATGTGCAGGTCTATTGTGATCATAATCATATATGTTTGCTGTGATATTTGAATACACATGTATAAGAATACGAAAAGGGAAACACTTTGAGGTCTAAATCTAATTCACATGAGCTTTGCAGTGTTGTGGTTCAGTGGGATATATCTTTTTTTAACACTTTTTTTGGAAACACAAGTGGGATATGATCATATGAGTGATTGTTAACACTATGCATTTTTCTTTTTATAATTCTCTATATATTATTCATCTTTTGAAATTGGATGGTACTAATGATGAGAACTAAACAAATGTCTTGTGGCTTTTTCTGCAGTGATTTCAGAAGACTTCACACCAAATCCACTCAATATAAAGAGCCAAAAGAAAGAAAGAGAAATTACTTTTTTTTTCTTTAGCATTCGTAAATTGGTGGGTCATTGATATTCGCACGTAAAAGAAGAAGAAAAATGCTCCTAGTGCTTTATATGGAATAGTTTTTAAGATTGATCTCTCTGTATTTGCCTTTACCAAATCTTATCTCAAGTTTAAAATATCGTTTGGTAATGTAAATTTCAAAGAAAAAATCAAGTGATAAATAATCAACAATTGGTTTATACCAGTTTAGACCTTAATATACAAAAGTCCAGCCTCTGAAAATTAAAAGTCATTGGAGAAAAGGGTTGGTTTGTGGGTACTCCTCACTTTGAAAGTTTGAATTTATCTATTGTGGGATTGTGATTTTGATTCATCACATCATTGACAACAAGAGGAGAGTGTTAAAAGGCTAAAAGAGGTGACAAATGTTTTTGTTCCCATTAGGGCTCATTTATTCATAGTTATGCAGTCAAATCACATTGATGGCATAGGGGTGAAAACTGATAAGTGGGGGCCAATCCCCAACAATAAGCACACAATTGCTAATTTAATTTTATTAATTTAAATCTTTTCTTGGGACAAAGAACAAAAAAGGCAAAAGCTACTATAATCAATAGGGCAGTGAGTGAGGGTGAGTGAGGTTGGACCATTTCATGAGTGCCCCCTTTCACAAGGTAATCTATAAAGTTTTTAGTGTTCCCCATCATGACCCATCTTAGCATCTATATCTCAACTTTAATTATTCTCAAAGACATTTTGATGTAATCTATAATCTTCCATATTATAAGATCATGAATGTACTCCACTATGTTCATATATGTATGTACGGGGACTTAAACCGTTTAGTTTAGTGGATGTCGCACTTCTAGAGATGATTTATTATTTAATCATGTATCTAACTAGCTATAGTTATTTGCATTATCGAGCTCACATGATGCTGTATGTTTCCACGGTTTAATTATAAATATTCCCACACACACACACACACATATATATATATATATATATATATATATATATATATATATATATATATATATATATATATATATATATATATATATATATCCAATAAGGAGTTAACTTGAATTTGCCTTTTTCAACTCCCAAGCTGACTTTTGTTATATACCATGGATAAAGTTGAATTGCCATTTGAACTGAATTGTTTCCTTAAAATTTGCTTAGTAAATGTTTCAAAGTTGCTTTACAAGAAATCAAACACAGGATAAAAACGTCAATAATCTAGGATTTCACAGCATAAAATGATCATTGCAACTTACTTATTCATCATTCAACCATATGCTATTTCTTTCTTGTGTCATAATGATACATGACCGGTGAAAGTTTTATCGGATGAGAGGTTGATTATAGAGAAATAAAATAGTATTTGTTAAATAAACAATTTTCACAGCTCCGAACATAGTTACATCAAAATCGTAGCTTCCAGTGAATACTAATAATTAAAGAAAAGTATTTTTAAAAAGAAATAGAGAAACCCCACTGAAACTGAAAATTTGGATAAAAATATATGGTGTAAATAAAAAATAATATCTAAAATAGAAGTGGACAAGTTGAATGACACAAACCCTAACACCACAACATATGCATATCCCATCACTTTACACCAAGTCTTCCCACTTTTGCTTCGTTTGTTTCGCTTATACATACATTATTTAAATAAAAGCATAACCGTAGGGAAATGGTCCTTAGATTCATCAAAAGTTTCCTAATAATAAAGTAATTTATATAAACATCAATCGGTCAAGCGTCACTCTCTTTGTTTTTGTTCTTGACCCATTTGTTGCTTAGTGTGTACGTGACGTTTTGGTTCCTTACCTTCACATACTCTTATCTCCATTTTGAATATAACAATAATGGGTGAGAAAACTCATAAATCACGGGTTGTCCATAAATATACGAGTTTACAACTCGATAGAGCAGTCCTCACTTGTATAGCAATACCATACCAAAACAAACTGTTAACATTACATGCTAATGTGGGAATCTATGCAGAGATGTATACCGTTCTTCGATGTTTAACTAGATTTCTATTTCGAAGCATGCAACAAAAACAAACACTGTCACTAGCTCACATGTTAATGTATTAGTGTAAAACTAATGTTATAATATTGGTAGTGGAAGATTAAACCAACTATAGAGTAAAGATTTTAGTTTTACTAACTTTCGGCCATAGAAAACAGCATATTAGTTCTGTCTAACTTAACGTGTATCCTCTTTTTAAAAAATAATGTGAAAGACTTTGTTAATAAAACGAGTAGATGATATTGAACGTTTCAAATGTCATGATTTAGAATATTGCACCTCCATTGGATGATCCTCATGTGAAGGCACAAACAAAGATGTCTACATCTAAATCTAATAGTAATATACAAATATGCAATCCACTACTTACAATCGTATGATTTAACATTAATTAAACCAATACTTTAGGTTTTGATTTTCTCTAGACACAAAAGTATAAAACTAAACAGGAGATAGAAAAGAAGATAAATTGGCTTTGGGTCTTTTAATTCGTGCGACGAGTATATCCTCTTTAATGTTGGAATGATCTCTTCACATCGCTTTCTCCTCTCCTCCTCCCTTTTATTTTCTTTTAATATCTAAATCATTTTTAATAAAATAATAATAAGAAATATATATAAATATATTCTGCATACTATTCAGCAGATTAATCATGTATAAGGCAACCTTGAAATCTTACTTATACAATTTGTTAAAAATTTAGTCATTACCACTGGATTTAATTAAATTATTTAATTATTATCACTGCACATTTGTTTTATTTTTCAACGACGATACTATTACTAAACTTATTTTCTAATTATATGTTGTGAAATGTTTTCTATATAGTGATTGATCAATACTTTAATGTTTAATTGTCTATATATATTGAAACAAAAATGTTTATATATAAATACACGTTATCTTTCAGTTTTGATATTCAAATAATTATTTGTTAGTAAGATCTGATTAGTTCGTCATAAATATGTTACACCAAATGTTTTTTCGCTACTGACATGTCAAAAGATACGTAGTATTATATTATACCCTCATACGTGTGATTTTCGTACTTTATAGTTTAACCTACCTTTGATTTTCTGCTTAGAATCATGATTATTAAAATTCATGGTTATAAATCTAAATAAATATATACTAATCTCGGATTCCAGTAGTTAATTAGTTTAAGTAAACACAAATCAAATTGCTAGAAAACAAATGGAGTATTGAGAAAAATAAACAATTAAGGAGAGAGAAAGTGTCAGGAGGAGTACGCAGGACGAACAACAGCGACATTTGCGCGCGTCCGACGTGTCAGCTTTTTACCTCTTCCACTGTCTCTTTCCTCCTCTTCCCTCTCTCACGCTTCTCTGCCGGCGCGTGTCTTAGAAACCTCTAGTGTGTACTGTTCTAGGCGGTCCCACACCAGCACCAATTATCTATTTTGTCACTTTAATTTTATTTTCCTGTGCTTTTGGAATTATTGTTTTTCTCTATAATAATGATAATTATTCTATATTGTTAAATAAATGATAATTATTCTATAGTAATGATAATTATTATATACACGTCTAAGTTATACAAACATGACAAGTTAATAAGATAATATTTCTTCTGTTTCTTGAATACAGTATAAATAAATAACATATCTCTTTGGTTTCCTTTTTTTTTTTTTGTAACATGACTCTTTCGTCTCCATATTTTTATTACTTATGGTTTTGATTTACTATGAAACAATCTTATATATATTGAATTAGATAAAGTGAAAAATATAAATATCAGCAAGGATTTGCTCAAGGTTTCCTCTCACAATTTTTAGATTTTTTACCTAAAAAATATTCTACGAATTTCCTTACAATTAATTTAAAAGAAAAAAGCATCGAAAAAGAGAGAATAGTTTCCATAAACGGAGGGGTCAAGGTGACATGTTAACATGAACGCTAGCGTTTTTGGGAGATCTACAGATGGGACACGTGTGCACACTGGACCCACAGACTCCACACAAGCACAAGTGTCTGCACGGTAAGACCAACACACACGATTCCCCCTCCCCACAGTTCCTGCACATCCGAGCTACTACCGTGCGCCTAACCGTTTTCTCCTCACCCGAACTACTCCCGCAACAAGACTCCGCGTCATCATCAGCGTTAGCGTTAGCGTTTTCTAATCCTGCGCCGGTTGTTGTTAGATCGTTAACCTGCGCCAGCACCTGCTCGAGGTTGGCGCGGAGGTTGTTAGCGGTTGCTTCGTTACTCTGCGCGAGATCCCGCCAGATTTGATTCTCGATGGAGAGAGACTTCACTCGCTCCTCGAGCGCGTGGTTCATCTTCCCGATTCTCTCTCGCTCCTCTTCCTTGACTCGAAGACGTTTCACGAGTCCATGCTCTATCGCCTCAACGATCGTCCTCGCTTGCCTCTTCCTCTTCTCTTCGATCTCGAATCTCACTCTCTCCATCTGCCATTGAATCGAAACGTCAGCGTGTGATCATCCTTTTAAACTCTACGTAACGGTTTCTCAAGAGAGAGACGGCACTTACATGGAGGGAGACGAATCGATCGATATCGTGCTGTTGCTGATAGAGATGAGAGGAGAGATCAATGTCTTGGCCGAGGAACGAATAAGGAGCAACAGTGCTGTGATGAAGGAGATGATGATGATGAGGAAAGTGATCAGATCTTGAATCTCTGGAGCGTTTTCTCGTCTGGAGATTAGCAGCACCGTCTGCGTAGTAAGTGAAGGAATCGGCGGTGGAGGAAGGGCCGTACATGTGAAGAAGATCGTCTGTGGCGGCGTAACCGTTTTGAGTGATGGTGCAGAAACCGCCGTTAGTTGGCTCCATGGTGGTGTTGTCGTTATTGTCTCTGTACACAAACAAACAAACAGTACGTTTAAAAAATCATCAATGCGCGCAAAGAAAACTCTAGAGAGTAGAGAGAGAGAGAGAGAGACGAACCTGTTGGAGAAGAGTTGAGGAGTAGAGAGGAGAAGATGGTGAGCATCGACAGCCATGGAAAGAGAGAAGATGATGATGATGATAATACGGAGAAGAGTTTTAAAAAGGGAGAGAAAACTAGAAATGCATGCGTTTCGTTTCGGTTTTTGGTTTGGATGTGCGTGAAGAGTAGGCGTTTGCTTTTTCTTTTTTTTTTTTAATCTTTTATTTTCTTTGAGAGAAAGAACAAATCGAAACGAGCCTCAACATAATGGTTGTTTCCTATTTATACACATCGACGTTCGCCTTTAAACGTGAATTGAGGAGATAGAAAGAGAGAGAGAGAGATAAAGTCAATATTTTTAAAAAATAAGAAGAAAATAATCAATTTCAGATAATTAAATGTGTTCAAAGGTAAATCTAAATTTATATTGCTGAATTTAATTAACCTACTACCATTTTCTTAGGGTTTGAATAAATAGTTATGTTGATTTGGCTTACCCATATCTTTTTTGGTAACGTTTTCCCATAAACTTCTCATTTTTGACAAGTTTTCTGTAATTCAATACTACTTCTTTTGTTAACTTTTTCTGGCCCGGTTTTGGTATTTAGTTACCTAATACTCTGGTTGGTTGAGTTGAACTGATCATCTATTTACCTTTTTTCATTGTTCTTCTTATTCAACAATAAGATTTTGTTTGTTTTAATTAAATTATTTTTATAGTATTGTCGGTTATAGTTTTTTTTTGTTTTCGAAGTGGGTAACTTTGTAGCGAAACTGGCGGAAATTATAATTATTTTTAAAGCTAATCAGTAATCAGATTCGGTTATGTTTTTGGTGTATAGCAATATTAGGGGTAACGCTCCGATTCGGTTAGTTTTAATATCGTACCAAATAAATAGAGTGGAGAGATCAGTTGGACCGGCATTACAAACGTATTTTACTGTTTTACCTTCGTAAATGATGGATTGTAATTGTATGATGAAACTCATGCAATGGTGATAAGGCACGTGTAAAGTTTACTAGGAGTCATGCGTATTGCCATGTAGGCATTCCAGCGTGGCGAACAAGTTTGGATGGGACCCACTATTTGTCTTTTGTACGGTCCGTTAAAATGGGTAAAATCTTACTTTTTCCGTATTTGTAATATTTTTTTCGTACGAGTTTGGCGCCATGTGATGCCACGTGGTGTAACATCCTGGCTACTTCTGTTTGACCCTTTCTAAGACTTTTATGGAGTATCTTTATTTATTTAATAATTAACATCAGCTTAAAAAGATTAAAACTTATCTTTAGTTAATTTTATAAGTAGATTTTTTATTGTGTTAATGGAACCAATTTAATTAGAAAAACACACTAATTTTACCTATTAATAATAAATTCTTGACAATTATATTATAGATAAGTTTATACTACATAGTTAATTTGAAGTATATAATAGTGAACTTTTTTAGATAAATAGTAATAGTATGATAATATATAGTTGAATATATACTGTATTTAGATTTCATTTTTTTTGAAATGATGTATTTAGATTTCATGCTTTATTATAAACTGAAAAGTCCTAGCTATGTTTGAATTCCACTGGATTAATTATCCTTGAATTGTATTAAAATAAACAAAATTGAATTATCAATCCTTATGTATAAAAACACAGAGAACCCAAGAGGTGAAGAAAGAGAGATGTAGACAGATTCTTCTGAAGATGATATCAGATATAAAGTAACGCACAAGAATTAATTCCTACTTTGATTTATTGTCCCTTTTACTTTCTTTTTTCCTACTTCTTTGCATTTTTTGTGCTTTGTTATATTTTCTTTTCCACACATTAAAAGTTAAAACAATATGCCTTTGTCTTTTAGAAGCATTCAAATCTCCACCATCTTAATTTATTATACAAATACCAGTTTTGGAAAAGTAGATTTTGTAAAGTAAAAGAGTGGGCATGGTGCACAATTTACGTGTTTGGTTCAAGATCAATATTTATCTTCGTTCGAGTTTGGTGTGTAGTATGAGATGACCAACAACGTAACGAGACATTGACTAATTAATGGGTGTCTATATCTCATAATATTAATCAAAATGTAATCTTTATAATATGATCCTAATAATAACAACAAAGACTTGAATTGTGGTTTCCTCTTTGATTGAAGAACAAGTGACATTGCACCTTGACTTTGTTGTATTGTATCCTTCCTTTGCTCTTTAAAATAACTTTTTATTCAACTTAAAGTTGGTGCTGGTGTGTATTCATGTGATATCAACATTTCAAAAAGAGGAAAATAAATCCATAACCATTGTAAGAATCTTAAAGGGTGCCTTACCTAGAAACTTCATCTTTCCTTAAAGGCACCACTATAATTCAATTTGTTATAAAGAAAGAATTCTTGCTTTTGTGAAATATATACCATACTCATATATCTTTCGGTTCATATGCACTAAGTCATTAATATTCGTTTATCAAAGTTTTTGAAATTGGTGATTACTTTAGTTACACTTTTGTTCCAACATCATATCACACACCTATATCTTACAACAATTCAAAAGAGGCTTCAATGGATGTGTAAAGCTTCCCATTAAAGACATGTGTTTGAATTTATTGTTTGAGGGGTTTCTAGTGCATACATATCACATGTAGTATGGTCCATACAGGAGGAGCTCGTGACCTAACCTATTACATCCTATTAATCTTTGGATATTTACAAATGCACCAAAACATCTTTGGATCTACCAAATGGCTTGGAACTCACAATCACAATGATCAAAAGAGTTAGGTAAATTTGAGAGGTCCCAATTTAATTAAAAGATGTGTTGGGCCATCACTCTTTCTTGCTCTCCAAATAATACCTTACTTACCCGTATCATCGAAACTTAACTTCATTGTAACACAATATCAAGATTTTTTTTTTTCTTTTATTTATTTCATGAAAATCGTTGCCCCATTAGGAGACAAGAGAAGAGGTTTTCTGCAAAAGACTTTAACTTGGTGTCATGTGTGGTTGTGCTTATGGACAGTGTGTGGTCCCTTCATTATTTTTTTTTTTCTCAAATTAAATAAAGGAACCAATGTGTCGATTGCATGATTCCCACTACTGCTTTCAATCTCACCTTCTGCTATAAGATGCATTATGATCCCACCACTGCTTTTAATTCATTCAGACAAAATAAGTAATAAATGTAAAAATATTACTGTATATATATTTATTATTTTCTTGTAAATGTATATGAATACGAGGAGAGCTATTCATCGAAATGAAATTTAAACGTACTGACTTGTTACCATCAGATTTTGAACCATATTAACTCCAACCAAGAAGACAAAGACAAAGGTGGTGGTTGTTGTTGATGTCAGATCACTGATTCACATTCACCAAATCAAGAATTGGTTAATGGGTTTAAATCAAAAGAGGAGATTAGACAACAGGCTATGTGTTGCTCTTAAAGAAACTTACACAAGTCCATCACTACCTGAGCCTACTACTTAATGTCCCTACCTTTGACGAAACCAATCAGTCACATACGTACCACCTAAATTAGTAAATGAGAGAACATGATAGATACCTGCAAGGTTTCATTTCGCACTTCAAACTCTGTTTATGAGATTGAAGACAGTATAGTTAGGTTTTGCTAAGAAGTGGGCGGTCCAATCTGTTAAATCATGTGTTTGATCACAAGCTCGTGAACTAGCACATCCAAGATTACAATCAAATTTCGCCAAGATTCATGTGGGTTCTCTGTTATTTTACCTAAAGCCTTTTTCAGTTAAAGAAAGAAAAAAAAAAACAGATGCATAAGAGGTGTCCAAATGAGACCTCCACACTAGGCCTTGTCTTTTGGGTAGATATCTTTATGCAACTAGTGTCATTGGTGTTTTGCATTGGTCCTTAGCTCACAAATTGTGTTAGTTTTGTTACTTTGTATCAGTGTTTTAATATTGAAACGCATTATTAAAAAAGAAAACACTCTTAGATTTTAGATGGAACTATGTTTGAACTTGATGGTACAAGTCTCCCTTGTTTTTTTGTTGTTTGATCAATGTAGGCAATGGAGACGTTGTTAAAAGAGTCCCTTGGTGCTGCCCATTTTACATTCGTTTTACATTTGATGGATTACCCATATGTAAGGCCTGTTTGTTCTCGTTTAAGGCCCATGCAGGCCGAAATAATATCTATTGCAGACTTGTAGTTTCTCACAGCTATTGTTGTATATGTATAAGACTCCTTGCTCATGAGTATGGTAAAAGAAAGATCATGCTTCATCTTATTATGAAGTAAATATAAACCATATGGTGGCATGCTAGATTTTAAATAAACGTTTGGCAAATATGACTAAAAATGGCCTTCATTTGGATTCTCTTTTATTTGAGCTCCTTATGTTAATCTTTAGATTAAAAATAAAAGTCAACCTCTTAGGGGTAATCTAGTCATTTCACAAGACAAAACTTAATTATTAAAGAACCTTTTATTTTAAAAAGCTCAACAAATCTTAACATCGCCGGGAAATGGAGAAACAACCCGAATCGAGCCGTCGCGATTCAGGTGATGCGAGTAGCTCATCGTCCGCAGATGGACGAATCGGAGGCGGAGGTAACGGAGACGCGATGGCTCGAGGGTTATCATCGATGCTAGAGTCCGTAATTAAGGAATTCGACTCAAAATCAGTCGATACTATCAGTAGCCAAGACAAACTCTCCGCCTCGCTCGATCGACTAGTCCATGGTATTAATCTCCTTTGCAATCCGGTTATCTAATTCTTCGTCTCCGGTTTAATAAATGTTTCTGATTACATTGGTTAAGTTGTTTCCGGTTTTGTAATTGAATGCGATGATGAAAACAAACACGCAGAGCTCGATCAATTGCTGGAGAACGCTCCGTTGCCGTTCATTGTACAACACGCGTCGAGGATCTCCACCGTTAAACAAAGAGTCTCGTCGCTGAATCTGGTGCTTAAATCTATACAAAGACGCATTGATAACATCGATCACATGCTCTCTACTAATATCATTCAAGGTAGTAGCATTACAAACACTCTATATTGCTAAACATATATCTCACTATGGTTTAAAATTTTTTTAATGAACGTCGCAACGCAGATAAAACAGCCTCGGGCACTACTTGATGACCAAAACGCCAGTGGCTCTTCGGCTTTAATAGCACAAAATTACAAAAACGAGAGAGGTAAGTGTATGCAAGTGTGTTTTTGCTCACATACAAACCACAGCGTTTTGCTGTTGGTAGTCTTTTATTGGGCTTCTATCAAATATGGTTTGGTTCTTTTAGCGGGCTTTTATATAATCTGTTCTTTTTCAGTTTGTAAAAAGACCCAATTTCTCATTTTATTTTAAAATTGTTTTACTAATAAAATAAAACATATATTGTTTTGTATTGGTCCATCAATCAATCATGTAGAACAGAATTTCAAAGCGAATATGTCGTCCCGTTAGTTTATTGTTTATAATATCGTTTTTGTTTCTGTTGGGTAAAGCCTTTACAAAACTAATATCTTGTGTTTACAAAATCTTGTCACGTGGGTTGACGACAAATTCGATAGAGCCCTCCCTTAGTCCCTTTATACTACTTGTGTGTGAACAAGGAGTCACGTGTCTTTCTGTGCTGGTCACGTGGTTGAATCCTATTTAACTGGATCTCGTAGCCTTTTAGATAAAATAGTGTCTCTACTCTCTATACACTACAAGCTCGATACTGGATTATATAGGTGTGTATGGCCTCTGGGTATCACATATTCCTCTAGTTAACCACTATCTTGTTTCTATAGCGAACATGTTTTTTATTTAACGTAGTTAAACTTTATACTGTATAAGGAAGGATGTGTACATTATTGATGATAATGAGGGGTGGAATGGAACTTGTGAAGGTGTTTATTAATATGTAATGATATCTCCAAAAAGAACTTATAGAGGACCGAGCCTCTCACCAGAAAACTGATTGGTCCTTTTGAGGTAAACCCATACAAACTCACAAAACTAAACCCACTCTGGGAACTCTGTCAAAAGGTTTGTCTTTACCCACAAATCTAGCTTACTTTATCACTTTTGCAACTTAGCATACTCTAGTTAATATGACATCATATAGATGTAACTTTCAAGACATTAGTCTGCACTTTTTATCTTTCAAGGCTAAAATCCTAGCTGAAAATGGACTAGAATTATACCACAGATCCTGTGAATGCAGTGAGTGGGAGGAGGGGAACAAAAGAGGTAAGGAAAAGTACAGAGGAAAGAGACAGGTGATAGAGGCTTAGGGTATAGTACTTTGTATACATACAATCTCTTGCTGGTCCAATCTTATCTTTTTCTACTAGACTTTGATTGTCTGTGTAATTTTGCTACAGTCGTACCTTTCACGTACCCCATTTTCATAATAAATTTGGAGAAAAATCCTGACACTAAACCATGTGATTCCAAACACTTGACCAGTGTGACCAACAATATAGATCCACAGCATTAATGCTTAAACGAACCTTCCTTGATTAACATAACAACAAACAATAAATAAAAGAGTAAAAAAAAAAAAAAAAGAGAAAAGGTATGATAAAAAGTCTGAAAAAACTGCATCATTTCCGAAACTCATAAAACGACAAAATACTAAAAATTAATAAAAATATCACATGAAAGAGACAGCTTAGATAAGCTCCAACGTGGGGAGAGCGCGCAAATACACACAGAGCAAACAATCTGTGAGAGAGAGAGAGTGAAAAAAAAAAGAATTTGTTTTTCCTATTGACCCACACGCATCCCTCGCGCGTCAACCTCACTCTCTTCACCCGAATCAATCAACCAAGTGTAAATGTCGATGAACCCTAGAAGAGAAAAAAACCTAAGAAATTGCAGATTCTCTATGTACACACTCTCAACCTCTCGGTACAGTTAAACAAGCTAAAAAACATGGATTACTACTAGCTACTGTTTGTTCCGTAAGATCATTAAACGATTTTTAGATTCGATCAGTAGAGTTACGACCTCTGTTGATGTAATTAGACGACGCTCTGTTACTCGAAAAGCTCCCTGTTCTATTATGTTGCAACGAAGCCGAAGACGAATTCGATGAAGAGAAGAACTGTCCGAATATCACAGAACCGCCTCTGATTGAACAGACAGGGACGTTTAGGACAGGAGTCACCCTAACATTCGCGCTGTAAGATCTCTCCATCCCCCTGTGTCTATACCCGCTAGTTCCACCGTTGAAGCTGCTCGGGGAGCTCGAGCTCCTTTCAAGGCTCTGGAACACGATCTTCCCCGACGAGTTTAGTCTCGGACTGTCTACGGAGACTCCTCTGCTCATCGCTGTATCGGGCCGGATTGGGCTGCGGCCCAATCTCTCACGGCCCGATGGCACTAACCTCATCCTCGGTGGGTTATTCGGGTTTTGGCTACGAGAGGGAGCGAAGGGATTCCCGGTTATGTGTTGGTTAAGGAGTTGGTTATGGTTAGGTCTGTCTGCGTCGAGGGAGAGTCTGGGGATGTCGTCGTGGTCGTGGCCTGAGGAGGAAGAGGAGAGGGACATACGAGAAGAGGAGATGGAGAGAGATTCGGAGTCTGAGCAGTCCTTGAGGAGAGGAAGTGAAGCGTCTGACGTACACGACGTCGTTTTGGAGCTTCGGTTTAAAAACTGTTTTAATGAAGAAGTGGATGATCTACTCGGATTCGAGTGAAACGTCGTCGTTGCGGCGGTTTTGCTGTTTTGATGAGAGAATCGTTTCAGTCCTAACAACTCTCTCCACCTACTCGAACACCGTGGCGCCTTCGGTGAAAACAAACCACCACCATCGTCGCCGCCGGAGATCTCCATCGTACATTTCTCCGTTGTTTTTGGCTTCGTTACGAGTTTGCCTTCGGAGAAAAGCTCGTCCGCCGGAAGCATCCCAACCGGATCCTCGAGGCGAAACTCGAAATCGCCATCCTCCGTCGCAACCTTCTTCTCCGGTGCGGTGGATCCGGAACTCCGAGAGTCTTCGCGGCTGAAGGAGGGAGAAGGAGAAGCTCGTGGATTGAAGCAACCGTAAGATGAAAAATCCTGAGAAACAGTTACATTGTTGTTAACGCAAACAGAAGCCATCACCGTCGCTCATGCAACGAAACGTCGTCGTACGTCACCGGAGAGTCAAAAACGGCCACATATCTAAAGAAAAGAGAGAGAGTCAGATAGATAGAGAGAGGTTTTTTTTGCTACAGTTTGGAGTGTTGTGAGTAAATAAACAAGTTCCGCCTGGTGGCGCGTGAATCTCACAGAGCTTTTAAGGGTATTTTTGGTATTTTGTTCTGTTGGAGGAGCCAGTGGCGGAACCTCTTAACGGCTAAATACACAGATTAGGATAGAGTTAATTAATACTACCTTAGTTGTCTTTTTGTTTATTTAATAAATGGAAAGTATTAGCAGTATTAGCAGTATCTTTTTCTCTTTATATGAACTGAAATTTCCAAAAAGTTTGTTTTATGAATTAGGTGATAAAGGTTGTGGAGGTTGGAAAAAGCATGAAATCATTGATGTAGAAGATCACGTGATATAACGGGTGTTTTTGATTATCTATATCAATAGAAAGAAAATAATAACTGAGGCCAAAATACGAATCTGTTTGAAAATCATTTTTGACAGCTAGATATTAGATGTTAGATGTTAATTGCTTCGATTAAAGGTAACTGGTTTCACGTTCTGAGATCTCTCTATGATTTGGTCTTTAATTACTGTTTTGGGGAGTTAATTATGTGGTGTTTACTTTATGGGCATGAATGTATCAATAATACACTGAGTCGTGCAATGTATGTGTCTCTCTTGATCTGGTGTTGGGTCCATTTCAGGATAGACTCTAGAGTCTAGACTAATCATGGGGTTGAGTCACTGTTGTTTTTTGTTGGCAGTTATAAACCCATTTGCACATGACACTCTATCAACATGAATTTAAAGGGAATAACATGAAGGTACATAATTTGTCTCATCACTTTCTGAGCTGCAGTTCATGTCGATTCAGTGGTTTCTACTTCTGGTGTAGCCAATTTGAATGCACGTATTGATTTCACATTATCAACGAGCATTGTAATGCAGTTGTGGACTGGTTTTACACCCTCGATTGAAAGCAACTTGCAGTGAAATGAGGGTTTGAGGACGCCCTTCTCTCGGTAGCTCACGGTAACCGATCCGTTATTTCATTTAATTTTAAAGTAGTTTGGTCTGAGACCATCTCGTTATCACCTGTAATTTTAAAGTAGTTCGGTCTTTGGTGTTGTCCGTAGTTTGTTCTTGTGTCGTATTGTTGTTTATTTTCTGCTACCACTCATCTGTTGTAACGTTTGTCAAAATAGAAAATTGGTATAATATTTAATATTTTACCAGCAAAAAAAAACTTGCACTGAAATAGTGAATATCTATTTGTAATGATTCACTGCCTTGTATGTATCTCTAGTCTAAATCTAGAAATGATCGCTGCTGAGTCATTTACATCTTCACCTATATTAACTGCAATATTGCCAAAAATCTAAAGAAAAACATGTGACGTCTCATAGTCTTTTAATAAGAACTACACCTTGCTAGCTATAGCCTATAGCTTTTTTATTTTCATCTGTGACACCATTATTGTATCGTTCTAGTTTTTTTTTTTTTTTTTTTTTGGGACAAAAGTTGTTTAATAGCAGATTTAACTTTAAACTTGTCACAAAATGGTCTTGACAGTTTGTTGTGAACGTAGACTTGAGTGTGAGGAAAGATGGAGTACTTAGAAGAATGATGATGTGACTTTAGAGTTGCACTGTTATTGAAAAATATGATCAAGAAAGTGGAAGAGATGGGATTATAAACGTTTGAGCTATGTCCTTGGTTGACCAAGAACAAGGCCCATTTTATCAGGTGAGGCCCACCAAAGGGTTTAGGCAGTCGAGGTACCGCACCACTTGCTGGGAAAAATGTAGTATGTTCATTTATAAATTTGAAACTTGATACTGTAGATATATGGACCAGGAAGTAGTGGCAACACCACGTTAGCACTCCATGCAGTTGCAAATGTTGCTGAAACCTATATTTCTGACAATGCAGAAGCTTGGAGGCAGTGCAATGCTTATTGATGCAGAGTATACCTTTGATCCAGCTTCCTCTAAATCATTAAATTTTGATGTAGAAAACTTTTTTTTTTTTTTTTTTTGGGTAAAATGTTAATATTTATACCATTTTTTGATTTTTCACAATGTTGAAACAACTTATTACACAAGATGAAACGAACAACAACACACCGCAAGTAGACAAAAACAAAGCACCATCAAGGAGGCTGATAGGAATCAAAATAGATCTGCAGCAAGGAAGGGGAAGGTGGGGACCTCGCTGGAAGAGAGAGGAGACGATCCCTGATCAAGCGGTCAAGCGCAAGGTGAAGACCCGAAGATGGAGTGGAGACAGCAGTGAAAATCCTTGCATTCCTTTCTTTCCAGATGATGAAGATGAGAGACTGGAAAAATAGCTTGACAAGGAGAGCCTGGTTTCTGTTTGCAGGAGTGTCGGAGGTGCTAATCCACGCCGCAACAGAATGGAGGTCACTAGGTGGGCTAAGCCATATCTGAGACACGAACCCAGACCAAAGAGATGAGGAGTAGCTGCACTCAAAGAAAAGGTGATGGTGAGTTTCTAGAGCAGAGTTACAGAGAACACAGTTGGCAGGAACATTTATTCCCCAACGACGCAATCTATCCTTAGTTGGAAGACGCCTTAGCAAAGCACGCCAAGTAGTGAAGGCATTTCTTGGTATATTTTCCTTGAACCATATGACCTTATGCCAAAAAACTGTAGGAGCAGGGACTCTTAGAAACTCCCAAGTGTTCTTTGAAGAAAAAGAAGGCCTATAAGATCCCTCAGACTTGCGCCAAAGAAACTGATCAGGCCCTTTTTCGGTAGCCGGTGGATCAATCTCAGTAATAGCAATCAGCACGCTCTGAAGCTGTTCAGACCTTGCAGCAGGTAAGCTCCACGAGCCATATCTTGTGGCATCCATCACAGAAGCGTTCTTTCTTATGCGTAAACTTTGAGGCCCGCCCTGTCCAGCAACCTCAATCAAAGGGCCCAAAGCCGTCCAGCTATCAAACCAGAAACGTGCATCCTTTCCATCACCAATCACACATCTCATAAAAGTGGGCAAAATTGGTCTCAGCTGAAGCATACTACGAATAGTAGATGAGAACCGGGGTGATTCTGGAGTTAACCAGAAACCTGATAATGTAGAAAACTTGATAATGTACCATCCAGATAATGGCGCGATGGCTTAATATAATGTTGCATTCAAGTTCTGATGCACCTATAGATGAATATGTACACAAACACTAGAATTCTTATAAATTCCAAAGTATGTTATAAGTTTCAACAACATTAAGAGAACAATAACACAAAAACATTTAGAGAAACATGTCTTATAAGATTTACTGAGCCAAGGCACTTGTGTTGTACACAAGAAGAGCTCCCCCGGCGAGAATTCCTGCGAGTGTCACTGCCCAAATAGCCAATCCGGTGACTCCTCCCTTGTACACATCACCACTTGCTGACCACTCCTCCTCGTTGTAAATAGGACTGCAACACACACAATCATCTGTGGTCAACAACTTTTACTATATGCTTCTTATATAAAATATGAAATTGTTACACTATTATTCACCTGTATCCATCCACGTTAGCTCCGTACTTGTCGACGAATTTGTAAACACCGTATCCCTAAGGTTTAAAACGACATCGGTTTAGTGAATATACTCAAATTTAAACACCTTATCCTAACGTTGATGTATATATATCACCTTGCCCTTTCTGCCGGAGGCGTCAACGCCGTCCCTCAAGTCCATGCTGCCGTTAACTCCTACAAACATAGATTTAACAGAGTAAGCTATATAGTTTAAACGGTAGCGTGTCTACCAAGGTAGAGTATGGTGTGCGGACCAAAGGGTTTGTCGGTCTTGATCTTCTTAACGCCACTAGCAACGATTTTGAAGGAAGAAGGAGCTCTTGTGAGCGACGGTAATCCTCTCGCAGAGATCTTCTCCACCGTGAAACCAGCCGGTTTCAATGTTACCGATGAAAACATCACTGAAGCAGCCATTTCTACTTGTCTCTGTGTGTCTCGCGCTAGTGCATGTGTGTACTCATCTAATATGAGAGGAGATGCAATAAGTGATTCTTGTGATGAGTCTGATGACACGTGGCGTTTTCTGTATGGCTATGGTCTGGATATCTTCTTCACTATAACGTTATCTTCAACTGGTGAAGGTGATTAGTTGATGTTCTTCATAAGTTTTGTCACTATTTTTATTTTCAGTTTAGATCCTTATATAACTTTTTTTTTGATCCTTATACAAATTAATTTACTTATACAACCCCTACTAATTTTCTGGTTGCAATGTGGGTGTTGGACTTAGAAGACCTGACCAAGTAACCTCTAGAGAGCTAATACGGACAATTAGCTCCACTCCCGCGGGATTTAAGAGCATATGATTAATCCGGGTTTTTAAGATGAAGTTCTTAGTGGAAATTTAAAAACTGTTTTTTAACTTTTAATTTAAAAACTAACAACCGGTTTTTAAATAAAGATTAGTTTTTTTTAGTTAAAAATTAAGAAACAGTTTATTAATTTCCGTTGAGAACCTCACTCTAAGAATTCCGGATTAATGATGGTCTAAAGCATGGTTCAATGAAACGCATTTTGTACAATGACAGCTTCCAGCTACGTCTGGCTACCACAGTTCTAGTCGCTCGTTGCCGTTGACAAACAACACACTTTAGATGATTTGTTTGTTTATCTTTGATGTTTAATAAAATCATAAATGTCTAATGCTCCTTCAACTATGGCTTCTCCGTAACTGGAAACATCAACAAAACTTGACCCTTGTCTGAATATTATAAGAGTCATAACAGCAACACAAGTTCTAATCATGTTTATAATAAATCGGCATGTTGAAGAAGTATATGATTTGTATCAGTGTGTCTTTGGTAAAATAAACTTTACAAGACTACAATTAGTATTCGTTTGTCTTCTTCTCTGCATACTCTTCTACTTAGAGACATTATAATACTACCACTGTATTACTTAATCTGATATAATACAAATCAAAGTGGGTTTTCAATTGATCAATCGATATGTTAGCTACACGTCTAAGTCGTGAAGAGAAACAAAACTACTATTAAATGATAACGAGAGTGAGCAAGGTTGCAGCAACGTACAAGCAACATATTTCATATATATTCAATCTAAATGCGCCCACCAGAACTTAAATAAAACATTTCTTCCCGAGACTTCATCCAATGGACGTGGACCCAAACAAATCAATGATTTGTGTCCTAAAGACTATATCAGTAGTTATAAGTCAAGGAACATTGAACTCTTCTTATGAAAATATTTTTACACTTAGCGAATAACGAATTCTTTTCTAAGATAAAATCACTTTAATAAAGTATATATAACGATATACGTACAAACAAATTGTAAATACAGCTAAATATATTTGTATTGCTTATGGATAGAAGAATTTGGAATCTTTGTTATATTCACATAATCCCAAAAATATAAGCACATGTACTGTGGATACAGATAGAATAGAACATGCTTAACTAAATAATATCAAATGGAACACAAATAATTAAAATATTTGTTTCCGAAGAAACACACATGCTCTACTAACATAAACTGAACCAAATTCCGCAAGAATATTTTGCGGACATCATATTATGCCAATTGAATAACTACATAGCAATTATTGGATAAGCTGTTTTTTTTCTATAATCAATAGATCTAAACCGATTTTTTTTTTCTTAATCAAAAAATTCAGAACATTATGTAAAGCGTAATCTCGATATCAAAGCAACGAAGAATGAATTTACACTACTTATTTAGTTATTTACAGTTTGAGCTGCAATGTTATAGTTTGAAACTTGAAAAGTTCGGTTCGGTTTGATTCATGATTTGGTATTCAACATTAACAGAATTTAAACCGGAGTCAACGTTAGCTGTATTGTGTAGGAGCAGCCGCAGGAGATTACACACTCTTGGAAGTAAAAGTGGGATCCACAAGATTATACTACTTCAGTAGCAGTAAGTATGTTTATTACCACTAGCAAAGGCTAATCAATACGCTAACTATAATAATTAACGACTTAACCTCTCTCTCTATATTCGCTTAACTTTGTCGTCGTCTCTCTCTCTCTCTCTCTCTCTCTCTCTCTCTCTCTCTCCTGGGAGAACAACTTTTTGAAACTTTTCAAGTTTTGTTTTTTCGCTTTTCTTTTTTTCACGAGAGAGCTCTTTTAGGGTTTCTGGAAGCTTTAATCTTACAGTGCTCCCACTCCAATCTAACTTTAACTAAAGCTTCTTACTTTGTACATTACTCTCTCTCTCTCCCGTGAAAGCTCTTGTCGGTGGTGGTGATTCCCCGACGAAGCTACTTATTCACCGGAAAATTACTAAGAATTTTCCTGGATCCGATTTAGAGGATTTGGTTTCTTAAAAGTGGGACCTTGATGGGTAGTTTATTAGGGAATGTCCTTTGAATGAAGCAAAGACTAGTCTTGCTACAAAAGAGGAAAGGGAAAGATTCCATTTTTAGTTTGTTTTCAGATATTACGGAGCTTTGTTGCTTTGCCTTTTCTTTTTTTAATCTCTTGTGTCTGGGGGAAACTTGCATGTGAAGGGATCTTGCGTTGAACGAATAAGCAAGCTTCTTGCTACTGTGTGTTGCTTATTCTGCAAATCTGTTGAATACGGATCAAAACCCATGTCGGAGAAGCTACTTTTGGTTCTGTTCTCACAGCAATGGATCTCTGTTTCTACCCTTAAGTTAATGTCTTTATGAGCTAGGGATTAAAAGTTGTTGTCTTTTGGGGCTGTTTCAACCTCTTGTGGCTGGATTTGAGAGATGGAGGATATTGGGTTGGTGAAACAAGGTTGGAAATGGATGCAATCTCAGAAACATGTGTGTTCGAATGCTTGTTCTGCGGTGCGGTGTTTTGGGGAGAAGATTGGAGAGCTTGTGGAGCGTCATTGGCCATTGGTGTGTAGTGGATGTGGGAAGCTGTTAGGGCTTCTTCGTCTGTCTATTGTTTACTGGAAAGATTGTATCTTGAGGGGGTTCCGTTGCAGCGCCAAGTTGGGCTCAGCTGCTTTGCTTTTGATAATGTGGAGTTGCTTCCTTAGCTTGACTTCCTTATCTTGCTTGCTCTATGTTCTCCTCAGTATGGTATTGTCTTAAGACTTTTAACCCCTTCCTTCTCTCTGGATTTTAGATCTTTAAATAGGAATGTGTATTTACTAACCAAAACTGAACCTGTAACTTGTATCTAATTCTTGATCTTAGAACTTATTACTTCTGTTTTAAGATTCTTATTTGAAGTCTATTATATAAGATTGTAGATTTTGTTTGGTTGAGTTGTGTTTTGACCTATTGTTTTGAATTGATTATTTGCAGGGAGCTGCTGCAGCTGTTGTTGTGAACTTGGGTTGCACTCCTGGGCTCTTTATTGTAGGACTATTTGGTATTTTGATTTTATGGATGTATGCAAACTTTTGGATCACCGGAACATTGTTTATAGTTGGAGGCAAGTTTTTGATTTTTCTCATGCTCTTTCACTGTTACAAAACCAACCAGTTTAGATAAGTTTTACTGGTTTGACTTTCATGTTATTATTTCAATGAGTCTTATAGTATACTTGATCTATACACTTACATGATATTAAATTCTCTAGTTTTGTTTGATTTCAGGCTATTTATTCTCCATAAACCATGCTCGTCTGGTGGTTCTAGTGGCGGCTGGATATGCTATGTACTGTGTCAAAGTCAGACTTGGATGGCTTGGTGTCTTGCTCTCAATGAATCTTGCCTTCTTGTCAAACGATGTATTAAACTGTCTTCTTCAATGGTGTGACAATCTAAGTGAAAAACCACAACCTGAGGAACCAAAGAAATCTGAAGAAACAACCATAGAAGAAGACTATCCTGGAGAATTTGAGTATCCATCAGTTCCCATCGAAGAAGAAGAGACTGAGAAAAAGGTTCATGAGAATAAGTCAACTGCTGAACCAACTGCTCCTACTACAACAGTTGTTAATACTGTGAAGGAGATTACTAGTGTTAAGATAGTTAAAGTAGACACAAGTTCATCAGCTGATGAAATGAAGAGAATACTGAAAAGTTTGAATCATTATGAAGCGTTGGGGATCCCTCGGCATAAAAAGATCGATGACGCGGTTCTTAAGAAAGAGTATAGAAAGAAGGTTTGGTCCTTTGTTTCCAATGCTGAGTAGGTTCAATGCAATTTTTACATGAAGGTTAATGAGGGTATGTGCTTTTTTTTTTGTTTCTAGGCAATGCTGGTTCATCCTGATAAAAATATGGGAAGTCCTTTGGCAAGTGAATCATTCAAGAAACTTCAATGTGCTTACGAGGTAGGATTGTAGATGTTTGTGTTCTTGGTATGTTACATATAATAAGACATGTAAGAGGCTTGAACTTCTTTTTTGTTTTGTTTCCTCAGGTTCTTTCTGATATTGTAAAGAAGAGAGATTACGATGAGCAACTAAGAAAAGAGGAGTCTAAGACCAGGAGTGTTTGTCAAACATCTCATGCTTCATCACATCAGAGTGGTCCTGGTTATCGTGCAGAAGAGTCGAGGCGGATACATTGTACAAAATGTGGTAATTCACACATATGGGTATGCACCAGTAGGACTAAAGCCAAGGCAAGATGGTGCCAGGTGATTGAATCAAACCAACTTAGGAACTCTTAAAAAGCATTATCTTGTTGTATTGTTTTGTTATTTAAGTGCTCTCTTTCAGATAATCTAACCTGTTAAAAAAATGTAGGATTGTGGTCAATATCATCAAGCAAAAGATGGAGATGGGTGGGTTGAACTCAAAGGGACATTATCCTTTGAGAGAGCACATAAGGTTAGTAAAAGAGCGTAGCTTTGACTTTTAATGATGAATCTTGTTTTGGTTTAGCTCTACCACTCTGTTTTTTTTTTCATGTCCTTCAAGATTGAGATACCACGTGCTTTTGTTTGTGCGGAAAGCAAAATCTTTGACGTCTCAGAATGGGCTATTTGTCAGGTCAGTTGTCTTTACCGTTTCCTTTATCTTGTGAAGAAGATGATTGAGATAAATAATGAACATGTTTTTTTTTTGGTTTCTGATTAAATATATAGGGAATGGCTTGTAGACCAAACACGCATAGGCCAAGCTTTCATGTGAACATGGTTGGGTTAGAAAAGACAACACAGAGATCAAACTCAAGTAGGTTCCCATGGGATCTAGACGTGGAGATGATGGATGAGGATGAAGAAGAGTTTGAGCTGTGGCTTCAACAAGCTCTTGCTTCTGGTTTGTTTTGTGAGACCTCAAAACGCAGGAAAAGCTGGAGTCCATTCAAGTTAAGCCAGATGAAAAGCAAGAAACAGTGGCGAAGGACATCCACTTGATGTATTATAAGCTTATTACCACAACAGGGTGCAAGAATAGACAAAATAGGATTCACACAGCAAAGTGGATGCAAAAGATCTGAGTAGTATAGCAAGCATACTTTCTTTGGTGGGGGTCTTTCTCTGTAAATAGAAGCTGCTGGATTCTTGTTCACTTGTTTTCCTCAGTCTTGTAAACTACTACTTTGAGCAAAAAAACGTCTTTTACATGAGATGTATACATTTGAATACTGTTCATTTTATGAGAAGTAGCTCAAAAAGAAAATTAGTTATTTACTTTATTTCAAGAGGTAAGTTGTTTTAGGCTTTAGCTAAAATAACCTATACTAAAAAGTTATTTCTTTTATTGTTAAATATATTAATTTTAGTAGAGTTCTACAAAATTTAAGTTTTTACCAATTATAATAATGTTAATACAATTTAATTAGCCACACAATATTCTATTAAATTGTATTAAAATGTCAAAACAAATTATATTTTGAAATAAAAATATTTTTTAAAAAAATTTATAGTATATAACAGCTTATACTATTATTTATTATACATTTAGTATTTTAACCAGAACGAGTCGATTCTAATAGTAAAGAGAGTGCACTTGTAACTTTCGCTATGTCGGTTAAGTTTGTGTTAGGAAAATACTGTTTGGATTCCCTGTAAACAGGTGAAAATGCCCTCAGCACGATGAACAGTGTTTCCTTTTAATGAGACTTCAATAAAATATAGAGGTATCTCGATTTGAACATACATACAATATCTCATAAATAATAATTAAAATTAGTTAAATATCTTCAAAGTTGAAAATTCTAATTAAATATGTTAACTGATTAAACTTTCAATTTGAGGTTTTCAGATTTTGAAATATTCACTTAAAGTTTATTAAAATTTGTAATACTTGTTTAGATACCAGCAATATATAAAGAAATAAAGACCAAAATAACACCAAACTAAGTTTTTGTTCCCAAACTAGCATTCAATATCAAAAATCATAAAAATAGGTTTCATTAAAGATATCATTTACCTTTATACCCTCCTTTGTAATTAAAAAAAAAAAATAGAGATCGGAAAAATATCTCCTAACTCCTTTCTCTCTCTCTCATTTCTCGACGAGACTTCATGGTTGAAGAGGACGAAGTTATTGTTCTCGGCACCGGTCTCAAGGAGTGTATCCTCAGCGGTCTCCTCTCCGTCGATGGTGTCAAGGTCTCTCGATTCGTCTCTGATTGGCTTTTGATTCATGATCTGTTTTCGTCTGTTATTGCTCTGATCCGGTTTATATTCTCTACTTTTGTTTGGTATATTTGATAAACCGATCTCAAATCAGATGAGATCTCCGATAATCCGATTGTATGATTTAGACTCGTTTTTTTCGATCTTGATATAGATGAGATGTTTGGTTTGCGATTAATATAGATATGTGGAGACTTTGTTGTTATGTCATTGGACTCCCTTGATCTGATATCTGATGCGTCGTTGGGTTTGGTAGACTGATTAGTGTTGTTTTGTGGTGATATATCACATGAGTAGGTGCTTCACATGGACAGGAATGATTACTATGGTGGAGAGTCTACATCTCTTAACCTCAATCAGGTTCTTGTTTCTGAACTTTCTTTAGAAGTTCTGTGTTGTAGTTTTCTGATAGATGATATTGTCTCTGTTTTGAATTTTTTTCTTTTTGTTTGCAGCTTTGGAAGAAGTTCAGGGGAGAAGACAAGGCTCCTGAACATTTAGGTGCTAGCAGGGATTACAATGTTGACATGATGCCTAAGGTATTGTTGTTCTTNAATCAGGTTCTTGTTTCTGAACTTTCTTTAGAAGTTCTGTGTTGTAGTTTTCTGATAGATGATATTGTCTCTGTTTTGAATTTTTTTCTTTTTGTTTGCAGCTTTGGAAGAAGTTCAGGGGAGAAGACAAGGCTCCTGAACATTTAGGTGCTAGCAGGGATTACAATGTTGACATGATGCCTAAGGTATTGTTGTTCTTGGTGGAATCCATGTTCTTTTATATTATGACTCACACTAACTCTTTGTTTTTTCTATGTGGTGGTTTAGTTTATGATGGGAAATGGCAAGCTTGTTCGTACTCTTATTCACACAGACGTTACCAAGTATTTGTCCTTTAAAGCCGTTGATGGAAGCTATGTGTTCGTTAAGGGAAGGTACAGGCTTCTCACTGGTTGGAGTTTTTTTACAGATTCATTTTTGTCATGACTCTTTTAACATTTGAGGCAAATTTGTTTACAGGTTCAAAAGGTGCCAGTGACTCCTATGGAGGCCTTGAAGTCTCCTCTCATGGGTATATTTGAGAAACGTAGAGCTGGCAAGTTTTTCAGTTATGTTCAGGATTACGACACCTTTTCTTTAAGGTTACAATCTTCTCTAAACTAATAAAACCATTTTTTTGTGGTCTTTTTTAACAGTTGATAAAACGAAGATACTTCTCAGATGAACAACCAGCAGCTTCACCATGGAGTATTTCACCGCATCGAACCTCATCATCCCAACGTTTAGACGACGAGATCACAAGCGATGATGACCAATTCTACAAGAGAACAAGGTATAAAAACAACACTAAAAGCTAACATTTTATAAAGTGTGGTTTGGTCTTTAATTGTTGATTTGTTGCAGTTAACATGGAGATCCTTACAAGTACAACAACACGCTACCGCCACTTCCAGCACAACGCAACTTAACTCCTCCTCCTACGCTATTTCCGCAGCAGCCTGTATCTACTCCTGATAACTACGCTATACCAAGATTCTCACTTTCTAGTTTGCAAGAAACAAGCAACAATGGCAGTGATAGATCATCTAAACGAATGGATATTAACGTTTGAAACTTGAAATCTTCTCTATCGTTACAAGAAAACTTAATGAACCTGTGTTTGCGTCTGGTATCTATTATTCTTTTTGATTGTTCCACTGGTTTCTTCTTTCTTTTGGGTTGGAAGTGGTAAAGTGAATATGTGTGTAATCAATCAAACCCTCTCTGGATCGTTCCTATAGCAGATCTTTTTTACAGTTTTTTTAAAACCTTATCTTGTATTACTGTTTGAAACAGCAGAAAAGAACAGTTATTGATTTTACATCATCAACCAAATCCTTACTAACGACATTAGTCACATCATTGGACTTGTCTTGGTTTCCAACGAGCTTGTTATCTTTAATTGTCAGGTTAGTCGTTGGTACATCAAGGGACTCAAGTCCCATTGTAATCCTCCTTTTCAGCCACGTCTTGTCCTTAACAGTAGTCTCACGGCCAAACGTCGCCCTGAATGTTTCTTGCAATGCTTTAATAGGCAAATTATCCAAGCAGATCTCCCCTCTAACTAAAGAAAAACCAGGTTTTTGAGCAGCAGCAGGCAATACAGTTTCTTTTGGACTAGATGGTTCAACAGTATTAGATTGATTCACATCGCATCCATTCTGAACATCTTATGAGAAAGGAAGGGGCTCATGGTGGACTTGATCCTCGTCAAAGATGTTGTTTTCATTACAACATTGGATGTTGGCGTCTGGAGGAGTAGAAAGCATCTAAGATCCATGAACCATGATAAGCCTCTCATCTTTTTCTACCTTTTGCAACATCTCCTCGCTATACTGCAAAAGTTGGAACAAAATCTAAGGAGTAAGGTCATCTAGTGTCTGATCGAGTTCTTGCGAGATTTCATAACATTAAAAAATTTCGAATCATAAATAACAGTTGTAGAAAAGATAAAATGTAAGAAAAGTAATATTCACTTCTTATTACCTTTCTGGAAACCTTTATCCATAAACTGGTCGAAAATCTCACAACATACCTTGCTTTGTGTGTCCATCCGAATTTCTGGAAGGCTTTCCTGAAACTACACAAATGTTTCCTGAACTTTATAAAATCTAGACAGTCTCACAAGCACAAACAACAAAAGACTAACAGTGTCATAAACAACATTTCCTAAATGCATTCAATAGATGCAAACAAACAAAAAATGAACATGTAAGCAGGCTTCGTGTTTCTTCGAATTTTCTGGAAAGCTATCCTGAAACATTGAAATATTTTCCTAAATTTATTTTAAAACAATTTATGGAAAGCTATCCAGAAAATTTGAAACACGTTCCTCAAATTAATATATTAATGACCTTGATATCTCTATGTATAAACTTCAACGGAGATTCTTAAGAGAGAAACGCTAGACCTTTTGCAATCCCACTGCAAGAGACTAACAATGTCATAAGAAAATTCATGAGCTTACCAAAGATATAACATGCCTAAACCAAACAAGAAGACACCAAGCAAAAAAAATTCAAATTTGTTAACATCGGATTTTCTGGAAAGCTTTCCTGAAACTACATAAATCCTTCCTAAAATTTTTAAAATAGTACACAGTTTCACAAGCACAAGCAACTGTCTAAAAATGTCACAAGGAAATTCAAGAGGCTACCAAAGATATCAACATGCGTATTCCAAACAAGAAGACACAAATCAAAAAAAAATTCAAATTTGTTATCATTGAATATCTGGAAAGCTTTCCAGCAACTACATAAATTCTTCCTGAAATTTTAAAAATAATACACAGTTTCACAAGCACAAGCACAAGTACAAGAACAAGCACAAGCAAGAGACTAACAATGTTATAAGAAAATTTACGTGCCTACCAAAGATATAACATGCCTAAGCCAAACAAGAAGACACCGAACAAAAAAAAATTCACATTTGTTAACATCGGATTTTCTGGAAAGATTTCCTGAAACTACATAAATCCTTCCTGAAACTACATAAATCCTTCCTAAAATTTTAAAAACACTACAGAGTTTCACAAGCACAAGCTCAAGCACAGGAACAAGCAAGATATTAACAATGTTATAAGCAAATTCACGAGCCTACCAAAGATATCAACATGTCTAAGCCAAACAAGAAGACACCAAGCAAAAAAAAATTAATTAAATATTAATTTTTTTAGAAAATCCTTCCTAAATATTTTACTTGTTATCCTAACATTTTATTTTTAATTAAATATTACATTTTTAGGAAGCTCTTCCTAAATATTTTACATATTATTATAAATATGATATATATGTAAGCTTGTTAATACATGCTATCCTAACATGATACATCTGGAAAGCTTTCCAGCAACTACATAAATTCTTCCTGAAATTTTAAAAATAGTACACAGTTTCACAAGCACAAGCACAAGCACAAGCACAAGCACAAGCACAAGCACAAGCACAAGCACAAGCACAAGCACAAGCACAAGCACAAGCACAAGCACAAGCAAGAGACTAACAATGTCATAAGCAAATTCACGAACCTACCAAATATATAACATGCTTAAGCCAAACAAAAAGACACCAAGCAAAAAAAAATTCAAATTTGTTAACATCGGATTTTTTGGAAAGCTTTCCCGAAACTACATAAATCCTTCCTGAAATTTAAAAACACTACACAATTTCACAAGCACTAGAACAAGCACAAGCACAAGCAAGAGATTAACAATGTTATAAGCAAATTCACGAGCCTACCAAGGATATCAACATGTCTAAGCCAAACAAGAAGACACCAAACAAAAAAAATTAATTAAATATTAAATTTTTTAGAAAATCCTTCCTAAATATTTTACTTGTTATTCTAACATTTTATTTTTAATTAAATATTATATTTTTAGGAAGCTCTTACTAAATATTTTACATACTATCATAAATATGATATATATGTAATCTTGTTAATACATGCTATCCTAACATTTTTCCTTATTAAATATCAAATTTTCAAGAAGCACTTTCTAAATATTGTGAATAGTTTCTCCAAATTATACAGATATTACATCAAAGCTCGAGTATAGAAACGTCTCAGATATTACACTAACTGAAATCGCCATTGAGGTATGTCTCAGAACGGACTAGTTAAGATTTGTTGTTTTGTTTCAACTAAAATGTTCAGGAAAGATTTTGATTATGTTTTTTTTTTGGAAGATTAAGATTCAAATTAGGATAGCCATCGTGAACAAGGATTTTTTAAACTCATTTATTCAAATTAGGATAGCCATCGTTTTTAAAATTTAAACTTTCATACAAATTGGAACAATTTTTTATTTCTGGAAACCCATCCAGAAAATTTGAAATGCCTTCCTAACATAACCAAATTAACATTCAAAACCAAAAAGGGTAAGTTAAAGTTAATTATGTGTTAACAATGAACAGATGATTCTCCTCGGCCTAGCGGCTAAACTCTACTCACTCTCTCTCTCACTCCGGGTTCGAACCTTGCTTCGATCCAGTTACAATTTTTTTTTGTTTTTTTTTCTCTAAACATCAAATTTTGAAACAACTTACCTTATTAAATCTCAATCCTTAGCCCTTAACATCATTTCCTTTTTTAGAATTTAAACTTTCATACAAATTGGAACAATTTTTTAGTTCTGGAAACCCATCCAGAAAACTTGAAATGCCTTCCTAACATAACCAAATTAACATTCAAAACCGAAAAAGGTAAGTTAAAGTTAATTATGTGTTAACAATGAACAGATGATTCTCCTCGGCCTAGCGGCTAAACTCTACATACTCTCTCTCTCACTCCGGTTCGAACCTTGCTTTTTTCCAATTACTATTTTTTTTTTGTTTTTTTTTTTCTCTAAACATCAAATTTTGAAACAACTTACCTTATTAAATCTCAATCCTTAGCCCTTAACATCATTTCGTTTTTAAAATTTAAACTTTCATACAAATTGGAACAATTTTTTATTTCTGGAAACCCATCCAGAAAACTTGAAATGCCTTCCTAATATTTTCAATAACATAACCAAATCAACAAGTGAGACACATAAGAAAATTATTAATCATTCTTTGTTGTTTGCATCATTTTTCTTTTTGTTTTTGTTAATTTTTCTAAGTTGATCTTATTGACCTAAAAATGGAAAGATAAGTTAGTGAGAATCAATGAGTTTAAAGTTTAAAAATAACTTGTTCCTAGAAGTTTAACAAGAGTGAAAGCTCAAACATTTAAAATCTCTATCCCACAGAAAGCCAATCAGAATCAAATGCTAACATCGAATGATACAACTCTAATAGAAGAGGTGGCGAGATAGAGACATCAAGCTAGCTTCAGTCAAATGTCTGTTCCAATCAAAAATGGCAGCTCTGGCTGGAGATAGAGAGATATCCAATATCAGAACAAAGCAAGTCCATCATCATGTGACATTAATAATCAAAACTTAGCACATACATATGGAAACATTATACAGAGCTCATGACTTCTTGAGCACAGACGCAAGCATAGGTCTCTTAAAAGAGAAACGAAATATCTTGGTACAATGAAAGTAGAAGCACATTAACAAGATGAGTACGGCTTAAGTGGAACTAAACAAACAGAATCCAATCCAGAGAGTATTATTTAGAAACATAACCAAAGAAGAAGATATATAGAGAGGATTAAGCTGATCAAGTTCCATTAGGCTGCTGCACTTGATTCTCCGGAGCTGGTGGAGGAGAGCTCTCCCTCTTCAGCCTGCTCACTCTTCTCTGCTCCTTCACTGCTAGATCCCACTCTTCCTTTCATTTTTAAGCCTATCCTGAAAAAGCTTGTACCTCTTCGCATGAAAAGCTCTCAACTTGGCCATATAGCAATAGCCAATCTTCTCCAAAAGCTCAGGGTGGCCCTTCATAAAGTCAGCGTGTTCAAACTCCACCTGTTGTCCAGACACAGTCTTGCTAAAGCCCTACATTCACAACAAGAACAAAAAAAAACATCAAGGGCCAGTCTGTAACACGAACTTGCCAAAAGAAAGTAACAAACGAACTTACATATCCTTGGAATCGTCTTTGGTCTCGTCCTCGGGATCCATGAGCAGGAACTTATCGAGCAAGGCCTGGAACTTATGGAGATGCTTTTGGATCTGAGGAGAGAATTGAGCAAGGAGAGCAGGAGAGTTCCAGAGGGAAGAGCAGCCTTTGTAGAAACCGATCAGCTCGCCTGTCTCGAACCCAAGTTTCAAACCTAGATGACAAGCGTCTTCCCGACCCGACACAAGACCCGCTTCGTAACCCNCAGGAACTTATCGAGCAAGGCCTGGAACTTATGGAGATGCTTTTGGATCTGAGGAGAGAATTGAGCAAGGAGAGCAGGAGAGTTCCAGAGGGAAGAGCAGCCTTTGTAGAAACCGATCAGCTCGCCTGTCTCGAACCCAAGTTTCAAACCTAGATGACAAGCGTCTTCCCGACCCGACACAAGACCCGCTTCGTAACCCACTTCGAAGCCTTCCTGTATGTGTGTTTCCTCTAGTCGCAATATACAATCGAAGAGGTCTTCCTTCACATCCGAATTCATCATTTGCTTTGCCAAAACACACAAAAAAGTACAATCAAAAGAGGAACGAAAGAAAGAGAGACAAACACAAAACTCACCAACTGATGAAAGATAGATCGCAGCAGCAGAATCGGATAGGATTATCCACCATCTCATATGCTTTGCTGAGAAAAGTGTAGACTCTGTTTGTTCTGGGAGAAAAATCCATTTCTACAAGATACAGATCATGAACAAAAACATCAAATCAAGCAAGTCAGAGACAATGATTCTGTAATAAAACCCTCAATCTTGAAACTCAGATATCTTCATAGATCTTAGCATCACAAGAGCAAAGCAAACACATCCTTATTTCTTCGTCGGAGATGATATATGCCGGAGATTGGAGCAGATGGAAGAGAAGAGCCGTCGAGATCGTCGTAGAAGAGAAGAAATTTGTGATTTTTTTTTGTTTTACTAAATAAAAAAGCAAGGGTACTATAGATATTTCGACTATTAATGAAGGTCATATTTGTGACTTTTCCCTTCTGATGCTCTTTTGGGGACAAAAACTTCAAATGGTCTATTATGGTCAATTGCCCATATATAAATATGTTTTACGAATTGAAATGCTATAAATATTGGGTATATATTGAAAGCAAATCAGTGAATCACTTGCACATGGTTCGCGCGATTGAAACGGGAAATGGACCTTGTGTGTGAAAGAAGTAACCAATGAGAAACCTGATATAATTTTCACAATAACTTATTCAGGGACAGATCACATGTTCCCCCAATAACTTATTTCAAATGATTTATTTATTATTATTAACCTGGAGGGATTTTGGGATTACGAAACACCAGACTAATTTTTAAGTGGAAGTATAATTTACACGCTATCTTTATTCGAATTATTCAAATGAACCGAAAATAAGAGTTTATATCTATATAAGTGTCTATGAAGAATATAATTTAAGTTTTTTTAGAAGATGGATAGATCAAACCTGAAACGAGTTAGTTTTTGGAAACCATCTCACTTTCAAATGGTTTATTAGCTGTAGTATGATATAATCTATATTATAATAGTTGAGTTTCAAGACTCCTCAACGCGCCACATCAGCATTAGGTGGGTCCCACTTTAAAAAATGTGAAAAAATGTCAAACATATGTTCGAACCCAGGTTATTAAGAAACAAACACTAACATTCATACCACTAAACTACAAGATAACTTAAACATTGATGACCAAAACTAATATATATTTAGCCGGAAGCCTTTGCATCTATGGCCTCCTTTAAAATTTGGGTTTGGAAGTGTATTATGAGTTGCATTTTTAATTGGACTTCATCACATTATATAAAGAAAATCCTCAAGTTTACAATAGTTATAATTTTCCCATATTGTAAACTGTCAATGTTTAAAATGAGTTAAGATTCCTTTCACCATCGTCTTATACAGGTCTGAGTTACAGAGCTGCGCCGTGTGTCTGTTCGTAATCTATTTTTTCACCGGTGGACTCTTCATCTCCCCATCTTACATCGCTTGATCATAAATGTTCCTGATTTGTAGCCCCTTTGTAAATCCTATATATATATATATGATTCTCATCTTTGATGAACCCTATGTGCATCTCCACAAAATTTATCTATTCCTCTTAACTTTAACCATCTTCTAGAAAATGTCTCTCTCTGCTTCTCCAGTTCCTAAAACTAGCGTCACCGGCGTCCGTCGTGCAGCCTTCAAGTCTCTCTATCATGTTAAAGTAAACATAAGCCATACCAACCAAATTAACATATAAAACCTCAAATCATTCATTATGAGTTTTAATAATCGAAACTAATAATAATAGAAACAAAGTCATACAACAAATTCAAACCTTCTTATTGCAGGTTCCGAGAACACCGAATCAACAGAGATTCAATGAGTAAGGAATGCGGCAGAGACAGCCTTAGCTGAGGTGAGCTAATCTCTCTTCCATGTTGCTATAGAAAAACCATAATTTCACAAAATGACACGCTAAAAACACAATCAGACCAAGAATCACAAGAGCTTGTCACACTGCTGAAGATGACGAGGAGAAACAAAAAGGAAGAGTAAACAATCCAGCTTCAGATCTAAATTGAGACTCAAGACTCATCAAATTTCAAGTCCAATCATTTAAAACCCAGCTACTACATTTTCATTGTGTTCGAATATAGTCTTATACAACTAAACTTTTTAATCCACCATTCCCATTTTTAAACTACCACAAAATACTTTTGACAAATACAAAAAAAATAACTATCTTAGTCATACATGTATATAATTATACGAAGCATTAGCATTTATTAAACTACAGTTATATATTTTCAAAACCTGTCATGGCACATTGAAAACAACAAACTATATTTCTTTTCGAATAACAAAATTATTTCTTCTTTGTTCCCATATTATAGTTGTATAGTAACAAATACATATATGTGGCTACATATGGTTATTAACTCACTAATAACGTTAAGATCCAATTAAATCGTTAAAAATGTAGAAATACGAACACATATAAATTCTTCAAACACTCTTATCTGTAAATAAAAACAGGTCTTTACTCACTAATAAATATTAATCTCTAAACATTCCACACAACCCCTTAACAAACACGTTTCATATTTTTCTCTTCAATCCATTAAACTATATTTCTTTGTATAATTTAATAAAATCTTAATTTTTTTTTTTTAAAAATGCTAATTCACTATTTAACAACATAATATACTACTAACCTACAAATTAGACAATAACAATATAATAAATCACCCATCCTAGACATAAAAGCACTAATAACACAAATATTCGAGAAAATCATTACTAAAATAATATATGAATATTTCAAAGCATATGAATTTTCACTCATTCATATATCAACTCAATTCAATCGGGTTTTCGGTTAAACCCCAAACAAAAAAGTGTCCAAAAATGACAAAATTCCATTTATAAAACATCATAACGCATCATCACTATCTCCGGCTCCGCGCTTGCGCGGAGCTATGAACCTAGTAGATTTCAGTTTTATAGTCTTCACGTTTAATATATATAGGGGACGATTGGTTGGGCTTTAAGTAGTGGCTTTAACTTTATTTTCTATCTACAACCATATAATTCACCAATCATGTTTTAACTAGTTTTTAAAGCTAAAGTCAAAAAATTTTAAAAATGGTTGTAGGAGCCTCATTTTCTAAAGCAAAAAAATACTGCTGTAGGATTGCTGTATGAATATCTTTATTTTTTTTATTTTTTCTCATTTAATTTCTACAACTACATTAGATACAGCTACATCCAAAATTTCATTAATTTAAGTTTGAGCTTATGCTGAGGTTTTCAGATTTTTAAATATTCACTTAAAGGTTTATTCCAGTTAATATTATATTAATTCTTGAAATACTCGTTTAGATACCAGCAATATATAAATATGTTCTATGAATTGAGATGCTATAAATATTTGGTATATATTTTGAAAGTAAATAACTTGCACATGGTTCGCGCAATTGAAGCGGGGGAAGGGACCTTGCGTGTGAAAGAAGTAACCAGTGAGAAGCCTGATAATGAAACCTGATATAAAGATTAACTTGATCGAACCTGAAACACATGAGATTCCCGAAACCCATCTCACTGTCAAAATGATTTACTAGTTGTAATTTGATAAAAATGGATTTCAATTTTATAATTGTCACGTTTAGTTTATATAATTTTCATAAAACGTACAGAATAAGGTTCAATCATATGATGGACCACGTTTAAAGGAGAGTCAATCTGATTTGGTTCCCTCTCGGTACCTCATTGAACATGGGTTCATTAATTTAAAGAAATTTTAAACAGAAGAAGTAGATTATAAAAAGGAAGTTTATAGCAACACCACTAGTGTCATCTCAGATTAAGATCACTTCTCACTTCTTACACCGAAGCAGAAGAACCGTTGAAAAAGAAGAAGAAGAAAAGTATGAACGAGGCTACGGGAATGTTATCGTTGGTGCTGGTGATTCTCATGGCCGCATCGTCAGCGGTGGATATCGGATCCGTTGAGGCCACTCCGGCCAGGATTGTCCCCGACGGTCTCCTGGAGATAGAGAAATCCCTTGTCAATATCTTAGGTCAGTCCCCCGACGTTCTCGCCTTCGCAGGCTTCAATCTCCGGTAAAGCCCATCCTCTACCATCGTTGGATTCGTCGTTGACTTTAGTCAGTCTTTTTTTTTTTGGGTTTTGAATTTTTGATAAACAAACTTGATGATGAAGGTATGGGAAAATATATCAGAGTCCGGAGGAGATAAAGCACCGGTACTCGGTTTTTAAGGAGAATCTGGATTTAATAAGATCCACCAACAACAAAGGCCTATCTTACAAACTCGGTGTCAATCGTAAGTTCATCGTTTTTCTCCTGGAACTATAATTACAAACTCGGTCTATCTTGATGGATTATTATGGGCTACCTCATGCAAGATACTTAGTATATTTTAGTAATCCTAGATCTCAGTGCCGGTTGAGTTTTTAGTTTTATTAAAAAATATATATTTAAGTGACTGATTAAAATAATTATATTATATATAAATTACAGATTTTGACTGATAAATAAATGATAATTAATAGAATTTTTTTTAAAAATGTTGGTTCATAAATGAATAAAGAGATATCTCATAGAATAGACCTAAAAAGTTTTTGTCACAAATATAGACTTTAAAAATAAAAATGACCAAAATATACTTAAATGTTTTATCAAAAATAAGTAAATATACACTTATACCATTTAGGTTAACTAATCCTATAATTTTTCGTTCAAAGTTGAGGAGTAGGATTTTGGAGATAATTTATTTTAAATAAAAAATTAAAATTTTCAAAATAAAGAATGCTATTTTGATAAATTTAGTTTTTGAAATCTATTTTGTGATAAAAACTTTAAAAAGTCTATTAAAGAGATTTTTTCCATGAACAAATATAGTTAAAAGCGTAAATTATTCTATTTATTAAACTCTCAAATCATAAAAGGAGAATAGTTTTTTTTTTAACATAAAAACAATTATAAGGGTAAGATAATTAAATATATACATATATATCTTTATAGAATTATTGTGTATTTAAATAAGAATCCTACGAAAAATATTAGGTCAAATAGAAGATACCTATGAAGTTATACTTGCAAACTCGTTCTTTTCATGGATACTATGGTTGAGAACAGATTACGAATGTATCTCTTAAGTTATTAAATATATATATATATATATATATTATCATATAGTTATATGTAAACAGTAAACTATAATCGATTATATTACCGATCATTTTACTATTTAATGAAAATAAATTCAAAATTTAATAAAATTTTAAAACACTAGCTAATAACAAATTCTTTTTTTTTTATATAAATATTGAGATATTAAATCGAAAAAAACTAAGCTAAGCGCCGGTTAGCATCTAGTTATTTGTTATCTTTGAAAAGATGGTTAAACTCTATATGCAATTTAGCACATCTATTTTTTACTCGGATCTGATTATCAAAAACACATTCACAGCATTTAATAAAACCAAATACAAAAAAAAAGAATATAGTTAACCATGGGTTGTTAGGTTATAAATCAAAAATCAAGAATATCTAAAAGAACCTAATTAGGATATGTTTTATTTTAGTGTTTTTTCTTATAAACTGATAAACAAAAGTAACCTAACTGAAACCAAACTAAATCCAAAATTTATTAACACCCCTATGTAACATCATTGTTATGTTTCTTTGTAAGTTAGCTATATTCTGAAACAAAGGTTCTTGTTCTTTGGGGGATTAGGATTGCGTGTTTAGGGATTTTTGTTGTTTAGTGGTTTGATGTATAAGGATTGGCCTAATTGAATGTCTCTTGTATGCAAACAGAATTTGCTGATTTGACCTACCAAGAATTTGCTGCTCAATACCTCATTTCCCTTCCAAAGCATTGCTACGGTCCTCAGTTACCAATAGAAGTCCCTCAGAAAAACATAACCAATGCAACATGGGTACCTTTATTAGTAACTGAAACTTTTTGATTTTTGTTGTTTTTCGTCTTTGGCAATCCATGTACCCTAGTCAGTGGTGTACTAAACCATCCGTCTTGTTTTTCTTTCAGTTTTGAGAAAACATGTTTATCTACAGATCCTTTTTTTTTTATATTTGAGTTTGCGTCTTCAAATTGTCTAAACTGCAGATAGACTGGAGAAAATCTGGTTTTGTTAGCCCGGTGAAAAACCAAGGAAAATGTGCATCTTCCTGGGTATTCAGGTAAACCAATGGTTCTCATTAGTTTTTGTAGCATCTCTTGATGTACGGTTAAAAGTCAAATTTGTTTGTCATACGGTGGATTTTGGTACTGCAGCGTAACTGGAGCTTTAGAGGCAGCTTACTATAGAAAATATGGAACAATAACATTGTTCTCTGAGCAACAAATTCTGGATTGTAGTAACAAATATCTAGAATGTTTGTCTGCCTGCCGTGGTGGCCTTCCTTACGATGCCTTGTCATACGTCAGTTCACACGCACTCTTGTCAGCTGCAGAATATCCTTACGTAGCTAGAGTTGGACGCTGCAGAGCTGATGACAGTAAACCTGATATAGATGTCAGATATTCTAGCACTTCGGTAAGCATCTTTTACGAATTTTGGCTTACTTCCGCATGTAAGATATACATTCAGGTAATCTGTAATGATAATTGAAAAAAAACAGCAACGGGATCCTGAAGATTCATTGAAGCAAGCGGTTGAGACCGTAGGGCCAGTTAGCATATTACTGGAGGTTGTAAATTCATTCCGGTTTTACAAGAGCGGAGTCTACACTACTAGTGACTGTGGTAATCTAACGGTGAGGCTTTGTTACAGTCAATTTCAAACGCAAGGTGAATCAGTTGCAGAAATTATATTTATTAGTGTGAAATTGGTTTTTAATGTTGCATTTAGGAGGAACTGAACCATGCGGGTTTGGCGGTTGGTTATGCAATTGAAAACGGCGTCCCATATTGGATTATAAAGAACTCATGGGGAGAGGAGTGGGGTGATAAAGGTTACTTCAAAATAGAGATGGGGAAGAACATGTGTGGTAAGTTATTTACCATGAAACCATAAAACCACTATCACTTAAGCTACATAACCGGATATACATATCTATATTGGACTTAACCTATATATTAAAGCCTAGACAAAGAAAAAACAAAACTATTAAAGAAAGACTTAGAGAGTCAAATTCTCAGATTCGTTGTTGAATTGCAGGTGTTGCGTCAATGGGAATGTACACATTCTTGGGATGATCAGCATATATATGAATGCATGATGTTCGCATTATTATTGGATGATACAGTACTTGAAAGTTGGCACTTGGAAGTGCAGTGTGTTTATACTTGTTGTGTAACATATGAATATGGTCTATTCATATGTACCGAATAATCAAAAACTATATGTGTGCAATCTAAACCTTTTTTTTTTTTTTTGAAAAGACAATCTAAACTTAATATTATTATATATGCGTGCATGTTGAATCAAGCGAAAACATAAATTATTTAGACCTAAATATCTTCTTCCTTTATCGTAACTCGTAAACCAATTTGTATTTTACATACTAAATATAGACCCTGCGTTGCATGAATTTTAGTTGATGTTTTAGTTCTCCTAAAAACCCAAAATATGAAGAATAAAATTCACATCAGTTGTAGATTTTTCTGCATTGTATCTGTGATCATTTGGAAATATTAATCTGTTTTCAAGATAATTTATGATTAGTATTTTGTTTCAATAATCATGGTCTTTTAAAATATTTTATTTTTAATTTATTTTTCCAACACTGAATTATTATTATATTTGAAGACTGTTCATTTTATGAGTTGTTATTAACTATGTAGATCAATATAAAAACAATATATAAAATCTGCATATTATTATCAAACAGAATAGTTAAATCCTCCTTTTATTTAAATGGAAGTATTTTGAGAGATTAACCTTTATTTGATATTATATTCACAATTTTACCATTATTACTGAAGTGTCATCACAAGAGGTGGACTTCTCACATCCCTAAAATAATAAATCATTTATTACTAGAATAATTACAATACTATTCATTGGTCATATCTAACATACTTTAAATCATGTATTTAACATTTTCTCTCATGGTTTAGACAAATAAGTAAAATTTCTATCCTTTAGATATTGTTACTTATATAATATAAGATTCATCACAGAAAATTTAGCGCATAATAATACAAGTATCCTATATAATAAAGTTGGAATTTTTTTCTCCATTGGGGAAAAACACACATGTTCTATCTTAAAAGGTTTAATTTCAAAATAATATATGTTAGGCCTTAATGGATTTTACAAATATTTATGTTGGGCGTTGGGTTTTTGTTTCTGGGTTTCTTATTGTGTTTTGGGCTTTATAGGAGGCTCACTCAAACCATAGGTCTCTCCGTCATCTAGGGTCTGTGTTTTGTTCTTCGGCCACCAATGTTTTTAAAGATGAGAAACGATGAAGAGCCCTGAGGAACTGATGTATCATGGATTTTACATGTTTTTATCCATGATATATATATATATATATATATGTCCTTATAGTATTTTATATGTATTTGGAATTGTTTCAGAGTCTTTACAGGTTCATGTATCCATTGGAAGCAACTGGAGCTTTTGGACCATTATATAGCATAAGAGAATGTTGTCCTGAAACTCAAAGTCAGAGTCAGATTTTACATACAACATTGATTGACGGTACACCCCGTGCGTCGATCGATGGCCATTACATCCGCAAGTTTAATCCGCAAGTTTAATGATGATTTTGGGAAATTGCAAGTTTCACCCAGAAATTTCTTATATTGCAAGACAAGTTCATAGTCAAATGTGCAGCTATTTATTAGGTTTTTATCATTTTGTAAAACTTAAGTTAGAAAACTCTGTTACATTCATAGAACCGTCTTTCATACATTTAGGAAGAGAAATCTGACAGACCTTGCAGATAAAATCTTGAACTCACTATCTTTTATTTACTATTAATCTGTGTAGTTTAATCAGTTATTCATTGTGTTTTTCATAATCATGTCCGAGTAATTTACTACTAAATTTAGGATTCTTCAATGATAGTGATGTCTTGTTGATCACATATAATTGTTAGGGTAATTCATTTAGTTCTTTATTTAAGTCGTACTTTATGCTGAGTTGAACTTGATCACTTAAATCCTAGACCATAAAAATTAATAGTGTAAGTGAGAACATGGCTATACACTTGAATGGTAGCTTAAATGATCTAAATAACTATTAACAAACGAAAGTTGAATTAGAAGTTTAGAGAACATATGAAACCATGAAATTGTTCTATTTAGTAGAGGTGTCAATTGATACCATGCAGTGGAAATCGATCGGCACTCAGTTGAGATTCACGAAATTTGATTTGTTAAACCCCTTGGATTTGAGTTCGAGAACGGTACTTCATTTAACCCCTAGCAATCTGTACTCTTAAGTCTAATTCTTCTCAAAGTCTTTACAAATTAAATCAATCATAGAACCAATTCATGCTATAAACATTTACTATCTAGATTTAATTCGAAAACAATAAGTCTATTGTGAAATTCTATAGTATTTGCGGATTAGATCCCTATATATTACATTGAACTTTTTATTTGAGAGAATAACTAATATGGTTAATTTGAGAGGTGTATACAAAAACCCACGTCAGAAACGTTAGGACGTTTTGTTTAGATCTCTTTATTCCCCATTTATACGTGATTACCTCACTCTGAGACATTTAATCCGATTCATTGTATCTCCAAAGAAACTGGCTAGGCCTTCAAGTATAAATAACCCCTCATCCCTCTCTCATCACTCTGCTTTCACTTCGCTAACTCAACATTATTGATCTCAGTTGATTTGGTGTTTTGTTTACTTCAGTTGACTTGGCTGAACCATCACTTTGTTTTTTTGTTAAGATCTGGCCTTAAGTCAACATGGTATGTTAGCTTCTCTTTGTCTTTTTTTTTTTTTTGTTTTTGTTAAAATCATTGAATTGAGAGAGATGTAAATATTGTGTCGTTTCCATTTGTGATAAAATAATATTAAATTATTATTATTTTAACTTAATATTATTTCTTTATAACTTTAAAACATTTATGAAAATAGTTATTCATTAATGCTAAATTTAAAAGTAATACCAAAAATTGAAATTTCTCCAAAAAGTTTTATTTTAAATTTCCTTAAAGTTTTACTCGCTTGTTCGATTTTGACCTTCACGGAAGAGTTTCCTTATTTTCCCCACCGCCGCAATTTTGCCCGGCGGAGAAAACGAAATAAAAAAAAAACAAACCTAGAAATTGGAATTGTGCAACGACGACGGAGAGAGTTTTTGGTATAAAATTCGATCTCTCTTTCTACGTCCCTTCCTGATTCAAACACAAAAACTCAAACCCTAAAATCCGCGTTCGATCGGTGAGAAATGAGTAGGCTTTCTTTCCGTCCACGTCCTTTAGACATTCACAAGAAGCTTCCGATTCTAAAATCGTATAAAGACTTCGAAGACGATGACACACCAACTAGAAACCCTCAGCTTCTGCGTTTAGCTTCTTCCGTAGAGCTCGACCATGAGGTCAATTTTTTCTCATTGTCTCTTCTTCTACATTGTTGGGTAGTGTAAAAATGTTTCCTTTTTGCAATTTTGGGGTTTGTGTTTTTTTTTTTGCAGGTGCAGGCAGTGCCAAGTAAGAAGCTTGCTTCAGAGATACCAACACCAGAGTTTGTTGTTGTGGATACTTATGAAAGAGATTATTCTGCCACGTTTGGTCAACCTGCTTCTTATCTACGTGCAAGAGGAGGTTTGGTTTTTGTGTAATGAAAGTGGTTTTGTTTGTTTATTTGGGAGACTTTTAAAGTTTGTGGCTTTTTTTTTTGGTTTGGTTTGTAGCTCGGTCTGAGCTTGGAGAGTTTGTGGAGTATGATCTTGATAATGAGGATGATGACTGGCTTTTTGAGTTTGATAAAGATAACAAGCAACTTTCGCCTGAAATGTAACCAATTTGATTATCATGTTCTTGATTAGCTTGCTCTATATAGTACTCAAAGTGATTGGATTTTGCTACAAGTGCTTACACCTAACCTTGAGTCAAGTGCTAACAACGTGTTTTGAAATAGGTTTGAGAGTATAATTTTTAAACTAGAGGTGTTGGATCACAAGACTCGGGAAAGAGCAGGAGTTATTACACCTACCCTTGGTTCTCCTGTTCCTGTGCTTTTGCAGCTTGATGGTGCTATTGAGGTATATTCCTTTGCTTTGATTGGGTGTTGCATAGTCTTTTGGTGTATACTCATACAGAACGAACCTGACATTTAAAGCAATTCTTGTTGCCATCTTATGACAGGCGCTGCAATCACTGTCCATTAATTATGGAGTATTCCAGGCTATCTTCAACTACTGGAAAGACAAGGTTTGGCATGTCTTGATTGTTACAAGTTTTCTGGATACAGAGATTGTGTTGCATATGTTGATGATAATTTTTAAAAAATTCTTGAAGCTGTGAGATAAAACCTTGTTTGAGATATCATTGGGTTCTTGAAGCATATATGCATAATCCTTGTGATCAGGATTACTTTTCAGATGACAAACTAGTTCAACATCTGGAGCATGTTTGGCTTATAAGACTAATGCATATGTTTCTTCTTTTATTGTGTGAACTTAGCGCAAAAGATGGCAGAAGCCTATCTTGCGGCGTTTGCAGGTTTGTACTACTACTTATGGTTGAAACAATACCTTTGTTATTTTTTAATTAAAGCTTTGCTTCTTTTTTTGGAACAGCCTCCTCCACCGGTTAATGACACTAATCCCTACAATGTGTTTAGGCCGAGGGAGAAAGCTCACAGACTCCACACAAGAAGGGTAGGTCGTTATAGTGATGCTTTTTATAAATATATTTGAATTCAATTAGAGAAAAAGAAAACACTGCGAAGTAACCTTTACTTCTACTACAGATGCAGAGGCGAGAAAACAATGTGCAGTCATTTGAAAAGCTTCGACAGGTAAGAGAAGCACCTTAATTATATCTTTACATTTCTTTCTCGAACCAGTCTGAATTCCTGAAACCTAAGCTGAATAATACCTTCTCTTACTTTCTTTCTAAGCTGTTACTAATCTTTTATTCTTTTCTTGTTGTAATTCTGAATACAAGTCTTTCTGGAATTATATTATTGTTACAGGTTAGACGCAATCTTGACCAAGCGAAGACCATTCTGGAGGCTCTCATTAAGGTGTTCTTTATGGCAATTTTATATGACTTGTATGTAAATTATTTTATATCTTAACAAAAGGGCTACACCTTCCAAAGTTGCTGACTCGATGTTAATATTCTCTAGAGAGAAGAAAAAAAGAGAGACGTCATGGATAGCGAGGTTAGCCTTCAAAGAATGCAACTCCAATACAGGGTACGTACTACTACTTCTCTTAGAACTCTTTGCGAGTTAAAAAAAAATCGATATTCCTATTCTCTTAGTCTGAGATTTGGTGTTTGAGATTGCAGCATGAAACAGAGCTCTTGGAAGACACCTTGGGTCTCCCCGGATTTCCACCAGCTACAACATCTTACAAATTTGGCTCAAGCGACGAAGAGTTCATGGACTCAGATGACTACACTAGCACTCACGTACGCACAAGACCTTCCGTTATCCCCAACTCTCGTTTCACAAACTCAAACCTCAATACATCTCAACCCGGAAGCATAAAACAAGAAGTTAGAAGACGACACTCGCATCACAATTGGCTACACAAACTGGTTAAAAACCTTCTCCTTTCTACACCATCTCTCATACTCTCTGGTTGGTATAGTTAAATCACACACTGGTTTTGCCTTCTTGATAGGATCCTAATGAACCGGTTATGCTGTTCACAAAACCGCTGGTTCCTGAGAAACTAACAGCTGCAGGGATCGTTCCACCAGTACCTGATTCAACCTCCGGTCAACCACCAAGCCGGTTTCACGGGAGGATGGGGCGTGGTGGCAGGATAATATTCGATAGATGGAATCCTTTGATGCAATCTCACATTAACTGTGGAAACTCTCTCTACATTGCACCAAATCACCGATCTACCAACTTCAACTGAAAAGTAAAAAAAAAAAACAATCTTCCTTTTGTAAAGAATCTTCAGTGATTGATGAAGATGTGTAATGTAATAACTATCAAGCCACTTTGTAACTCTAGATTTTTTTTTTTGTTAATTTTCTGATTGTATCAATTCGGTTTTAATTTATAATCCGGTTATGTCACCGGTTTAGCGATTGTGCCAGGGACTGAATTATAATAATATCTTAATTTCGGGACTAAGTTGTAATTATTCCTTAAATTTGGACTAAACTGTTCTGAGGATTTCATTTTCGTTTATCGTCGTCAAATCGCAGTGAAGAGAAGGAAGAAGACCCTAAAATCGAATCTGGGAAGATTCCCTCATCAATGGCTTCGATGCTGGCTCGTAGGTCGCTGAATACTCTCCGTGCTCGACATCTCGTATGAATCTCGTTCTCTCGTTTACTTGGACTTGTTAGAATTCCTAGAAATGCGGAGTTTTGGTGAATCAAAGAAGATTCGATTCACTTTTGACTCTTCGAGATTGTATTCTGAATCGAAACTTTCTGATGGAGAGTGAGAACGGAACGTGAAGGATTCGATGAATCATATAGGGAGAGTTTATCATGATAGATAGTTCTTAACGACTTTATTGCTCTGGCTGATGGTTTATTTGTGTGATTGATAGCTTTTTTTGCTAATTTTTAATTTTGAATCCCTTTCCATTAGCTTCCTATGGTATGTGTGTGTGTGTAAAAGTTATGGTTTCAATTCTGATTAACTTCTCTTCATCGATAGGTTTTGTCAGGGAAAGCTTTGGAGGGATCTCATCTTTCTGGATTGCAGTCCCGTGCTATTTCTTATGGCTCCAAGAAAGGTATATTCTCTCTTAGTGAATCAGGTTGAAATGTGTGAGTTTACCTTTTTTTCTATGGGTCGTGGTGTTTGTTGATAGGCAACTAATGTGTTGTTTGCTTATGTAATATTCACAGATGATGAAGAAGAGGAGCAACTTGCTAAGGAAATCTCCAAGGACTGGAATACTGGTTAGCTAATGTGACCCTATACACTTTCTTCTTGCTTTTGTTTTTCTCGTTCTTATCCTCGTGGTTTTGCATTTTTTTGCAGTATTTGAACGGAGCATAAACACTCTGTTTCTTACTGAAATGGTCCGTGGTTTGTCCTTGACCCTCAAGTACTTCTTTGATCCCAAAGTTACTGTGAGTGGACATCTTTCTCAGTCCCTTCAAATCTTTTGAATGAAAGAAATCTTTATGATTCTGAAGCTCTCTATTATGTATGCAGATCAATTATCCATTTGAGAAGGGTCCATTGAGCCCTCGCTTCCGTGGTGAACATGCTCTTCGACGGTATCCTACTGGGGAGGAACGCTGCATTGCCTGCAAACTCTGTGAAGCTGTGAGTTCTGAAATCTATGCCAAAGGCTTAATTTAGTGTTCTCTTTGTATTTATAGCTCTTGTAAGGCACTCAGGACGATGCGTACCTTTACATTGATTTAACAAAGATTGTTAACCCAAATTGCTGTGTTAAACCGGTTCTGCTGTTATAGGCCATAACTCAGGCTCATAGGCTGATAAGTGATGCCTATGGAGTTTATCCTAGTGGTTGTGAAAATCATTTGAGCATTATTGATATTTACTGTTTAAGCCGTTAGAGTTCTGTAGAAATGGTCATATCTGCTGACAAGCAATTGCTTAATTGTGTGAAGATCATATGGTATCTTAGATTACTTCGGATTGGGATTTTGAGAGGTATACTTGTCTATTTTATCAGGTGTGTCCAGCTCAAGCAATTACAATAGAAGCAGAAGAGCGAGAAGATGGAAGCCGAAGAACCACTAGGTCTCGATCCCCTTTACTTCAAATTCACTAACCATAAGCTTTCTTTTCTACCATTTCGTGTGTAGTAATGATATCGTCCCTCTACAGGTACGACATCGACATGACAAAATGCATTTACTGTGGTTTCTGTCAAGAAGCTTGCCCCGTTGATGCAATTGTCGAAGGACCTAACTTTGAATTCGCAACCGAGACACACGAGGTCAGTTCATCACAATTTTTCTAGCCTCTATGCGTTTGTGGCATGCATATTGAACGTTTTGTATGTATGTTCCCCTCTTCACAGGAGCTTCTGTATGACAAAGAAAAGCTGCTTGAGAATGGAGATCGATGGGAGACCGAGATTGCTGAGAACCTGAAATCAGAGAGTCTCTACCGTTGAGAGCAGTCTTTGCTTCAAGTTATTTCCGGGGAAAACGTTTTTCATTGCTTGTGTTAGAAATAAAAGACGAGTGCTATATGCGTTTGAAAACTTAAACTTTTGTTGTATACCAGCTTTGTGGCTGTGTGTAATTGAATTTTTTTTTGTAAACAACTTTGATTTCGGTTCATAAATTCCGGTTTAAGTACGATTGTTTTGGTTTGGAATCAGAACATTTATTTAGACCGGACGGATAAGAACATATGCATTTTCATTTTTTTACGCCTTGTTGTTGCGCCAATTATCGCATTCAGACATGAAATTAATATTTTAATGTTTTTTTGTTTACTCTTTTAGAACAAATCCTCAGAAAGGAAAGTAAAATAAAAAATCCCAATCTCCAAATCGAGCGAGTCTTCTCCAAATTCGACGAACTCTTAAGCACAGAAAAAATCCCCCCGATTTGGGAAAGCTTGTCTTCATTTGTTCACCTACTTGATCCTAATCTCTAACCTCAACTTTGCTTTGAGCTCACACGTGGCCACATCGCCTCTTCACCGACTTCATTTCATCATCGTGTGTGTGAATTCAGTACCAATCAATTGGTTTCCGCGAATTTCTATCTGGGCTCAGCTCCTTATTGCTCAAGATTGCTCCTTTGTGTGTCAATTCAAAGGTTAGGTGTGTGAATTTTTTAGGGTTTTTTTTCCTTTTGTTCATTTCTGTAATTGTTTTTTTTGGAGCTTAATTTCTTATCATTTATGTCAATTCAGCTCTAAAAGGACGAGCTAATCAGGAAATGAAACTTGAGTTTTGTGACTTCTCCAGTTATGCAGTGTTTGTTAGTGTTAATTAAGAGAAGAGCTAGAACAAGACGAAGAAGAAGACTTAAGTTGGTGACATGAATGTTCAGGCTCACATGTCTGGACAGGTTTCGAACCAAGGGACCATGTCCCAGCAGAATGGGAACTCCCAAATGCAGAATTTAGTTAACAATGGTGGTGGTGCTCCTCCTCCTTCTACTACTAGTGCTGGTTTAGGACCTCCACGTGTTGACAATGACCTTTTGAGACTAAGGCAGAGTATGCGAATCAAGATGTAAGCTTTTGTTATATATATATTTATTATAAAGTTGTACTAGCTTCTTTTTTGTTGTACCTCTACCTGGTGTTTGTTTGGTGTTTATTCACTTTAAAGAGACCGGTTTTTTCTCTTCTGTTGCAGTCTGTGTCGTATATATTGCTTTTCTTGCTGTTTACTATTTATGTGACAGTGTTTTGTCTCCGTCTGCGTTTTGTCGCTAATCAATTTTTTGAACTTTTTGGCTTTTTTTTCTTCCAGTTTCAGCATCTTGCAGCAAAAACAACCATCTCCAGCTGATGATGCATCAAAGGCAAAGTATATGGATGTTGCTAGACGCTTAGAGGAAGGCCTTTTTAAAATTGCCAACACTAAGGTTTTTTTTCCTTCAAAATTTATTTGCTAAACCGGTATTCCACATGTTGCTACTAAATTCAGCTTGAGGCTAATGTCCCAAAACTTTTAAATATTCTTCCTAATGTGACACTTTTAATTTGAATTACAGGAAGATTACTTGAATCAGGCGACCCTTGAACCTCGTCTGGCAAGTCTAATCAAAGGCAGACAATTGAACAACTACAATCAACGACAAGCTAATTCTTCTTCCGTTGGAACAATGATACCCACTCCAGGATTACAGCATAGTGGGGGGAATCCAAATATGATGATGACATCCTCTGTTGATACTACAATGGCTGGAAGTAATAACATCACAACTACTGCTATGAACACTGGAAGCCTACATAATTCTGGTGGCATGCTTGGAGGTTCTTTGACGACGACTAATTTAAGTTATCCAGAAATTTGTCTCTGTTCAATGCTTCTCTGAACAGCTTTGCTTGTGTTTGCAGGTAACATGTCTAATGGCTACCAACATATATCGAGTAATTTTGGTCTTGGTTCTGGAGGGAACATGTCATCAATGAGCTCGCAAAGAAATACCGGCCAGATGATGCCTACCCCTGGATTTGTTAACAACAATAATAATAACAGTAACCACAGTGGCCAATCTTACCTGAGTGTTGAAGCTTCCAATAATAGTGGCGGATTTTCTGCTGCGCCTATGATGGTACCTCAGCCTCAGCAGCAGCAACAAAGGCAGAATATTGGTGGCCAAAATAGTCGCCTGTTGAATAATAATGGAAGTCAAATGGGTGTTGGCCTTAGACCTGGCATGCAACAAATAATGTCTAATGTGTCTAACAACTCCACAAGTGGTGGTTTTGGGATGAATGCTAAAGGTGTAGATCCCGGAACCGGGAATTCACAGCAGGTTTATGATAACCTTCAGCGTTCAGGAATGCATGGTAAAGTTTGTATTCCCCCCTTTTTTCTGCTTGTCTAGTTTCATATGCACTGTTAGTACTTTTGGGTTCTTGCCCATCAGAATAGTCAATTTATATTATTTTCTTCCTCAGGTGAAGGATATGGCACAAATAGTTCTGACCCTTTCGGATCTGGAAACTTGTATGGTGCTGTAACATCTGTTGGGACGATGACAAATACTCAAAATACCAATACAACAAGTTTTCAGTCTGTGTCTAGAACTAGCTCTTCTCTGGTGAGGACTGATTGAAATTCACTTTAAATTGCAACAAGTGCACCACTGAAACATCATTCATTTTTTTCAGTCCGAGGATACGGGTAAATTGTAATTTATATCTGTTCATGTTTTGCAGTCACATCAACAGCAGCAGTTTCAACAACAGCCTAATCGACTTCAGCAACAACCTAATCAATTTCACCAGCAGCAGCAGTTTCTGCGTCAACGGCAGTTGAAACAGCAGAGCCAGCAGCAACAGAGGTTTACAAGTCATGATGCTTTTGGGCAAAATCATGTGGCCTCTGACATGGGTACACACGTTAAACGTGAACCTGGAATCGAGAACCCTAGCGAGTCTATCCACTCCCAGACTCCTGAGCAATTCCAGCTTTCTCAGTTTCAGAATCAATACCAGAACAATGCAGATGACCGTCATGCAGGTTCTCAGATTCTCCCTGCCACAAGTCAGAGTGATATGTGCACATCAGTTTCTCAAAATAGCCAACAGATACAGCAAATGTTGCACCCTCAGAATATGGCTTCAGACTCTATCAACAGTTTCAGCAACCTTTCTGTTGGAGTAAAATCAGAATCTGGTCTGCGTGGTGACTGGCAATCTCAGTCGCAGGAACATACTCAAATGTCTAATAGTATGTCGAGCCAACTGCACATTCAGGATGACTTCCGTCAAAGAATGTCAGGAACTGATGAAGCTCAGCCCAATAATATGTCTGGAGGGTCTGTAGTTCAAAGTCATATATCCACTACATCAGAATCTCCTAATCCTCAAAACCCTGTAGGTACCTCTTGTAGATATGGAAATGGAAACCAAGATCCGAGATTCAGAAATCAACAGAAATGGCTCCTGTTTCTACGCCATGCTCGCAACTGCAAAGCGCCCGAAGGGAAGTGTCCTGACCGGAATTGCGTTACGGTACAGAAGCTCTGGAAGCACATGGACAGTTGTGATGCACCTCAATGTTCATATCCCCGTTGCCGACCTACAAAGACATTGATTAATCACCATCGAAGTTGTAAGGAATCTAACTGTCCTGTCTGTGTTCCTGTGAAGGCCTTCTTACAGCAACAAGCAAATGCACGACTAGCTCGTTTAAAAACTGAAAGCAATGCAGCAAGGTCAGTGAATGAAGCTGGAATATCCAATGATGTGGTACAGACTTCTACTGGTGCAACATCTTGTGCTTCGCCTGGTGCTGATATTTCAAGACATCTGCAACCTTCATTAAAACGATTGAAGGTGGAACAGTCTTCTCAACCCGTGGACGTTGAGACGGAAAGTTGTAAGAGCTCAGTTGTTTCCATAACAGAAGCACAATCGTCTCAGTACGCTGAGAGAATGGATCATAGGCAGAGTGATGTACGTGCTCCTTCTAGGTATTTTGAAGTGAAAGCTGAGGTTTCTGAAGCTTCTGTCCAGACTCGACCTGGTTTCAAAGAGACGAAAATTGGAATTGCTGAAAATATACCCAAGCAAAGGCCTGTCATTGAAGCAGTTAAACAAGATTTGTCTGATGCCTCACCTCAGCAAGAGAAATGCAAAATTGAGAAAGAAGCTGAGCCAACTAAGAAAGAAATTATGTCAGAGTCCGTTAAACCTTTACCAAAATCTGGAAAAGCAGAGATAAAGGGTGTTTCATTAACTGAATTGTTCACACCTGAGCAAGTGAGAGAACATATCCGGGGTCTCCGTCAGTGGGTTGGCCAGGTTTGTGAATTTTTTTAGCTTAGCTTGATTGATAAGTAGTAGTAGTAATCTTATATGCGGCTTGTTTGATTATTTCACCTTCTTCTATGTACTAGAGCATAATCTGTTGTTCTTTTTGTGGTTGCAGAGTAAAGCCAAAGCTGAAAAGAATCAGGCTATGGAGCATTCAATGAGTGAGAATTCATGCCAACTATGTGCAGTGGAGAAGCTTACCTTTGAGCCACCACCTATTTATTGTACCCCTTGTGGTGCCCGCATTAAGAGAAATGCAATGTATTACACTGTGGGAGCTGGTGACACTCGTCATTACTTTTGTATTCCGTGCTATAACGAGTCTCGTGGGGACACTATACTAGCTGAAGGCACGCCTATACCTAAGGCAAGACTGGAGAAAAAGAAAAATGATGAAGAGACTGAAGAATGGGTAAACGACCATCAACTCTGAAAATATGTTTTGTGTTTGTCACTCGTTTTTGTATGGCTTTTTTTGTAAATACATTCTATAATCTGCTTCTGTCTATGATATTTTGCAGTGGGTCCAATGTGATAAATGTGAAGCCTGGCAGCATCAGATTTGTGCTTTATTTAATGGGCGAAGGAATGACGGAGGACAAGCTGAGTATACCTGTCCGTATTGCTTTATAGCAGAAGTGGAACAAAGTAAGAGGAAGCCTTTACCTCAGAGTGCTGTTCTTGGAGCTAAAGATCTTCCGCGAACAATTCTCAGTGACCATATAGAGCAGCGGTTGTTTAAGAGGCTGAAGCAGGAAAGAACAGACAGAGCCAGAGCTCAAGGAAAAAGTTTTGATGAGGTACTATACTTGTGGAGTTTTGAAGGTTTTTTATGCCTTTCATGGTTATTGCATCTGCAGTTCATTTTTTTATCTATTTGTTTGCTCTACTTATGTTTCGTGGAAACATCAGATTGAAGCTGACATTGTTTTTTCTTTGACTTGATACTGGC